TTACCTCTCCTTGTGCTCTGGGTTCTCTCTGTCCTCCGTTCCTTTTTTTTTTTTTTTGTTTAAACTATCCTGGGTAGTTATCGCTACCCTCCCTAGAATGCACCTTGGTAGTAAGTAAAACTAATATCAGGATTTATGCTCTAATACTAACATACTTTTTCTCTCTTTTTCTACATATACTCATTACTTTCTCCCTTTTGACATGATGTCGTTTTATTCAAACATATTTTTCTTTGTCATCTTTTTACATAAATAATTTTATAAAATTAACGTCAATAATTAATAAAAATACAATATTAAACTGTTTAGCATTCATAAGAGTAACTTATAGTCATATGATTAAAGAGGACTCATACTTTTTAAAAGTAAATAGTTTTGTTTTTTATTCAAAAGAAAGGTTAAAAGAGTGGGTTCATCATGGACAGTTATGTGTTTCTATAGTTTAATATTTTAAAATTTCATTTCAGATTCCCAAAAACCAACTGTTGGGAATTCAGAAGCAAAATCAATGACACCCTTTCGAAGGTCTATAATAGATGAAATGGCAGTTCCATCACCAATGTGATTCTTAAAGTCAGTCAACTTCTTGCCGTCAACCTTCTTCTTTTCTTCTAGAGTGATTTGAACAGCGCGGTCAATAAAGTCTGCAACTTTGACAAAATCCTGTTCCATCAAACCACGGCTTGTCATGGCGGGTGTACCGATACGAAGACCACCTGGGATAAGTGCACTCTTGTCACCAGGGACTGTATTTTTGTTGGCAGCAATGTTCACCAGTTCCAGAACGCGTTCGACGCGAGCACCATCGACACCTTTTGAACGCAAGTCGACCAGTAGCAAATGGTTGTCTGTGCCTCCAGAGACAAGGTCGTAATTAAGCTGAAGGAAGCGTTCGGCAAATGCAGCATTATTCTTCAAAACTTGTTGTTGGTATTCTTTAAATAATGGGGACTTGACTTGCTTTAAAGCAACGGCAAGAGCGCTGATAGTGTGATTATGGGGACCACCTTGGTGACCAGGGAAAACGGATTGGTTAATGGGGTTTTCAAGGTCATAGTAAGTTTCTAATTGACGTGTATTAGTTCTCTTATCGGTTGGTTTTTGCTATATTAATTTACCTCTGCCCTTCTTATCTACACTACGAAGTCCCTTTCTGAAAAAGATCATGGCACCGCGAGGACCACGAAGGGATTTGTGAGTGGTAGTTGTGACAATATCAGCATGTTCAAAAGGGCCTGGTAATACACCAGCAGCAATCAAACCTATTATGTTTTGGTTAAAAAAATGTGGGGGTAATATGCTGATTTTTCTTTACCAGAGATGTGAGCAATGTCAGCCATTAAATAAGCTCCACATTTATCGGCAATCTAAACACTCAATGTTAACATGATCATGTGCCAAAAAAAAATTTTTTTTTCCTTACATCTCTCATTCTAGCATAATCAATATTACGAGCATAGGCGCTTGCACCAGCAACGATGATCTTGGGTCGATAAAGCATAGCGTTCTTTTCTAACGCTTCATAATCAATGCGACCAGTGGATTCATCTAAACGGTAAGGCAAGGTTTCAAAATAAGCAGACACATTGGATATCTTTTTGTTTGGAATTTGATAACCGTGGGACAAGCTGGGAAAGTGTCAACAAATAAACAAGATATTCCTAATGTCCACTTACTGTCCACCATGGGGAAGATCGAGGCCCATTAAGCGTTCATGAGGCTTTAATAGTGCACCATACACATATAAATTAGCAGGAGCACCTATATAAAAGAGATTAGTATATGTCGTCATTCAATTACATAATCCTTTCGTCTTACCAGACAAAGGCTGAACATTGACGCCCCATTTATCAGAATTGAGATCAAATGCTTCCAATGCTCTCTTACGGCAAAGATTTTCAGACATGTCAATGAACTCGTTACCACCATAGTATCTGCATGTATAATTAGTAACTGTGTATGAGATAACATGTATATACATATAGTTCATACGCACCTTGCTCCAGGATAACCTTCAGAGTACTTGTTTTGCATGACACTTCCAAGAGCATCCATAACAGCTCTTGATGTAAAGTTCTATTCATATTGTGTTAATTATCAAAAATTGTTCATTCTCTTTTCTTACCTCGGAAGGAATCAAATCAACGCTTTCCTTTTGTCTTTTCTTTTCGTTTTCGATAATATCAAACAACTCGGGATCCATTTTTTCGAGTCTTTCATTAAGAAACTAGAAGGGAATATTTAGCTTACATTCATGATTGTATATATTATATTACCTCTCGCTGGCCAGCAGGGAATACATAACCACGCTATAGATCGCATGAAAATTATATATCAATTCAGCCATACATCCTTTTTTACTTACAGCAATTTGGACAATAGGTTTATATGAGCGAAGAGCTCTATGACTTAAAGATCGAAGCATCTAAAGATAAAGAAACAAAGAGAGAAGGATAAGAAAGGCAAAAAAAATAGATGTGATGAGAATAAAAATAAAAAAGATGTGGAAGATGTATGCTAAAAGAGGTAATCTCTCTTCCACCGAGTCAATCCACCGCGTCAAAAAAAAAAAAGAAAAAAAAAGGGGTGCAGTTGATCAAAACGCTGTCGCACTTTAAAAATTCAGTATGGATGACCAAGCGGTGTCGCAGTTAGTTGCAAAAGCAAGCATAGCAACGATAAGAGAACGGCATTCAAAACCTGGAAACCAAAGTAATGAACTATTTTTTGGTTCTGCAATACCACAGAATCGATGAAAAGGTAAACACGAGTTAGTTTGTATATCTATCAAAGCATACACTTGACAAGAAAAAGAAGGTCGCTTCCCACTACCAGCTGGGACAACAAGTGTTACCAAGGTGATACTTACACTTTGTGCGGATACTTTGTGTGTGCAATGTCTATGTGTGCTACCTCTCGTTTTGCAGCTGCACGTTTTAGCTAGAAAAAACCGATCATATTCATTTTCACTAGTTTATTCATTGTGTATTGTAGAATCAACACTAAGACCAAGAGGATATAAGATAAGAATTTGACGAAGCCTGACCTAAGTGGCAACAAAACATCCTTACCCAATTCTGGTAAGGTTTTTTATTTTATTTTAATTTTTAAAAAGAAGACTTTTGCACTCTCTTCATCAGCGAATATCTTTCTGAAAACTAGTCAGTTGTGATATACCTTAATACGTGAGGTGTTGATATATGTAACACAAATGTAATGGAAATAGAGAAAAAAAATAGTCCAGGCTCATTTAAGAGAGTTGTCGGCGAAAAGCTGCCTCGACAAAAGGTCTTCTACCTTGATTTATTTTAGAAAGCGCTTACGAGGCGGCGCTAACTAAATCACGGAGATTTCCATCTAATTCTCTGTTGAAGAGAGCATCCATTGTTTCCTTGTTTCCAGACATATCCAAAATTTTTAGGATAGTTGCTGTTTGTTACTATTGAAGCGTTTTGTTTTTGCAAGCTCGCTGCAGGTTTGTCAGGTTAGATTTTTTTAAGCAATGATCTTTACGCGAAAGGACGGCTGTTGCTACCGCTTGCAAGGTTTGTGAGACCAATTTCACATCGTTAGTCCTCACAAGACTGTTGTCGCAGTCAGCCAGGGCCCAAATCGTATATGGGGGTCGCTAAACTGTTGACAGGGTTGTTGAAAGCTCGTCAAGGCAATTATGTACTCAGCACGTCAAACTTTGATCGAGCATGTCGAAGCTGTCCTAAAATGTCTCCTTACTGCTGACATTGTTGGTAGCTTTTTTCAAGAATTTTTTGTGCTTCCATGATTGATCCTTCTGCAACTAAAATTCTACAGCTGGTTGTTGGGTTAAAGTTGTTCGTCGTAGAGCCAAGTTCGCAACTAAGATATTGATCCAATCTCATTGACAATACAACCAGGAAGTCAGCAGATATATAGCTTGTGGATATTGTCGTTGGTGATTTTTTTACACAGAAATTCGTGTTGGAGGACGGCAGCGAATCCACAAAAAGCCGTTCAAAATGCGCATCAAGAGTGGGCAGTTTACTGTATGGCTCCACACAATTGATATACAATAATTTTGGATTTTCCACCAACAAACAGCCAGTAAGTGCCTTTGAGGAAGCAAATCTGTAACACGGATTGATCCTCCAGTCTCCGTTCAACAGCTGGTAAACACTACATACACCAGAAAATACACCAGAAGTTAGGCCAGTACTACGGGCACTACCTCAACACACTACCTGTAATGCCTATCAATAAAGTTTTTGATTGTGTAGTGTCAAGCTAAACATGACTTTACAAAGTCACCATCTTGGTTTGTTTCTTTTCAGGAAGAAAGAGATAAAAAAGAAATGTTGCTATTGCTGTATTTTAATCATATGTTGCCAATTTGATCAACAAAGGGCCACTATCAATCGCGTGTATTTCACATTAAAGGATATTCCATTGGACAGCCTTACTTGTAGTGAATGATAAAGCGTCCAAGGTTTGTCGACAGCAGCGTCATCAATAGGATCTACAGAGTCGAGCTCAGAATAAAAGCTATGTACTGCATCAAGCATGGTGGCAGAGTTATCACACATGAACAAGTTTGGTGATCGGCTGACGGGATTATCGTTATGAAACGGTCTGTTTCAGGTAACCAGTGGATACCTAACTGAGTTCACGCCATCAAATGTCAGAATGGAGATTAAAGTTTCAACTTGGTATTGCTGTAAAGTAGTTAGTTGGGCTTCAATCACAGATAATCGTGGCAAAAGTTGTCAAGACTGAAAGGGCAAATTCATTTTAAAAAAAGACATAGTCAAGACACACGTAAATCTAATCAACGCTTATGGCAGTCCTAATCATTTCTTGTTTTTTGTTTTTTAAGTTTATTTTGTTATCTACATAAATTATAATTCTTGAGCGAGATATCCACGGTTCTTGGGATCGCTGTAATATTCTATAGAAATCAAAGTTATTTTTTTTTTTTTGAATATTGGAGCTTTTATAAGCGGGAACTTACTGATATCTTCTTTTCTCAGTGGTGCAGCCAATTTGGGAAGTTGTGCAAATTTCTCTGGGTGAATAAGAGATCTTAATCCAAGTTCATTGTAATAGCGTGTTACGACTTTTCCTCCTGCTTTTTCGATAGCTTCGATTGCCTTTTGTGATGCTCTGGATACTTCAATTTGAATAGGAACATTAAAGTTTTCAGCGCCCTATAAAAGAAGTGAGATGACAGTGTTGAAACGTGGATTGGGCATACTTACAACGCCTAACAGTTTAACACCATCTTCAATTTTATGTATACAGCGGCTATCTAACAAATGCTTCATGGTGATAGGCTGAGAAGGATCAATACGACCAGTTTCAATCCAATGCTGAAGTTTATCCAAATTTACTTCTTGATATTCTTTTCCATGACTATGTTATATACCGTTTTTAATACCTGTCTATATTTACTATCTTTTTCCTTACATGTTGTAGAAACCACGCTTGGGCATTCTTCTTACTAGAGGTGTCTGTCCACCTTCAAACCAGGGAGTAGGACGTCCATTACCAGCTCTAGCCTTTTGACCTTTATGACCACGACCAGCAGTCTTTCCTTTACCAGATCCAGGACCACGGCCCACACGGGTGCGCTATTACAAAAGAATTAGCTTTTCCTTCTTAATTAGACCATCTACTCATTTACCTGAGAGACAGCACCAGCATTATCTGATAAATGAGCCAGATCAACAGGAGTTTTGGGTGGCTTTATAGTTGAAAGTGCTCGTGAAGGCACAATTGTTGGCAATCGAGCTGTCAATACTGATCGAAGCATATGTTTTTTTTTTAATAAAAAAGAGCAGTCAATAAAAAGAAAGCTGCAAGGGGCAACCAAGCTTTTTTTTTATTTTTCGAAGCCATTGAGGCCTCGTCTCAGTAGCCATGTCCGGACCGCGTATGGTCGGACTTTAGGATGAAGATTTAGCAGAAAGTAAGGATTCTTTACACTTTATAATGAATCATGATACAAAAGTACAACTGGGAGATGAGCCACCTGGAGTTTCTTCATAAATATACCTTATATTATTAGGGATTACTCTTCAATTCCGTAAGGAAGTATTTTCAATATGAAAATATAAAGAAGAATCTATCTTTTGGTAGTGAAGATACAGAAGAATGCCTTTTTTGTATTCCCAATAGATCGTCAACACAATAAGTGAAGATCTATTACACAAGAAATATGCTCTGCTAATGAAAATAATTCGATGGAATAATGCTCAAAGACGATACATGGATGCGAATCTGAGCCTAGAAGAACGCTTGTAAGCATGTATAGCACAGACTGATATTAATATATGGCATGTCACTAATGAGAACTACATGTGGGAGGTAATATAGTGATTATTACCCCAAATTGCTTCATAGTGATGCATATGAAGAAATCATTAAACTGTTGTTTCATTGGATTATCAGAGGTAAAGAAAAGTACGTCAAGTAAATATATTTTATTAAGATTAAAGAACAAAAAGTCAGAAAGTAGGAGTAACAAAATGAGACTTTTATTTAAGTAAGCAGTGGTTTGATTTCCAAAGAGAGAGGGTGGTTTGGATAAGTAGAGATTTTCTCTTTTGATAGCCAAGTAAAGAGAGCAAGTGGAGACTTTTGTTTTGATAGCCAAGTTTACAGAGTAAACAGATATTTCTTCTTCTTTTTTTTTCCATAAGTCCAGATGGTCACATTATCGCTAGCTTTCACACCCAAGATGACTAGAACCATAGACTGCATGCCAGAAGACTACAAGGTGTAAACCCTCCATGAATAAAAAGCACTCAAAGCTCAAGGCTCAAAAATCAATCTCAAAACCATACCACGATAAATTCAACGAAAGAGGCGCTTCAATGTACAAAGAGTGCACTTCTAAGTACCTAGGACGAAGCGTTTCGAAAGGGGTGATGACCGTGGAGACATCGGAATATTGAACCTTTGGAGCATCGCGACCATCGAGCTCAGCATTAAGGGAGGATTTACGGGCCATTCATCAGCTGTAGAGGCAGAGCCATAACAATAGGAGCATCTCGGAGTGATCCAGCGTAGAGAAGCAGCGACCTGTCGTATGTAGTTACTCCAGAGCAGTATCTACTAGCAGCAGGCGTTGATAGACATGAGTAAAATTCTTCAGGGACTTTCCGACGCTGATGATCATGGGACAGGTATTCACTAGTATTTTCAGGCACTGATGGTCACTTATAGGTATTGATAAGCATGGGTAGGTATTTAAGTACTTGTTTGATTGTTTGAGTGTATTGATAAGCAGTAGCAAGCATTTTTTGAGCATTAACGAGCAGTAGAGGTCCCTTTAAGGCTTCGCCCCGTGAGAGGTCATTATGATAGAGTAAGTTGCATCAGGAACCATAAAATAGAGTTAGCAAAAGTGAATTTTCTAAACGATGGCATTAGTTATATGTACTTTGAGATCACCCAAACGCTGTTATACCTTTTCAGCATAGGGAATGGTAAAAGCATAGAAGAATTTTTAAAAGAGATAAAGAATGAAGAAAAAGGAAAATAATGATGGTCTCTTTTATAGTTTTTTGTTTACGTGAGTCATGGATTTAAACTGAAAATAAATGGCTCATTCCTCCTTTTTCTCAATCTATCTTTTTCTAGTAATTCATAAATAAATAGCCCATCCTCTGTCTTTTCCATATTAGAGCACACCCGAACAGCTCCTTTTTTTTTTTTTTTTTAGTTTTTTAGTTTAGATTATGGAATGTTCTCTTGTATCCTTTTTTTTGTTTTGTTTTGTTTACTTTACATAATTTTCACGCCTCCCTTTTTTTTTCTGATGCCGCTTGCTCACATAAAGCTAACCTCACGCACTTACATACACACACACATAATTTTTTTATTATGATTGCTTCACTTTTCTTATTTCCAATGCGTGGTTTTTTTATCTATTTTTATTTTTCTGGTCGTTTTCTTTAATAATGAGTAAAAAAAAAAAAAAGTAAGGTGAGAATTAAATGTACAAGAAAAAAGGTTGAGGGGAGGACGGCATCCTTCAAAAACGCAGTTGATAGTAAACAAAAAAACAAAGCTTTTCTCAAAGAGCATTAGACTGCCGATTCTGTGGAACAAACGCTATTAATTCCATTACAGTTGTTATTTACAAATCAAAGAAAGTCAATCATGATTGATCTATTTGATTAGCACTATGACTTTTTGCTAAAAAGAACCAAAATCAAATCACCCTAGCCTTTATGTATCGAAATCTGTTTATCAAGCATGAAGTATAGGTGATTGAGTTGCTGGTTTAGGAAAACATAAGAGTGTGTATTGTTTTTACTTTTATTTTTAGTGCACATGAAAAAAGGGTAAAGGGTAAAATACTTATCCTCTATCCCCTGTTGTTATATCCCTATCCTTTTTCTTTCTGCTTGTGAAATGCAGACCAACATTAGCAATGACTGTGATCGTAGTAGATTTGATGACTATATGCTCATTTTTATAGTAAAGCAATGGATCTTTTAAGTCTGCATAAACTATTTCAAATGGCGCTCGAAACAGGATGGGTTGCTAAGGTACACGACATACTTCAATTAATGACTTTATTGTCATGGATACTCGCGTATCATGAATGAAGAGTATTATCAAATATATGATTTATTGGGCAATGAGAAAAGAGATTTTTATGACCATGAAAAAGAATATGAATACATAAATGCGTGAAGTGGATAAAAATAAGTCTATATGGAGATAAACTAGTAGAAGGATAACTCAATAAGCCTTAAAGAGGAATAATGTGATGATAGAGCAGTTTATCACTGTAGCAACGAATGTTGTCATTTTGTTGATCAAGTGTAGCCTTTACTTTGTCGACCCTTATAGTTAATATTGTCAAGAATACTTTACTTGTAAATACAATAGTGCATACATTTGATATTCATTTTATTCATGATCAAGTTTAATGTTTGTTCATTTCATTAAAGGGAAAAGGTGTTCTAACCAAAGGCTCAATTTCACTTTTTTTTTTATTTTTTATTTTTTAGCTGAAAACCTTCTGATTTGATCGACGAAACAAACTCGAACCCAGTTGCTGCCTTGGGTCAAAGCTACTTTTTTTTTAATTTGGCTGCACCATCCTCTGGATACCCATGATTAACTGTACCAGGAGTTGATGCCTTGGCTGACATCACAGTGGTAAGCCCAGCTATTCACATGTGGATGGCCATCATCTTACACACACGACCGCTTGGGCCTTTCTCTTTCCTATTGATGATTCAGCTTCCTTTTACCTGAACAAACCCTCACATAAATCCTCCCCAAAGCCACCAGTGATGGTTGTTGGATGAAAGCAATGGTGGATAACCATTATAGGGCCTTGAACATCTTAACCATGCACTATACACCCAACCACTTCTTCAAGGCATTGATCAAAGACCCTTTCATCCTCTGGTTCTCGTCTTGACAAAGATTCATATAATTCATATAATACAAACGTTCACCATGACAACACTCCAGATTCTTTTTTTCTCCCTCTCTTCAGTCTGTCCTGGCCCTTTGAACAAGTCTGTTATTTGTTTTCTTAGGCATCCGTAGACGAACTCAATAAAGTTCAATTTGTTATCGCAAAAGAGTGGAGATGATTCTGATAGGTAGGTCCATGCTAATTAGCTAAGGGAGCTATCTGCATCTCATGCTTGCTATAACGTCCTGTTCCTATGTGAATATGGTAACAAAATGAAGCTAAAAGAAAGATTACTGACTAGTTAAGTAATGCTGAAGAATTTGAAATGATACAACTAATTGAGATTATATGATGCTTTAACAAGTTACTTGATGTATACAACTCTGATCAAGGCATTATATTAAAACTATAACATCTCTAGAAAAGGGTTACTAGAAGGCTTCTTGTATTCAAACGAAGTGATCACGCTTTTTGATCCAAAAAAGAGTGCTCATATAAACACGTTTCACAAGCTTTGCTCAAAAGGGTAAGGCGCTAACTATTGCAAGGTAAATAAATAGATAAAAAAGGAGTCATTCATTTTATTCCAGCATTGTTCATTTTTTCTAGAAACATAGAGTATCCAAGCTTTTATTTTTTTTTTTTTTTTTCATTTATATTAATTCTAATAATAAAAAGAAAGAATATTGCTTAGAGAAGAAAAATAAGAACCCTTGCTCTCCCCCCGAAGCAGGAAAGACCAGCTACCCGGCACTTCAACATCCGGCAATGTTCTAGGAGCATTCCTTCAATCTCGGAATTGGATAAACTATAGAGTTCGAGTGTAGAGAAAAAAAAGTTTAAAATGAGTGCCTCCTTTTATAGTTTTTGATTTGTTTACATTGTGACTTTGAAAAAGAAATGTTCCTTTTTGCTGCATGAATTATTTTAAGGAGAATGCTATTCCTCATTCCTCATTGGGCGATTTTTTGTAGTAGGCTTATAGCGTAGATCATGTTATTCAAGTAGTAATAATAAATAAGCTTCTATTGAAATATAGATCTGATTGTTAATTCATAGTCGTATTATACCACTTTTATATAAAGATATATTTGAACACTAGCAGCATAGCATCGCGTCAGATTTTAAAGAAAAGAAGGTGTAAAAGTGACTGTAGAGATTCTCTATAGTGCTTCCGTGTAATGCATGAAATTATTATACAAATACTTCTTCTTCGTACGTTTAATCTCCAAGTTTTGTGCATCACGATGGTATATGGGGATACAGAATAGAATATGGTAAAATGAGCATCACTTTCAAGATGTTATATTCTTTCTTCATTCAAGAAAAGTGTAACTTATTACGTTAGTCTGACCAAGCTATCACAAAATTGACTACTGCATTTGGGCAAGATCAGGAATGTTGATCTATAAACCACGTATTATAATACCCTTTCTATCCGGTCAAGGCCAAAGTATAGCATTGCGATGGAACAACAGCTCATCATATGAAAAGGGATCTGATATCCGACTCGACGCAGTCATCTCAACACTAATGCAGTGCGATTTTGGTTTCCCAGTTAGTTTGGTGAGGTCAATCCTGGTAATAACATAATAATCAAGCACTCTCTTTTACATGGACGATCTTTTGACAGAGAATATCTTTTCCTGTCACTGTTATTGCCAACAACTCCAACTAGCTGTTATTTGGTAACATCCTCTCTTCACTGCCGCCTCTACCCCTCTCTCGAATGCCACAATACTTTCATTTATCAGCGCTGCTCTACTTGCGCCGCCTCCGCAGGCACCGTCGTAGGATTAAGGGGGTTTCCTTTTAATTGTGGTCACTGCATGTTAAACGAAATTTTCAAACACAAGATCATCTCAATTCAAGATACTTTGTGAAAGATTTGGTGATGACTATAAATCTGTACCAAAATTCACGCGAGGACATATAAATGTCGTCAAGATTTATCTAAAAGAACCATGAAGGCATGGAACACGTCAAGGGCGAATCCAATTACTGAAATGGACCAAAACAATGTGATTGTTACTGACTTGAAAAAAGCAGAGAATAGATAACAATACTTGCAGCAAAAGCCTTGAAGAATACAGTTTAAAATGGGGGTGGCTGAATATTATTAAAACAAGATGCATGTGCGTTTTATACAGGGAGATTGAACGTTGTCAACATGAATTAAGTTGCCAATGTGATTATTTATTATTGTTATACTAGTAGCTACTATAGTTATTATAAACCATTCTTACCAGATACAATATAAAGTAGAATGTATGCGCTACTGTAAGATATAGAGTATTATAATGATTTATATCAAACATGTCAGAAACTATAAGAGAACCAAATACACCAAAGAATTTTGCTGATATAGTTGATGATGCAGATATTTGGGCTGTTTATCCTGGTATATCAACTATCCTTACTGCAATAGACTCTACGGAGCATGGGCGTATTCGAACAACAATCTTGGAAGAGTACTATCATTTGTGTAGTTACAGTCTTGCTACAAGAAGACGAAAAGAACACCAAGAGTATCATTTAGACGAATTTAAGTATATTAGTGAATTACCTACTTTAAAAACTGCAAACTTGACCTCACTCTTACTAGCTGTCTCTACACGTCTACAAAACTACCAAAGAGTTCACAAGATAATTGGCATGTTGCTACCGTACATGGTGTATATTTTAACAAAACTGCGCATGACATAGGTCTCAAAAGCTAACGTTAAAGACGTATATCAACAAGCAAAACGTAACTCAAGCAATTGTTAAGAGACTCTTTGACAACAGCAAGAAATATGGCAAATTAAGTACAGTTGGCTCTAAACAACAAACTAATCTAATGGAGGGGGACCAAATTTGTTTATGTTGACGAGTATTTACCGAATCAGATATGTAACAAATGTAAAATGAAAGAAATGAATAATTTCAACTTTACTGGACCAAGCAAAGAGTATATGCTGTCCTCAAGTGTGAATCTTATGGTACGGTTTGGATTCGCGATGTGAACAGTGCATTAAGTATAATATCTTTGTTTACAAATCAAAACATAGAAATGAAAGCTTCCTCCCTTCAAATGACCCGCAAAAGACTAACGGCGCTCTTGGATTTAATGCGCTGCTCATAGCAGCAGTGCATTCCTTGATGCCTCGGTAAGTATAACATGAATGATATATTATTTTTTATTCATTAGTCTTGTAGTTAAATGTTCCAACACACCATTCTACCAGATGCATTACCTGTCAACAGGGTCAAATCGGCTGTACTAGGATGAAATTGTATGACACTTGGAATGGCTGTGATATGATCCTCATCATACAGTTGAATTAGCTCTTTGCCATTCATTCCTGAATAAATATCTACTGTTTGGCCCATATTGCCAATAACGAAATGTTGGTGTTCTAATCCATGATACTTGTTGTAATTCCACCGTGCTCTAAAGTTAGTCACCCATCTAACATATTGTTAATACCAAACCATATATGCCACATTTACATTACCTTCCAGTATGATTGTTATGAGGAATAGCGCTCTTTAGGTTCAATTCCTTCTTTTCTTTGCTTAGTTCAAACAATCTGATATAATCATCATAGGAGGTAGTAGCCAATATATCCCCATTAGGTGACCAGTAGCAGCTTGTGACGGAGTATCCATGGTCAAATGACTGCAATGGGTCCTTTTTCAACTTTCTTTTATCCCAAATAGTAGCCGTTCGATCGTTTGATCCCGCTGCAAGTAAATCTTGATGAATCGGATTTATGTGGATGCAGCCAATCTTCTTCTCTCGTAGTGTATAAACCTTGGGGTTGCCTCCTTTTCTTTTGTCTACACATGCTATTTCACCATCTGAAGTAGAAAACCAAATCTCTTTTTTTCTTAATATTTGCAATTCTAATTAGTCTTGGAACCTACCAATTGTCCATCCTGTTGTATGTCAAACGATGTAATTGGGAAACGGTCTGAACCTAAATCGAGTGTTTCAAACTCTGCCTTGTTCATATCAAATATCTTGATAAGTCCATCATAAGATGATGTTATCAGCTTGGTTTGATCAAACGAATCAAACTTGATATCTGTAGCTGTTCTTGTATGTGGTCTATAATTGTATACAACGGGTTCTCCATCTTCATCTTGTCCTTCAATATCCCAAAACCCTAAATATCCTTCTACATCAATGGCGCAACCCAACAACTTTGCATTTGAAGGATGAAATCTATAGAGAAATGAGCCAACATCACTCACTTCAGTACCAATTCCTTACGCGCAGCCATTGATACGATTAGGCGTCACCTTGACCGTCGTCCAGTCATGCTTGATCTTTAGTTCCTTTAATTGATCTGCCAATGCTTTATCATTGACAGCATCTTCTGTCTTTATCGTAGGCTCAATATTTGGTATGAGAGCACGTTTCATCAATGTCAGCAGTTTTTCATGCTCTTGCTTGTCCAAACTTTCGATCGTCTTTGGTCCTTCTCTCTCAGTTCTTGTCTCTTCAACATTCTTTTCAGGACTCTTGCCTCGAAGACGAGCAGAGACACGAGTAGGTTGCTGTGGCTCCTTTTTGATAGCGGGTGATCTCTTTTTGTTGCTGGTTGTTGTCTTGATCTCTATCTTTCTGCGTTTAATACCCAGTGTAGGAATATCCAGTGTCTTTAGCAATTCTTCGTTAGCTCTTTATTGTTTTATATTAGACTTTTTCGTTTAAAAATTTTGCATTATTGTTACTACTTTATGTTTTCAAGTCGTTTCTTTTCGTATTCGGATAAATTAGGCATTATGAGTTTGTACTTTTATTTATGGGTGCTTTTTTTCTACTACGAAAAAAAAAAAAAAAGAAAAAAAAAAGATAAAACAATGGTGTTTTTGACGCGTTGTGTGACTATTTTTTTACAAGAATCCAGACTCTTGCAATAATCGAGTGATCTTTTCATCATCCCTTTCCCTTGGTTCTATCTTTAAACTCTCATTATACAATTGCTCTTCATCCCTTGTACTCAGTAGATTTGCTTTAATAAATTCTTGTATCTCTTCTACAGGTTTTAATTGGTATAAAGAAGACTGATACTGTTGAATTTCGCGAATCACTTCGGCTGTCTTCGCTCTTTTAGCAAAATTGATCAACTCCTTGTTCTTTTTGAGCTCGTTTGAATTGCCATCCTCGATAAATGTAAGATCTTGTAGATAAATGCCCAAGAATGGGATACAAGGTGGATTGACGGAATGAATAAGGGCTCTGTATTCTGTAAAATTTCGGTTGGCACCCATGATCTTACGGATATGCTGGAGTATCTGATTCGTCCTGGCTCCCACTGCTTCCCATGTACGTTTCAATCGTCCGACCGAACTGTTGTCAAATGCAGACAGGATGGCCATACATGTATTAAAGTTATTGAGTGTACGACATTTTTCTGCAACTTGCACCCAATATTTGATCACAATGCTTCGCTTCTTCATATCATGTTGACTCAAAATCACATCCGAGACCCAAGAGGTGACCTGATTGCAGTACTCGATCGACGCACGGATGTTGACTGCAACCGTGTCATCTTCCCTTGACCATGCCTTGTCTAAACACTCAATCGGTCGAATCGCACTGTAGAGCTTAAAGTCCATAATGGTTAACTGTCGTGCAATTTCCAAGGCATCGATGTCTAGCAGCTTTACGCGTTTCAGGTTCTTGGGTACAATAGGCTCAGGTGGAGCAGGTAAGGTGAGGATCATCTTCTTGAGCCCAACGTTATCGACAGCAACGCCTTCCTTTCTTTTCTGAATCAAAGATTCGAGCTGTCCGTTGGAAAACTTGAGGGTATTCTTGATGTGAGTCTGTGTAAACTCCATGAGACGATCAAGCAAGATACTATCATCTTCGTTATAATACAGTTCAAGCCAATTCTTGAGTACGTTAAACACACGTAACCGCACCAGCTTCAGCTTCTTTTCTTCCCAGATCTTTTCTTCTTCCTCAGTCAGCCCTTCAGGACATTTCAGGTTATACCTTGCCTCGAGCAGATCCAAAAGTTGTACAGAGGTACAAAATGATCGGTAAGTCAGCAGGAAGGTATTGATAAAGTTCATATCAAAATAGTCGTGCATCGTCAATCGTTCCACCAGAGCAGGTAGTGTGCCTCCCTTAACGTTGCCTTCCATATTGAATACAATGTCATTGGGTCCATAATCGTGCTTTAAGAAATCCGGACGCTCGGTCGTCACAGGTTTACTTCCGACAACTTCCAAGGGCGCATCGTCCCCAAAGAATTTCTTGATCTTGTCCGACGACGGTGTTGTCTGTGATCGCTGAATCACAGGCGGTTTAGTAGAAGATTGTACGACCTCGGATTGATGCCTCTCTAACGGAACGACCGTTGTCGACACTATTTCTTCCTCTCCCTCCTCCTCCTCCAAAATGATTGATTTCTTTTTCTGCTCTGTCGTTTTTTTCGCCGGCTGTGTAACCGAAACCGTACTGTTGCTCCTGCTTCGATCTTTGGTTGCCAGATGCAGTACACTGGAACATATCTGCTCAATAGGATCAAACAGGGCAACTGCAGCTTCCTTTGTCTCTTCAAGTGAGGTTGAAAAATCCTTGGTGTATTCATTTGTGAGCGCCTGGAGTTTGATGAAGAGTAAGCCAAGGGCATCGGCGAGAACCCGCTTGCCCTGCTTCAAGTCGTTCATTTCGGAGTGATCGAGTACGTTGCTAAAGTCCGTGTCATCCAAATAAGCCAAAAAGAGGCCGGTTTGATTAGACAGGTTTCGAAAATGTGTAAAGAGCAAGACGATAAGTGAGTATTTGTCTTCACCTGACCAACCATTGATGCACGTCATGATTGTCTCTGCTGAATCTTGAATTGAGGTGCCCATCGTCTCGAGGTTTTCTGCTAAATTGAGTTGTAGACTGTACCGGTTGTTGAGCATCATATCCTCCTTTTTGGCATCCAAAAAATTAAATTGTGGATCCGCAGGTATTAATGGTATCACCAGCTCTTGACAAGTGGATACAAAATGTTTCACCATACTTAGTAGCTCGCTGCATTCCGCCAAGATGCGCTGATCATCCTGAGCTGCTTGGGCTGACAAGATCAACTTGGACATACAAGCCATCATTGTACGATGGTGGGTACGAAGGCTACTGTGGGTGCGTATATAGATTGAGTCCTTGTCGATAGTGTTGGAAGAAACGAGCATGTATCGAATTGCATTCACAATCTGCGCTGCATGAGTTGGGTAAGTGAATTCTTGTTCACACTTGACGGCTGTGATCAGTTGATGAATGGTGAGAGTAATGTAATAAAGTAGCTTTTGCCAATCTAATGATTCACTTATTTCTTTCTCTTCAGGTATGGATAGTGTGGATGCTTTTGATATCTACACCAAATCAAAAGTGTAAGTTACTGTCATAACCCATTAAATTTTTTTTATTTACAAGGCTGGGAGTTTCAGGATATAAGTAACTGCTCGTTGCTTGTGATGTTCTGACTGTATAAGTTGAAAAATAGTGCGCCTATGAGTTACATAAATTAATTAACACACGTTTTTAAAATCACAAAAAAAAAATTGTTACATCTTTGGAAGCCAATGTGCTTTGGTCAGACCATCGATAATCGTCTTCTTCCTCTTCGTTAGGTGGATCAATCCTCATTTCCCCTGTAGCTGTGTTATAGTAATAGGTATCATCACCATCCTCTGTTCTCTGTAATATCCAATTGGATGTATTATTGCTTAATAAGCTAAGTCGATATTCTGTATTTCGTTTTCTAGGTGGTGCTTGCATTGGAGGTGGTGGCTGAGGTTCTAATATCGCCTCTTCTTCTTCTTCTTCTTCTACTTCAATAATGCGCACATAGTTGCTAGGAAACCAGCCTCTCATTCCTTTACACCTTTTTAAAAAGGTAAATTTTCATGTTTGTAATCATAAAAAAGGAAATGAACTTACAGTCCATCCCACCAACCAGAAGGTAATTTAGTTAAAACGTCAATGTAATCATCTTGATCAAAGGAGAGAGAAGAGGGGTCATTTGACTTGAAAGGGTAAAGTGCTTGAACTCTACATAAAATAGGTACTTCTGTCATATAATTCGACTATGTAAAGGGTTATATTTAAAAAATATATATATAGGGAAAAAAAAAAGAGAGAGAGAGAGAGAGAGAACAATAGGTTCTATTTTTCACGCTGAAGTGCAACAGAATTAAACTCCACAGTCATTTCCGAAATTGATATGCTGTGTAACATATAAAGTAAGCTTGTTTTATTAGGTAAAGCTAAAATTGTTCCCGAGTTCGAATCTAGACAGTGTATGAATATTAGTTGATGTCCATTTATTTACGAGTATTAAGAAGAAGAGGGGTAAAATGATATAAAAAAGGGAAAATGAATTAAAATAGCTAATGGATGAAACTTTGTGTTATGCTTTTTCCACGTGCTGAAATGTGTATTAATAGCCTGAGAATGCGCGAATTTTGGACCCCTTGATTTTCATGAGCAGTAATAAAAATGCCCACACAAAATTAAGCATACCAAAGAAAAAGGTAACCCATCCTGGGCCAACCGCGGCCGTCATGGGGTTGGCTATTAAACTAAGTACACAAGACCATATCATTCGCACTAAATTAGCAGCAGCTGTTACACTGGCACCACGATCAGATACTGCATCTACCAGGTACGACATGGCCGGGTTAAAGATTTGAACCATAGCAAAGCATTGGACACCAAACATTATAATTGATACCCATACACTCCAACCAAACTGAACCGGCCATCCCCATAAAAAGAATGAAAGTGGGTTTAATATAAAGGCTGCTGGCCATACGTTAGGTGCCAATCGATCTTCTGGTACGGCTATACCCCCTCGTTTGGCTCGCGCACGGTTCAGAAAGAAATCAGATAATTTACCAGAAAACAGGGATCCAATCACTTCACCAAGCCCCGGTGATATAAATGTTAAGCCAATCAATCCAGAGCTTAAACCATATACAGATGTGTATAAGGGTGGAAGCATATTCTCGATGGCAAACATGCCTCCAAATGCAAATCCAGTAGCCATGGAAAAGATCAAGACAAAAGGATGTCTCAGTAAGGCCTATTTATGATTAGCAATATTCTCCTTTTAAATACAACATAAACTTACAAGTGATGCGAGTGGGTTCATTGTTTTTGATTCAACGACTGTTAACTGTTCGTCTAACGTTGCAGGTATCGTCTCACCCTTCTTTTCAGTGTATTCTTCTTTTCCCCATACGCTTTCTTCTCTATATGTTTCTTCCATTGCAAAAAAGATCAAGAGCAAAATCAAACATCCAAAGACAAACAATAGCCAAAACACAGATCGCCATCCCCATCTTTCAACTAAATATCCTCCAATGATCGGTCCAAACAAAGGTCCTGCGAACTGCCCTGTAAAATAAATACCCAATGCATTGCCTCTTTCATGAACCTCGTATACATCTGCTACTGATCTACATAAATATATCACTCTCTGTCGACCCTCTTTTTATTTTATTTGGACTTACCCTGCACCAATAGCCCAAGCCGAAGAAATACCTGTAGCTTGTAGTATTCGCATACCGAGTAACACATAGATGTCATTGGCAAACACAGCTGCAAGTGAACCCACAGTATAGATCACAATTGAAAAAAAATAAACAGATCGACGTATCTTCCAATGATCACTGATGCTACTATAAAATATGGGCTTTTTTTTTTTTTACTATGAATATCATTTGGTTTTAAAGAAAAAGAAAACCTACAGCAATCCCCATAAATAGCATGTACACTGAGTTACTAAGAGTGACCATAATACTTGGACTGTCTAGTTCTACTGTAACGGCTTCTAATGCTGGTAACTGATAATGAAATGAATAAATATGGTATATCAAAGGAACAGATACGTTACATAGATGGTAGAGCAAAAGCCAGGAATAATGGCAATAAAACACACAAGGCTTAACAACAATCGCTTACGCCATGCAGGCAGTAACCGTGGGTCTTGAGTTACGGGTATTTTTATTCTAAATAATGTTTCTAAATATTTCATAAAGTAAAAAGAGAGAAACAGAGAGAAAAAAATTTTATCTTGTTATCTTTTTTTTTTTCTGCAAAAAGAAAAACGCTGAGTTAAGATTCCACTCCATCTGTTTAGCCCCTGATTTTTCCAAAGCAATAACCCACATCTAAGACAAATATCAACAGGATCATTCTTTTCTTCCCATAAAATAGAACTAAATAAGTAATAAAAGTTTCAGGAATATGCAAAAATATCAAATTATATAAGGTATAAGGTTCTTGTAACTCAGTCTTTATTGTTTGTCACCATAGCAACAACTTACGACGGTACATCATGTGTCTATTTTTAAAAAGAATTACTCCATCTATTTTGTTAACAAAGAATTAAAATCTAGAGCATTCTCTAACTCGATTTCACTTGTTCAGTCTCTTGTTTCCAAAGCAGTAGCCATTTTTCCCTAGTCGACGACTGCAGTCTGTATACCCACAAAGCAAACTCGAGAAGTTCATATTTCCACCAGGCCACCACTAAATTTTTGAAAAGCTCCCAAGCAGCAGAGAGTGTCAAGGAACTTTGAAGGCGATGCAGCAGATTCATTTTTTGATCTATCCAAACCGCTTCTGCGCAGTAGCGGCCCATGAGAGCGTAGGTCATGTATTTGTCCTTGCTCTTTCTTAGATTTTCATCAAGGCTGCGAAGAAGATCACTTGTCTTCAAAAGCAATACCACGATACGCGGCAGAGTCTCGAGAATATCGTAAATACGATTCAGAAAATGTTTTGCACGACCAGACACTCGGCTGATCTCTGTGATCGTTCGATCAGACGAAAGACTGGCGGATTGGATCGTTGACCATTCTCGCCCGGTCAAGAGAGAAGCAAAGAGTCGATGCGATTCTGGTCGGCAACCCACACGGAGTGAGTATTTACGTATACCATCTTCTTCGCCTCGAATTAATGATGTCCACAGGTGCGCATAGTCAGTGCGTAATTGGTCAGTGAGGGTTCGGTACAGCCCGTGGTCTAAGAGAACAACATCAAAATTGTAAGGATGAGATCGGGTTCTTTTGGCAGGTCGAATAAAGATATTGCCAGGATCTATTGCTTCGATATGAATACGTGAGCTGATACTATAGAATTGTTCTTACGTGGATCGCAGTGTACAAATCTACAAGAAATAAGTATATGTCAATATACCGCCACTCTATTTACCCATCAATAAACATCATTTTAGAAAAGATATTTGTTATCTCTGTTGACACCGCACTCGAATCGATATGATGTTTTTCAAGATATTCCAAGTTATCCACTCGTGCTCCATCAATAACTACACAGCTGTTAGTTCTTTTTTATCAATATATTTATATATATATTTACACTCCATGCAGAGAATTCGCCTTTTGGCCCAAATGATATTTGGAATCACTAGTGCCGTTGAGCAGTGTTCAAAATTCTTCTTGACCTGCAAGGCATTCGCAGCTTCATGTTCAAAATCGAGTTCTTGAGGCAGTGATTGCTCCATTTCTTCCATGATCCATTCAAAGCCAAAATCAGGAAATATGCGTTTGATGGTGTGAGTGATGAAGGAAACTGTCTGAAGATCAATCCTATAAAACTCATCTAGACGAGCATGCTGAAATTTGACAGCCACCCATTGTGATCCTAGACGTGCCTTGTGCACTTGGGCAAGCGATGCCACACCGATTGGCTGCCAATTGAATTCATCAAAGACGTCATCAAGTGATTGTCCACAGTCATGCCAAAACATCGCTCGCAGATCCTCGGGCGTGCTAGGATCACAGCGATCCTGAAGTACAGCCAAGGTCGAAGTCCATTCGATCGGCAAGATGTAGTTCATCGTGGAGACATGTTGACCCAACTTGACATAGATCCCACCAAGTTTTTGAAGTCCTCTTAACACACGTTGAGCAGACCGCAAGTGACATTGACTTTTGGCTTCGATGCATTCTTGTTCAGATGAGTACGATCTTGACTGTACCAATTTGTAATCAGCAGCAACCTGTAGACCGATCCTGGCGGCAAGTCCTATGCGTTGTGCAGCCGTCCAGATCAGCTTGGGACGATCATCAGATTCATACCAAATGAGGCCCACGCCTCCTGCAAGGCAAAATGACCATCTCTTATTTGGTTTTAGATAAAGCTTTTGACTGAATGCTATTGTGAAAGGTCGAAACATTGATTGAGAGTGTGTGTATTCTTTTCAGCAGGAAAACAATAGAAAAATTCCAGCGCCGTTTAAACTGTCGGAAGTGTGGTTGTAATCGAACAAATCAAACTCAAAGTATACTTCAATGTGTATTGGATTGAAGAGTGTTGGCTGTTTCTCTTTGAGAAATGCAAACAATGCGGTGACCATTTCCCGCCGCTTTTTGCTTGATGAAAAGCGTTGGTTTCTTGATGAGAGAGATGTATGTAAGCTTTTTAATTTTATGAAGAAAGAAAGAAAGTAAGAGAGAGGAAGGAGAGCAACATAGTATAAGAATAAAATGTGAAAAGTTGCTATTTATGTCAGTCACAGTGAAGCTTGTCTCTTTTCAATAGTTTCATTTTTTTCATTTTTTCATTTTTCTTTTTCTCTCTATAAAAACATTGTTTATAAAATGAGTTCAACAGAAAAGAATGACGCCAAGAAACTCAAGTCCAAATATACCTCACAGTTATCAATGTTGAAAGAACTATTTACAGACTGGACAGAAGAAGATCTCTTATTTACTCTTCAAGATACAGACGGAGATTTAGAATTAGCAATTGACAGAATTAGCATAGGTATGCACAACACATGGCATAATATTTTACAACGGAATGAGCTTATAGATATGGCAATATACTTCAGGGCATGCTAATCAATGGGACGAAGTGAAAACAAAAAAGTCAAAGAAGGAAGCACAAGCAGTACCAACAACGACAGCAGCAGCTACAAATACAACAACAGCAACAACAACGACAGCAACAACAAATGTGAATAATGGTACAAATAGGTCTATACAAGAGAGTGCATCACATAAACCAAGGTCAATGTCTAAGCAACAACAGCAACGATCATCAATTGGCAGAAAACCTCTTGTTCCATGGCAAACGACAACAATGAAGAAATCAACACTAGATCAATGGTCAACCCCAGTAAGCCATGATCCCTTGAAGGCGCCATCGAGTAACAAAAAGCCAAATAGTGCACCAAAGACATGGGCTAGTTTATTACAAGAGTAAGGGCTCTTTTAAATTAAACAGTTGTTGACATTTTTTTTTGATTCCCAGATCAAACCCTGAACCCGTGACAGAAGACAAGACTGTCAATAATAACAAACAACAAGAACAACCAAGATCATGGCTTATGAATGATAATAAAGAAAAGAGTACGACTAAAGATGATCTATCGACACATTTGAGTAAATTAAAGCTGAATGAAGAAAGGACAGAGATCAAGTAAAGACATGATAATATATAAAATACATCAAATATAAACAAAAAATTATTATATAGGCAATCAAGCGTTTTAGATGACTTATTTAATTCTGTTAAACCACAGACTGAGAAGACATCATCTCTATTTAACTCATTGGATTATAGCATTTATGGTGGCCTTGATCAACAATATCGTAGTAATACTATGGTAATACATATCTTTCAATTATACAATCCACGCACTAATTATTATTTGTAGAATTATTATGACAATCGATCTACTACTATCAATCCTGTCATTACTGCAGCTACTCCTATCCATCCTGTCATTACTCCCGCCACAACTATCAACCCTGTCATTCCTGCCGCTACTACCATCAATCCTATCGCTACTACCACTACCCCTCCTGCTACAGTAAGTGGTAGCAGTAGCTTATGGAGTGATAAGCTGGAGGCAAACAACTTGTTTTATGACCAACCACTACCACAGCAACAACAGCCCATGTATAGTAATGCCTCTCATTTCGGCTATTATATGCCAGCACCAGCAGTAACCAAGTACAATCAAATATATTTGGAACAACAACAGCAGCAACAGCAACAGCCTCCACCCTCTTTCTTGGCCAACTATTCATATTATGACTTTTATTCAGCTGAAAAGAAGCCCCAACAACAACAGCAACAACAGCCTCAGCAACAACAGCAATCAACTCAGTATTTTAGCATGCCAATGTATCCTTATAACCAACAACAACAGTACTGGAGTCAATAATAAAAATGATTTTATTTAAAATAGTCCTGTGTTATTATTGTTGTTGTTATCGAATGCATAATTTGAAGATGAAGTAGAAGGAATATGAGCTGGTATAGAAGATGACCTCGGCCTTAGGTTAAGTAAACGTATAATATATCCTTGTTGCTGATTATAAACACATTCAAATTCACTTGATTTTGAATTATTTAATGTTTCGTATAATTCAAGCATATCAATAAACGCTTGCTGAGATTCAGCTAATGCATTCATTGTCAAATGAACTTGTGCTAATAGTTGATAACTGGGTGTGATTCCGTACTTTGTTTCTGTAGCCTCATTCAGTTTTAAATAAGCTTCTTTGGCTTTTGACAGGATGAACGTGCTTCGATCAGCCTATAAAAAAAATTAAAGAGTTAAAAACATGATCAACCTTTGTTTGATGATAATAATAGTTACAATCATATCGCCAAAGAGCTTTTCATGAACAGCGTCAGACAATGCTGTCCATCCATTTGTCCAGTCTTGATGGATATTTTCATAAGATATACGCCTTTTACTTTTACAGTGATTATCTATACATAATGACATCAGCAAAAGCATAAAATGAAAATAAAGCGCATATATACCTTGTCCTGAAGATTGCCCAAATAGATAGTTTGTAAAGAATGAGTGTTCATTATTCGCTTGCTGATATTGAACAGTCGATGCTTTCCCTTTCATGATCGGTCCACCGATAGGTCCAGCTGCTGAGCTTTTACGTGGTCGTTCAATTGTTGTGCTTAGGGTATTTAGTGAATTGAGTGATTCTTGTTTTAACTTTTCTTGTCTGGCCTGTTCTTCTTTTTGTTTTTTTTCTTCTTTTCGCTTCTCTTCCTCTTTCTTCTTTCGTTCCTCTTCCTCCTTTCTCCTTTTCTCCTCCTCTTTCTTCTTTCGCTCTAATTCTTCCTGTTCCCTTTTTCTCCTTTCTTCTTCTTTACGTAGCCTTTCTGCTTCTTTTCGTTGCTTTTCAGCCTCCTTTTGCTTCCTTTCCTCTTCTTTACGTTTTCTTTCCAGTTCTTGAAGCTCTTTTAGCTTGCGTTGCCTTTCTTCCTCTTCCTGTTTCTTTTTAGCTTCCATCTCTAATCGTTCTTGTTCTTGCTTCAACTTCTCTAAACGTTTGGTCTCTCGTTTCTTTTCGCGTTCACGCTGCTTTTTGAGCTCTCGTTCCTGACGCAGTCGGTCTTCTTCTTCAAGTTCCTCAATCAAACGCCGCTGTCTGTCCTGTGCGACTTTTTCACGATACGCCTGCATGACGCGTTGCTCAAACATACGGGCGGCAAAGACTTGAAACATCTTTCGTCCTTCTTCCATTCGCTGCTCTTCTGTTTTGAGTTCCTCATCCTCATCATCATGTTCGTCGAAATCTTCTTCGGTATCGGCATCATGTATGTCAACCTCATCATACACGTCATCATCGTCTTCACTTTGTAATTCCCGTTCTCTTTTCAATTTTTGATCAGTGATTTTTTCCATCATTTCTAGGAATTTTCTACCATCATTTTTTATTAAATCGTCGGCGAGGGTGATTACATTTCCTTCTACTCAAAGTCAATTTTCTAAGGGGGAATATATGATGTTTCATCTCACCTTTTACTGTGAGCGTATTCTTTATCTTGATACCAACCTCTTCGTCACTACTACTGCAACAACTCTCTTCTTCCATATCTTCATCAGAGCTGGTATCTTCTTCCTCTTGTTGTTGTTGCTGTTGTTGAAATTGCTGACGACAAGCATATTTTTCCAGTTCTTCATAATAAGCATCATAAAGTACTTCTAATTCTTCTTCAATGACAGAACTATAAATATAAAAGCGGTCAACACACCGTCATTCTCTTTCTCTTTCAATCTACCTCTTTTTACCACACACAGAGCAGTTACAGGTATGCTTCTGTTGTTCCTTCATTCTGCGCAGTACTGTTTCCTTTTCTATTCTGACCAGTGCTCGTCTTTCTTCTTCACTGAGTTGGATCCAAAATTCTCTAATCTTTTGGCGTTCCTCTGTTTGACTTGTATTATCCCAAATGTCGTTCTTTTTACTGCTGCCAGCCTTCTTTTTGGTTCTATTATTTGGCTTTTTGGCAACAGAGGTATTACGCTTCATAGATTTAGCTGGTATAATCATTGATATAATGAAAGAAATAATAATATAAAAAAGAGAAAGAAAAATAATCATGTGACTCAAAGGGAAATTTATTAAAAAGGGAGCAATGCGCTGGGAATGAATTACCAAAGGACTTTTTTTGTAGATTCCAAAGGGAATTGATTTTTGGGGGGAGAACTAATTTTGCCCAATCAAAAAGTCAATTCAAAGCGTATTAAACTTGCTTTTTTGGCTTTTTTCTCTTTTTTTTCCTCTTTTTAATTACGCAAAGCAAGAATGTCGACACCAAGAAGAAGAATAGAAACAGATGTTATGAAACTGTGAGTTTTGTGTGATAGAATGAAAATGCTACAAGTTGCTCATTTATACATGTGCGTAGTTTAATGAGTGACTATGAAGTAACTTTGGTTAATGATAATATGCAAGAATTTTATGTGCGCTTTCAAGGGCCCAGTGATAGTAAAGCATATAATATGTATCATTACAGGTATCATAACACATTTATTATTATAGCTCCTTTTAGTGGTGGTGTTTGGAAGGTTCACGTCGAACTTCCTGATCAATATCCTTATAAATCACCAAGCATTGGTTTTATGAATAGGATATTCCATCCAAATATCGATGAAGTGTAAGTAAATTATAATAGTAAAAACATCACTTTGCCAACTTTTTTAATATTAGGAGTGGCTCGGTCTGTTTGGATGTCATCAATCAAACGTGGAGTCCCATGTTTGGTAAAGCTTTTTTTTTTTTTCTTTTATGCATAAATATGGGTTATAATAATCATTTATTTATATATAGACATGATCAATATATTTGAAGTATTCCTTCCTCAATTACTTCGTTATCCTAATCCAACAGATCCCTTAAATGGTGAAGCTGCTGCTTTATTAATGAGAGAACCTGCTAAATATGAATTAAAAGTCAAAGGTAATTTCATGATAAATAATGAACGTGTGACTCATATATACAATATTTTAGATTATGTAGCAAGATATGCCACGAAAGAAGCAGCTGATGCCGCAGCTGAAGAGAGTTCAGATGAGGATGATATGAGTTCGGTAAACTTTGATTCTTCTGAAGATGAGGCTGCTGGTATGGAATTGTAAAAAGAAAGAAAAAGAGAAAGAGAAAGAGAAAGAGAGAGTAAGCATTGCCATTTACATAAAAGTCACATTCTATCGTTATTTTTTTATAATTAAACTACCATTGTTTTTTTTTTATTTCTTTTTTTTTCCTTTGCGCGTTTTAAGCAATGAGAAGAGACGTTCGTATTCTTCTTGTTGGTGATGGTAACTAATGAAGTTGAACCAAGAGAAGAAGAAAAGAATATAAATAAATATTAATTCTATTATTTGTGTAGAGGGGGTTGGTAAAAGTACGCTTATCGCTTCGTTGATAAAAGAAACTTTTATACCAAACGTATGTTATCAAATATATAATATTCACACACACACACACAAACACACGCCCATATATACATTAAAAAGAAACAGACAATTAACATCAATACAGGTTCAACACCTTATACCCGAAGTTACCATTCCTCCTGAAGTCACCCCGGAAAATGTCACAATGCACATCATGGACTCTTCTGGTATATATATAAATAAATATACTATTCACAGCATCATTCACTAAACACTACACAAACACACACTGCAGCTCGCCCTGAGGACCGCGAACAGACAGAAGCAGAAATACGAAAGGCACATGTGATTTGCATTGTATATGCCATAGATGACCCAAATACGTTCAATAGACTCTCTCTATATTGGCTACCTTACATTCGATCATTAGGCGTCAATGTAACTTTTATATACTTCATCACGTCATTTTACTCATTTCTTTTTTCTTTAGGTACCTGCAGTTCTGGTGGGTAACAAGATTGATCTACGTGGAAATGACGTGGCAAATCAAGCTCTTGAAGATGAAGTGATACCCATTATGAACGAATTCAAGGTATATATATATTTATTTATTTTGTTTTTATTTGTTATTTGTATATTCATTCGCTCTTAAGGAAGTAGAAACATGCGTCGAATGTTCAGCCAAACAGTTATTAAACGTCTCTGAAGTATTCTATTTTGCTCAAAAAGCTGTACTTCATCCCACAGCTCCACTCTATGACTCACGAGAACATGTATTCTTTAAAACTTGCCTCTGGTCTATTTGATTGACCGTTTTATTATAGGTTCTCAAACCTCAGTGTGTCGAAGCTTTGAAGCGTATATTCAAATTATGTGATACAGATAAGGATGATGTATTAAATGACGACGAATTGAATGAGTTTCAGGTACATCTGAGAGAGAAAATAGATGAATAGGATGATAATACTCTATTAGAGAAAGTGCTTTAATGCACCTCTACAGCCTCAGGAGTTAGAGGGTGTCAAGGATGTCGTGAGAGAGCATGAACCAAAAGGAGTGAGTGAAGCTGGATTGACCGAAATAGGATTCATCTTTTTACATTCACTCTTCATTCAACGTGGAAGACTCGAGACCACCTGGACCGTGCTGCGAAAATTCGGGTACGGGGATGATCTTGATCTACGCGAAGATTTCTTACTGCCATAGTAAGTTTCATATCGAATAAAATGCAATTACTCACGATCTACAGTCTCGAAGTACCCTCGGAGTGTTCTGTCGAGTTGAGTCCTTTGGGCTACCAGTTTTTTACAGAACTATTCCAGATATTTGATAAAGATAAAGACGGTGCATTAAATAGAAAGGAACTAGACTCACTCTTTAGTACATCTCCTGGAAATCCCTGGGTCAACACTGGCTTTCCACATACAACTATCACAACTGAAACAGGATCTGTTACCTTGCAAGGATGGCTAGCACAATGGAGGTAAGTCTTGTTGTTACTTGATCAGTATTAAATTTATTGTTGTTGTTGTAGCATGACGACTTTACTAGATTACAAAACCACGTTAAAATACTTGGCCTATCTTGGTTTCGAAGGTGATACGCGCACGGCACTCAAGGTGACAAAACCTAAAAAGGTCGATCGCAAAAAGGGCAAGATACAGCGTAACGTGTTCTCCTGTTATGTATTTGGTGCACCAGGCTCAGGCAAGGCAAGTGCTTTTGTGTGCAATGTGCCTCGGAACAAAATCCATTGACTTTCTTTTTTTTTTTTTAGACCTCCCTCCTCAAGGCATTTGTTCATAAACCTTTCTCAGAAAAGTATACGCCTACAACAGAACCATTTCAAGTTGTCAATTCGGTCGAAATGAAGGGAGCAGAAAAGTACTTGGTGATGCAGGAAGTCGAGTCGAGTCGGGTGTCTGAGATATTATCCAACAAGCGAAAACTGGAGCAGTGTGATTTATTATGCTTTGTTTATGATACAAGTGATGCCAACTCATTTGGTTATGTTGCAGCTTTAAGAGTAAGAACATATAGGAAAACGAGGGAGTAACTAATGGAGCTTTGATAGGAAAAGTACAAGATTGATCATATCCCTACCGTTTTTGTGGCTACTAAATGTGAATTGGATTTAGTCACTCAGCGTTATGAAGTTCAGCCTGACACTTACTGTACAAAGCTTGATCTAGCTGCACCACTCAGTGTATCTGTCAAGGAAAATCAGATGGCAGACCTTTACCACATCCTAACAGGTGTCGCCATGAACCCGTAAGTTCACTCTAATATGTTACATTGCATAAATTAACCTATGTATATAGAACTATTGCAACTCCAGGCTCTCATAAAGACAAGAAAGACAAGACATGGATAGCGAAGCACTACTTAACGTTCTCTCTGGTCGCTGGTGTTGTGATAATAACGAGTTTCGCAGGTTATAAATTATGGAAACACCATTTCTCAAGTCATGGGATAGCAGCTGCAGCTGTTTCTGCAGCTAAAAAGAAGAAGGAATATTCGTAAAAACTCTAATTGTATTTGTAATAAAGAAAAAAAAAAAAAAGCAAGCCATGTTTAATAGTCCATGCTTTCTGCCTTATTGCCTTGCTGGCTTTGCTGTGAAAAGTAAAAATCAGTTATTTGCTCACTCGTTGTTGCATCCTCGGGCTCCTTATCGTCTCTCACACGAATAAATCGAGGGAAACGAAGTGAGATTCCTTTGGTTTCATCTACTTTGCCGACGCCAGCCATATAAGTTGGACTGACACTGAGATCGGCACACTTGACTTCCCACACTTGAACAGGTTCAAACCAGATGTCAGGCTTGGGTGGGTTATCTCCTAGGGTATAAAACCTCCTGGGCTCTTCTATCACATGGTCTTTGAGCGTATCATAAAATAGCTGCAGGTTTTCTTCAGAGAAACCTGTGCCGAGCTTACAGATCGTCTGGTATTCTTCTGTCTCAGGATCATAGCAGGCAAGCAGGAACGCACCATAGACAGATGTACGTTTGCCACGTCCGTAGTAAGCACCAATAACGACTAGGTCCATCGAATCACCCACGCCGCTCAAGTAGTCTTTTTTGACCTTGAGCCAGTTTCGGGATCGCTTTGATGGTTCATACGTCGCTTCGGGCCCACTGAACGATTTGACCATTAACCCTTCACAGTTACTGGTGATTGACACGTCCAAAAAGGTTTGTATGTCCTCAATATTATTAGAATCCATATGTTTTGCAAAGTAAAATTCATTTTCTGTTTCCTGAAATGCATCACGCAGTTTTTGACGACGCACTTCTAGAGGATCCCGCAACAGAGACTTTCCATTCAAATAGAGGCAGTCAAAGGCAAACACGGCCACTCGTACCTTGATTTCTTCTTCTTTGACATCTTTACGCTTACGTGTGCTCAGAATTTGGAAAGGTAAGATCTTTTGGGATTCCTTGTCCCACGCAACTGCTTCACAGTCCAATATGAATGTTTCTGTTGTTGGTTTGACCCACTATAGGTTATATATAAGCATTTTTTTTTTGTTTCTATAGCATTTCAGCTGCCACTCACCTTTTCAATCGCGTTCATGATATCTGGATATCTCACAGACATATTTTCAGAGTTACGACTGTACACACGGATTTCTCCATTGGCTAACTTGTGAATCTAGATCATGTATTAGTTTCATAGAATAGCAAGTTTCATTTCTTACTCACTTGAGCACGTTCACCATCGTACTTGAATTCACAAGTGAATACCTGTCCTTCAAATCGATCCAGTACTTCAGTCAAACTTTTTGTCGGGTGAGCAAGCATAGGCTTCAATGGCACACCAGGATGCATCGTACAGTGATCAAGTAGTTCTTCAACAGGATACTTTAATAATGCAGGTACAATATCATCATAACATGGTAATTGGCTATAAATTGAGTGAGAAAAAATAAAGTATTAAAAAAAAAAGGGGCCATCTTACTTGTATACGTATTTGACTGTATCAACAGCACTAGCAAGTAGTTCCTCTTTCTTTGTTGTAGACACTTTGGAAGAGTTTAACTTATGCAGCATTACTGCTTGAGCAAGCGCAGATAAAACCGTTTGTTCCGCTAAACCTATTCTCAGCTTGCCTTCTAATTGACGAATAATGTATTTTGCTTCATTCTCTTGACATGCTACAAGTAAACTTTTAATCTTATCCACTTTTTTACTTTGTGCCTACCAAGAAAAAATGAGTAATGAAGAAAAAAAAGAGTTGATAGGATTGCTTACAGAGTGCCCACTAATTTTGGCAACCTCCTTTAGTACACGGAATACATGAGATACAGTCAAGGCCTTGGGTTTAAACAGTGTCCTTTGAGATCCTTTACTTTCCTATTGAGGCATTAGAAACCTCTCATATATTCCACTTTTTATCCAACCTTTGCAATTGTACCAAGGTCACCTATTTTTGCATACTCTGCCTTGATCTGTTTGACGCTTCTACCCGTAGACTCAGCAATGGCTTTAATCAATAGTGATTCACCAATACCGAGTTCAAGTCCTTCATAATCGGGACAAAGCTAAGCATAAAAAATTAATGTTTAATATGTGTTGTTTATGAACGATAATAAAAGACTTACCTTGTTAATGCACATGTACAATATCTCCAGTAATCCATCAGGGCGCAGCTGAATAACCTTTGAGAACAAGCTAACAAGGTACTCTGTAATTTCCAATCGTTTGGTCGTGTTTTCGCATTTCTCGAACGTTTTACATAATACAGCATAAGGGATACTAAGCAACGTATTAATAAACAACATCTGTCACTTCCAGACGAACATACGGTGCTCCCTTTTCCCAATTGATATCTGCTTTTTTTGTCGTTCCAGTTGTTGCTCTATATAATGTTTAGATATATATATATATTCATAAAGAAATATACACTTGAGCTTACAGAATCTGAATGACTGCCTTGGTTTCTTTTTGTTCTTGCTTTTCCTCTTTTTCCTCAGCAGCAGCTTCTTCAATTTCTTTGTCAACATCTTGACTATCATTGGCATCTGTCATCACTACATCTCCACTCTCTGTTCTTGTTTTACTGATATCTTCAGCTCGAATTTTTTTTGTCATTGCTTCTTCCGATTCAGATTCTTCGCTATCTGAGATAACTATCTTTTTACGCTTTCCACCAGCGTCTTGATCTACTTTGTCTTCAACTGAATTAGATCCACTTGAATTCTTTGGTTGTGTATTGCCGCCATTAAAAAAGTTACTGTTCACTAGGTTAAGTCGACGTTCAAAGAAGAAAAGAAATGTACCTTAGAATCGATTGTTTTTTGGATGAACCCATGATATGACACGAAAAAAAGTGAAAAAGACAGACAAAGAAAAAGAACGCGTTTAAAAAGTCAGAAATACTTGTCACAGAAGTCAAGATAAATTGACTCTTTTATATGTACATTTTTTTATTGATTGATCACACGAGGTCTAACCTCAACGTCTTGCATTTGTCTAATAAAAATGGTATCGGGGGCATGATCACGCTCACCTTCATCAAATGTATAACTGCTCGCTATGGCTAATACAGAGCCATCACGGTTGAAGGCCAAACTGGCAATTTCATCTGGATAACCAGGAAGTTGCTTAACACGTTTTCTGTTTACACCATCCCATACATTGACAATACAGTCTGATCCACCCGAAGCAAAGGTACCATATCTGCAAACGATGGTTAGTCAAGTTCCTATAACATTTGAAATCGAGCTTACATGGGATGAAAGGCAAGTGCATTCACAGGATATACCACTTCGGTATCGTTAATAGTCTGACGATGCAATTTGAATGCGTATCGCTTATCTTCCCGTACAGGTTCAAAGAATTCCAAAGCGACACGGCCTTCGATAGACGAGCACGCAAAACCTTCAGCGCGAGGCATCAGTCGAATGCACTTGAGCATATATTTAAGAGTTGTGTCTCGGACTTGCCAGGGCTCCTTCATGTTTCTAGTATCGTAAATGTGAATGTGTCTATCTGCCATCGCTACGGCTAATGTATTGTTTAATAAATCCATACTGAACACCTTATTTGGTAAAACTACTTTCTGCTGGCTTGCTTGGCTGCGTGGATCCCATAGTTGAAGGGTTGTATCCCATGATCCAGTGTATAAACAATCTACAAGAGTTAGTTTTCACTATCCTTTAAAAAAATGACTAAAAATCTTTACTTGTTAACGAACTCCATTCAACGCAACGTACCCCTCCTCCATGTTCTCCAAGAACTATGTCTGTCTTGGTGTTGAGGTCGTACCTAATGTTGAAAGTAAGTAAATGAATACCTTTCTTGCGCATTATTTACTTTTTCACTCTATGATCAACACCGCCACTGAAAGCAACTGAATCATTCATAAAGCAGCAATCCAGGAGAGCTGCTTCATTTTCAAATTTACAAACCAAGTGATTGACTGCTGTATCATAGAGCCTTAATGTCTATATAACACATTAAAAAAAGAACGCGTAAAATAACTGCAGTCACTATTACTTTATCCCATGAAGACGCCAACAGGTATTTCGGATCCTCTTGGTTGAAGCAAATGTTTGTGATTCCGTCTAAAGGAGGTTCAGCAAGTTCAAATTGATTGGGATCGTTCATGTTTATTAATGAAAAAGAAAAAGATAAAAAAAAAAAGAAAAGCTTCAACTGTGACTTTGTGGTAAAACTCTCAAGTTTAAAATTTGCTGGGCATGTTCTAACGGATCAACACTTGTACTTGCCAAACCAGGCATGTTGTCCGTTTGGATGCCCACTGTCTTTCTGCCAATAAAAGATCTTTTCTTTTTTGATGGCGCAATGTCTGTTTGAACACCTACTGTCCTTTTGTCAACAAAAGGTCTTTTTTCTCTCAAATGTGTAATGTTTGTTTCGATATCCACCGCCCTTTTATCAACAGAACGCCTTCTTTTCCTTAACAAAGACTTTACCATTATGGTGCAATCTATTTCGTCAATGTCTGTCACGCCATTAAATTTGGCAAGCGTTGCTTCTTGGTACGCGTTTTTTGTGTCCTGTTTCATTAAGAGTCTTGTTGAAATTGAAAAATAGAAATCAAAACTGGATAGAGATTGTGACGTTAACTCACTGGAGTTGAATATGACCGGAACAAACACTGTTCAGCAACATCCGACAGAGCATTGGTAATTTTCCTTGTACTGAGATTGAGTAGAAGACGCAATATACCTCATTATAAGATTAAACCCCTCCTTCTTGTTGTCATCAATCTAACTCTAATATTTACTTCTCACAATAACTCAAAATAAAAAGGCTGAATCAACAAGCCTACGTCATCATTATCCTTTGGTGGTGTGGCAAGTGTTCCCGCATTGATATAGGGTGCACCTAAAATCAGTTTCTAGATGAACCCCGGCTATTTTTTTTGTTGCCGACTAGCAAAAAAATTTACTACCTCTTCCACTTTGTCACTTAACCCCCACTCTTTAATTCACTATGGGTCTTTCTGAATTCTTTTCCAGCTTTGTTCCTACCGTTTTTGCCGATGAAGAGCCTCAAGAGGAGCAACCTGTTGAGGAACAAGAAGAAGTTGTAGAAGAAGAAGAAGAAGAAGAAGAACCCGAAGATCCCAAACCTGAAATTATGGAAGGTACGCCTTTTGTAGAAAAATAAGGAAAAAGAAAATTCATAGTTATTGTAGCCTGTGCCGACCAATGTGCTGCCTTGAAGAAGCACCTCGATGAATGCAATGAACGTGTCGAAAATGGCTCCAATGAAAACTGTAAGTATTAATGTGTACCTTATAGTAAGCGGCTGACACCTTTTGTTCACTTAGGTGTTGAAGAATTCTTTCACTTTATGCACTGTGCTGATGAATGCGTAAGTTTGATTATAGACTCATTAGTAAAACTTTTGATTAATTCAATCACTTTTAGGCTGCTCCCAAGATTTTTGCTGCTACCAAATAAATAACCTTTTGCTCTAGTATAACAACAATAAAAAATAATACAAAGGCAATAGAAGAAAAAGCACATTCTGTTTGTTTTTTTTTGTAGATTTTATGTAAAACGCTTACAGTAGCTTCCACACGTCAAAAAAGAGAGGTCAATGCCGGAGTTTAAATGTACATTGTACTTAAGTACCACTATCAAACAGCAAAGTACAAGCCTATTAGACATACACAAAAGGAATGGATGGCTGAATGTGGTATAAAAGAAGACACAAATGGACACCAGATGACATAGTAGCAATTCCTCCAGGTTATCACGAGATTAGAGATTGTTCTATAAGCATACCCAGGGACATTTGGTTCAGGGACTTTGCTACTATTCTAATGTATTCGCTTCTTAAACTGAAGACTTTTATTTTTGTATTTGGTTGGTAAATGAGATGTCTTTTATATTTAACGCAGCATTACACATCGCATCATAATATTAGCACTGGAAAGTAGTACGTGCTCTTTGTTTTAATTCAACTATAGTCTATTGAGAGTTTTACTGTCAAATAAATAAATCTTGTCTTTCTGTTTGAATTTGAGTACATATTTTCATATATTAAATTATCCTTCTTGATGTGACGGACAGCCGTCCCTTTATGCTTGATCTAAAAAGTCATTTACAACTGTCATAGCATGCTATTGCTTAGAGAGAAAAGTAAAAGGATTAATAGGAAATAGAGAGACGCAACTTGATTTTATTTCACCGTTCCCTTTTATGTTATAATATAGATTTTGAACATTGGTTGCTGTATTATATTTTACAAACTGGATTGAGTGCTAGTAATATAAGTTCGATATAGTCAGGTAGTCGATCATGTTCAAACTAAACTAGAACGGTTACACATGTTCCATAATATTTAAATTCTTAAGAACGATTTACAGTCAATGATTGGGTTAAAGATACTTTCTTGATATTGCGTTTCGTGGGCAAGAAGACCACATTTACCTATTTTGTCATATTTCTAAACAACGCTGACAGCATTAATCTTATATAGTAATATTCAGTTCTTTTTTTTTTTTTTTAATAAGATCTACTTTCTTAGCCACCGACTTGACTGACATATACAGCTAGGAATCAATAACAATACAAAAAAAAAAAAAAAAGAAAAAAAAAAAAAGAACGTTTTATTTACGGCTTTATTCAACCTCACTAATAGCACAATTCATGAATATGATTAATGTATTCGATGTATGTTTATGTCGATTACAATTGACTCATTTGAACTCAAGATCAGTGACCAATGAATGCCTTTTAATATCTTGGGGTTGTCAAACAAAGGACAAAACTTAATTTTTTTAATGGCAATGCTTACTTGGCACATGGAGTGTGCCTGACTTGAGTTACATACGAATACCTTTTAATACACGAGGTTAAACCTTTAGCATTTTGCAGCCTATCTTGAAAAAGTTAATAAAGTTGAAGCAGGGTGACCAAGTAAACACAAGGCTAGTCTTTTTTGAATAGATATATTTTGCTAATAAGCTATATAGATCTAACCAAAGATTCAAGTACAAATGTAAAAGCTTGCCAGAGAGAGAAAGAAAGAAAATATTGGAGAATGTTATTAATAGTTCTGACCGTACAAATAAAAAGATGCGTTAACCTAGTTTATAAAAGTTATTCACCCAACTCAATTTACAACATGTGTTTCTCAATTAATGAGCTAAACACAATGACCTTTTTCGTTTACCTACCTTGATTTTTATAGAACATTGCTGACAAGCGCACTGATAGAATCAACAAATGGATCCAAAGAACGATATGATTGATTTTAAACAGTTTAATAAATACATTAAATGGGGCCTAAATATAGAGCATAGAGCATTGGTTTGAATCCTTTTTATGGCAAGCCCTTTTACTCTTTCTAAATTTTGATCTGGCAGCTGATCGAGCATTATTTAGTTTTTTTCAAAAACTGTGGATGCCAGTGTAGTCATGGTAATATATTACTTTGTGAACTGTTTACACGCATGGTTTTCGTAATCCCGAAATTAATGTTCAAATATGGTATTTTTTTTGTTTGTAGTTTATGACTATACATTTCAAGATTAAGTTGAGCTAATTCAAGCGCCTTTAGTATTGAGATTAAATGTTTATCCATTAAAGGAGTGAATCGGAAACAAGTATCTTTGAGTGCGGTTAGTAAAGAACAAGTCTATTTGTCCAGTTTGAGCCAATGATCAAAGATAAGCTTTTAATTAAAAAAAGTTGTATCGTGTGAATTATGTATATCTATTTTATTATTTCCCAAAGAATGTGGAACTTCTTTTGCCAAACGATACACGACAGGTTTATTAACCAAGTCTAGAATGACTAGAAAGGCAAGCGCTTTGACTGCATTGGTGTGATACAAAAAAGGTAAAATTCTAGGATATTCTAACGATTAAGAGTAATTTTTCATATACGCTGAATTTATTTATCCTTTTTATAGAACAAACATGAAATTTGATATTAAGATGGTGCTACGAATATTGTGATCGCCCAACTTATAGTTCATAGTGCAAATGTTTATCACCTTTACTAGGCACAAATTCACGTTTTACAAGGCGGAGTGTGATTCGTTGCTGTTCTTTAAATGGCATTCCTAGCATGAATCACTTGCCCGGGCCACCGGGAAGAATAAGGAATGATACACATATTGCTAGTGATTTTAGTGCACAGCGAACAAGCTAGTGACACTAGACAATTTATTTGAGACAGCATATTAACATAAAGGGGAAAGGCTAGTGTAATTTAATAAATGACAACAAACATATGTTTAAAGGAAAGAACAAAAAAAAAAAGAAAGAGAAAGAGAGAAAGAAAGAAAGAGAGATATACATGATAAAGAGGGCCATTTGTATAGATATAAAATAATAAATATGTATATAAATATGTATAATATAAACACAATTATTCATTGTCGTCTGTGCGCGGTGAGGAAGAGTTACTACTGCTACTGCTACTATTGGATTGATCTTCTGCAGCTGATTTTAAAAGTAATCTATCGTTGTGTATGGACGCAATTCTTGGGGCTGCTGACCTTCTTACTGATTTGCCTTTTGTATTACTCATGGCTTCAAAGTTTTGCCATATGTAATTTTTACATTTGTCTGCGTTTGGTAGATCTTGGATCATTTTTGCAATTGTATTTTTTCGTAGACCAAAAAAGTCTGGTCCAACTGGATTATGTCCATAGTCCATATTACGAATAGCAAAAGCTCTATTTAAGATTAAAAAATGAGCTTTTTCATTATTTTTATGAATGAGCTATTTACCTTCGAACAACAATGGTCCATACTGTAGTAGGAGTAGGACCACGCCAGCATTCATTAGGATTATCATCTGCATTGAGTTGGAACTATTTATTAAAGTGTTAATTTTTTTTTGTCGATCGATATTTTGAATAAAACTTACAATAGGTTCTTCGCCACCATCCAAGATTTCACAGGTATACTGAGTATCACTGTGTGGGTCAACCATACTACGATACCACCTAAGTTAAATGAAATGGTAAGACATGAGAGTTCATAAAAAGACAAGGCTTTTTTTTTACTTTTTAACTCGGTAACCAACAGGGTAAATATATCTCTGGTTGTGGAACGCAGCACGATCCCAAACGACAGTACCGAGGCTTAATACTGTCCAAGAGTCGACTTCAGCAGGCAAGATATATTCTCCATCTTCGTTCTTTTCGACCTCTATAAATGGTCGAATGTCGTTTGCGTTGGGAGGTTTTGTGTCGCGCTTTTTTCGTCTGGATTGGTGAAAGTAAGTGTCTGTGGTGCCTGTGGAGGTAATCGATCTAATGGTCATGGCTTGTTTTGTCTTTTTAGGTTGCTTTTGTGGTTGTTGTTCTGGTTCAGATGCCTGTTTTCTTTTTTGAATAAATGTGTCTGCATCGTAACGGCTTCCTGGCCAGTTACGTTGAATGGCAGGTGGATATTCGATTGGTTGGTTTTCATAGTTATGGTTTTGAATTGAAGGCAAACGGGATGAGTCTGGTCTGGCCCAGGGTAGTATGGGCAATTGTGGAGGTGACGGTGAAGCTTTAGCTGGTGGAGGTGGAGGTGGTGCATAATTATTATCCCATATGGAACGTACAGGCGGAAGATAGTTTTCTAAGGAAGGTGATGGTTGTTTTTGTTCTTGTCGTTCTTTTTGTTGTTGAACCTATAAATCAAATGTAAATATATTGCTCTTAAAAGGTATATTTGCGTTTTTACAGGTTGTAGCTGAATCAAAACTTCAATGTGACAATCATAAGCGTCTGACGACAACACTAATTTTCCAGTGGCATATTGTTCTTTTTCATTTAATACAGCAGACAATAAGCCATGCCCTTCCCAAACAATATTGGACTCGGCATCATGAAGGGGAGACCAGTTTTCTACTGTTAAACTTTCTTCAAAATTAGCACTGTAAACAGCTGCGTCTTTGTAAATTAATTGATCTGGGCTATAGGCGTATTAGTATTATGATTGGTGTCATTTTAGTATTTTCATACCATGAGGAACAAACAGATAATAAGCATTGTTTTAAAGGTACATTTATCCATTTCTTATCCTTATCCAATGTATCGATTTTCATATCAAATGAACATAAACAATGCTTTTGGGATCCATTGAATGTATAAAATATTTTAACTAAGGAGGTTCGTTAGTTTATGGTTTTATTCTCCTTTTTTTTAGGTACCTTTAGCTGTCTTTTCTAGTTTCAAAGGTTGATTATTGACCAGTATTTTATTAATAGACATAGATTGATGGCACATTTTTTAATGATAAATAGCAGCAGTAGTAATAATATGGCGTGAGAAAGTTAAAAAGGCATACACAAAAATAAGAGAAAAAAGAAAAGGAAAAAGAAATACACAAAAAAATAGACTTGTTGAAAGGGGCGGGATTAGGTTTATACTAAATAGGATTTACAGCATTAACAAATCAATGTTTCATTGACTTTATAAAAATAGTAAAAATACTTGAATTTATTCGATCAGTCTTTATGCTCTTTTTTTTCTTTGCTTGGCAATGGCTTTATTGTGCAACATTACAATGGTTAAGCATGCTGGAGTAATATGAAAGAGGGAAAAAATCATATTCTCAATAGAATAAGGCTAAATTATTTTGCATGATTACTGACATTGCAACAGGTAACCTGGTTACTGGCCACTATGGAGACACACTGCCAAGTATCATAAAGACATGACTCTTTTGAGGTCCCTTTTCGCTTTGGGCGTTAATAGCCAAAGAGGAAAATATGGCCTTGTGATTCGCCTTTTTTTTTGTTCTCCCGAAAAAGTTTTACCGATATAGGATAGCAAGTCAAATTGTGTGTTGAGCACGTCATCTATAAAATTCATATCTTTGTTTGGCTAACGACTTTCAGCGTGTAACTCAACGTTTGACAGGCCTCTCTTCTTTTTTCTCAATGATATTTTTTCTCGGTTGATCGTGTAACATTGACTTTCCCCCTTTATCCCAAACTACGGTTGAACTAAAAAGCTAAACTTTCCACCGTTCAGGAATTTTATGATGGTACAAATTCATTTGTAAGTCCTTTAACATTAAGTCACACATGTAATTTGATTTATAATACTTTATAACTAAATCTCGATTTGGCATGTAACCATGACTGCAGACCTTGCGAGAACCCTGCAAGTTAAAGATCTAGGGTTTCACTAGTTTTTATTGACTCTATTACTTACTGAACTTAAATTCGGCCATGGCCGAAGTCCAGGCCAAGATACGGTTGTATTAACAGCGATAAGGATGAATTATATAAAGCCAATATTAAGGTTTATTATATGCACGTTAATGTGTTCAGGTTTAACAAGTTACCCCAATTAAATTACCAAAACAATATAAAAGATCTCCAACTACCAATCTCCGACAACCCTGCATAGATTACCTAATTATGGGTTTATGTTGATAAGGATTCCCTTCCCGTTTCTCACTAAGCAAAAACAGACACAGTTGATTGGCTCATGATTTTCTATATATTAAACTTTTTTCCAGTTCATTTATTAACAACCACAAAAGAAAGGGGAAAGTATCACTCTCCTTCTCTCTTCTTTTTTATCTCTCCTATTGTTAGCTTTATACAAAGTTTTCCCTTGTTACAGTAAATGCTTGTAACATTGAGTATCACAGACAAACTTGCTCAACAATAGTAAACGCACAGTCATTGGTCGGGTGCGCATATAAACATCATTAAAGCCGCGCATGGGCGCCCTTACCTGGTTCGGATACATAATTCTTCAATGTCATAATGTAAACAGTAGAAATTTCTAAAGAAAAAAAAAAGAATTGTAGCCAATTACTTTATTCTATAATAAGAGAAGCGTCATCCTGTTGTCCATTTTTGTCACAAATATGCTGACCAAGGATCTGTTGCTGATGGTCCTGCCAACACCTTTCCTTGATTTGCATACATGCATTTTCCCACTTTATTTTTTCTTCCCACACTTCTCTTAGTTTTTTATAAGCCAATCCAGAGAGTACTTCGAAATGATCTACTGTTTCTTCAAGAGTTGCCTGTAAACGTTGTCGTAAAAGTCGTTCATGCTTGAGTTCAAGCTCCATCTGGTGGTAGCGTTCCTCTATTGTATATTTGCTGTTTTCTTTGGGCTCTTCTTGTTTGTCTGACTCACAGTCTACCGTTTGTACTTGCACATGTCTTACCTTGACCTGCTTATTATTTTTGGGACACTGTTTCACCATGTTTTCAAGAGCTGTGATGTGCTCACGGGTCAAGACCTTGGTCACGACATCACTTGGCTTATCAGCACCTAGTACTCTATATCTATTCAGTCTCTGCCTTAAACCTCGTTCTATCACATCATGATCGTCATCGCTTTCTTCTTCATCTAGGGCCTGCAGGGTACTCTTTTCATCTTCCAAGAGAATGGACGATACTAACTGCAAATGTCGAACTGCAGTTGTACTACTACTACTGTAACACGATTCTCTACGCGGTAACATGGGCGTTTTTTTAAATGGGTTCGAAATAATGTCGATATAATTTTTCTTTAAAGGAGTACTTGATTTACGACGCCTTCCAAAAAAGGAGGATCTCTTGGTGGGCACAGGTGGTTTTGAAAATTCCTCTGGACTTGTCGTATTTAAAAACTCGACAAGGGCCTGTGTGCCAGTCTTCTTTCTACGCTTTTCTTTAAATTCGTCATCTTCTTCTTCAATGTCTTCGTATTCTGGTTCAGATACAATTCTTGCATCCTTGGGTTCAAATGCTGCTGCCTTAAACGCCATCTATTTACACGCACACACACGTACACAAACACAAAAGGGAGGGAAAGAAAAAGAAAAAAGGGAAAAAAAGAGAGAAATATAAAAAGAGGGAGATTTGTTTTATTTCTTGTAAATATACATACGCCATTATTTATTATTTAACAACAAAAAAAAGGAGAACTTGCTGATCCTTTTACTCTGTGCAAAAGCATTGTCACCCAAGATTCAAACGGAGATTCATTCATCCTTGCTATCATTTATAAATACCAGTCTACGTCTTTTGGTTCTTCTTTCAAATTGAACATAAAATCACACATATAAATAGAAAGAAAGAAGAAGAGAGAGAGAGAGAGAAAGAGAATAGGCTGACTTCCTAATGTATGCCAAAATATAAACTATTTGGTCAAAATACAGTATTTCGCATTTTATTGGCTAAAATATGTATAAGCACCTTTTTTCCCTCTCTTTTTTTCTTTTATGGACCGTCTTCTTTCTCAATTCCAATTTGAACGTGTACTCTCAAACGACCCACGTACCAAACATATTTATATTTTGGGCCATGTCGATAACCAACACTGCATTCTATCTTTTGAAAAGACACCGTTTGAAGACAACCAAGTAAATAAACTGCCTCAAACATTGGTTGACATTGATCAGCATGTCGAAAACCACATTTATAGTTGGGGAATAGGTCAACTGCTCAAAAGTGATTTACACATCAAGTCAATTTACCCAGCAACAGATCTTCATATTGCCAAATACGAAGCACAGACTCGTGTCATGATTGTTGAGACTCCCACAGACTATGAGAGGATCACGTTACCTTACATCAAAGATATCCCTCCTAGTCGAACTCAGTGGGTCAAAAACATCTTGGAGGGTAAATCCGAGGCTGATCGAGTCATTTATCAGAACAAGGATCCACAGACAGGATTTATCATTCTGCCGGATATGAAATGGGATGGAAGTCAAGAGAACTTGTATTGGGTGGCAATTGCCCAGGCAGACATTTTATCCCTAAGATCACTCACGAGAGACCATCTGCCACTGCTGAAAAAGATACGTCAAGTAAGCTATGAACTGATCAAAGAAAAGGCTCAGTTAGAGGCAAACCAAGTACGTCTGTTTGTGCACTATCAACCCTCTTATTATCACTTTCACGTACATATTACTGCCATCACGTTTATAGATGCACCAGGGATTATGAGCGGACAAGCTCACTTGTTAGATACGATTATTGATAATTTAGAACATTATCCCCAGTATTATCAGTTGGCTTCGATACCCTTTCTGATAGGAGAAAATCATCCATTGACTGAAAAGTACAAACATCGGCATTAAAATTTATGTGTAATAAAAAATAAAATACTCCCTTTTCTCTTTTTCTCTCTTTTTCTTCTTTAAAAAAAGAGAGAGAGAGATGAACCAACAGAATCCAATGTTAATCAAAAACTCAAAGGATATTATTCAAGTATTAATCATCATATTTATCGATTATTTATATCGGTTATTCATTCTGGCGCCAATTTCAACTATTAAAAACTATTCAAAGCATCCTATCTCGATGACACTCTTATTCCTATTCTTATTCCCATTCTATTTATTCTTTAAATTTATTTTGATTTTATTTTCATTTGTGTTCACTAAACATCAACTTGACACTCGTCAAGACGAAGAAGAAGAAGAAGAAGAAGAAGATATACAGAAATGGTCCGAAAGATGCTCAATATGTTTTGATGCCAAGTTGGACTTGTGTCTTGACTATTGTAGGGATCAATTTTGCTTATCCTGCTTTCAAAAGTAAAAAAAAAATACATATTCTAGTTTCAGTCTATGATTTTAATATATACAAATAGGTACGTCTCGGAAGTGGTAAAGTCCTCTTGGGGACTTTGTGTTACAAAGATCAGGTGTCCCGTGTGTCGACTGCATATACCTCAGTCAGAATGGACAAGATACGTACCCAAATCGATTATTGACCTCTATGACAAGTTCAACAAACCGTACAGAAGCTATTCTAGATGCTGTCCTCAGTGTGAGACAGAGGTAACTCCTTGTTTATTTGAACCTGCCCTATATTACCCAAGGTAACTGCATATACATTACACATTCTAAATCTCACACGTTACATCTACAGTCGCTCGCGATTGATTGCCTCTTCCCTAAGAGAATTGTTTACTCAACACCCTTTGGTTCAAGTGTTTGAACGATCAGAGTGGAAAAACTCCAATTTATTAGAGATTCATCATCAGTTGATGGTTGAGATTCCATCCAAAGAAAAGGCAAAACAGATATCAAAGCAAATCATGTTGCTTGACATTCGACCCGATACCTGGCGAAAGATTCAGTTTGATCATATTTCCTTTTTTCCCGTCTTTGACTGTCCAACCTGTCACCTTCAATTTTGTTTACAATGTGGCTACGAGGCACATCCACCTAGGACATGCGAGGAGTACATGAAGCATCTGGTCGATTTAAAAAAGGAAAATCATGAAGTCCTGACTTGGGCATTGAAGCACAGCCAAAGGTGTCCTAGTTGTTGTATCATGATCAACAGAGATGAAGGATGTAATAAGGTTGATTGTGCCTTTTGTGGATTTGTCTTTTGCTGGGAGTGTAAATCAGCTTGGTCAGATGTAGGTTAAATGGTATATTTGTATACGTATTATTCATGTTTATTCCTATAGAGATGTGGATTCTTTGATTGTGTAAATAGTAAAAAGCCAAGGCCAATGGATAGTGTTCATAACCAAAGTGTGGATAGAGTAACGTAGATGTGAATGTGTGCTGGCATATATGACTTATTTCTTTTTTTTTCTTTCAGGCTGAATTAGGTGTTCCGGATATCTCTTTAATCGAATCAAGACTATCTCAACAATAAATAAAAGAAAGAGAAAAATCGATATTTATTAGGTTATAAATCAACTAATGTACTAGAAGAATCAGGACAAGGATACTCTTTTACTATAGCCTCCTGGATTTGCTGAATGGTTGTATTCAAAAGTACACCATCTCCTTGCTGTTGCGTGAACTGTACAATACAATCTGACTCTGATACAATTAATTCAATTCTACATTTCACTTGTTTTAATTTGCCTGTGTTTAATACTTATATATCAGTTCACTGTTTTAACAAATAGTAATAAAAAAGATTATACCTTGATCTGGCTTTGTCTTTATTTCTGCCTTATATCGTGTGGCTCCTGTTCTGTCACATTTTTCATAAAATCGTGTTTCCGTTGTCTAAATACAAATATGAGTAACAATGTTCTCAAAAAAAATAGACTTACCTTATTCATTAATTTATGTAAGGTACGCAAGATATGTGCTGTTTGGGTACTATAAACAATAAATGAGCATACTTTGGGTTGCTTAAAAAAGAATAAATGCTGAAGCCAGGATGGTTTAGTAGGCTCGATAGGAGATGTTGTAATATTAGAGCTATTAGAAAGTAAGCTAGGTGTTGTCGGTCTGTGTTGAGATCGTTTATCCATTGAAGCTTGGCTACTTCTTCTTATGGCTGACTTATTTTTAGAATTCAGGCTCGAATTACTTGTGCTGCTACTACTGCAGCTCAACGTACTTCCGTCAGACAGAGCAGGTGGGGGTGGTAAGGGTTCGTTAAACATGGACAGATCCAGCTGTTTTCTTGCCTTGGTATTACTGCTTCCAAGAGTGAACCCAAACTTTTTGGAGTTGATCGTTCCTGTCTTGGGCATACGAAGGGAAAGCCGTTTTGCGCTGATGGTAGCCGATTTTCTAGGTTCCATTTCATTTGAAGGGGTTTGATCCACCTTGGATTTTTTATCATTACTGTTGTTGAATATGCTCTTACGCCTGAGGGTGCCCATAAATTTAGCCGTTACCGCAGGAGTTGGTTCTACCCTGCAGTGGGACATGGTTAAACGCTAGCATTCGTCTAAAAATAGGTTACACTTACTTTTGAACATCTTTACTAGAACGACGAGGGTGAAGCGCCTTCTTAACAAATCGTGAATAGAACGTCTCGCTCTTCTTCATCTTTTCAGTTCCTGTATCAGCTGCAGATTTCCTACGCAGGATAGGCTCCTCTGGCACCCAGGGGGCTACAGGCTTATTAGCGGTCATAGATAAGCAACGTCTATCTCTTTCTGCACGATGCTCCAATGTCTTGTATTGTCGGGAAAAAGGAGGAGGCATTTCTGGTAAAAATATAATCCGCGGAAGATTAGTTTTATTTTTCTTTATTAAAAAAAGTGACATACCTTCATCATCTGTTTCGTCATCATGTTCAGCCTGCCAGTACTTTTCGGCATGTTGTTGAAGTAATACATAGACTACCTTTTGCATGTTGTGTCTAAAAAAGAAAAATGACTATTAGTTTTTTTGCAAGGAAGCCGCGGGAAAGAATATTTACTCCTTTTGCAAAAGTGCATTGATAACCACTTGGTCATCTGTATCTCCCCAGAGAAACTTGATGGTCTCCAGAATTCTGTCATCGATTTCGGAGGGATGTGAGACGGGTTGGCCGATGTCCATGGAAGGAACAGGTAAGTTGTGAATGTTCATCGGTTCAGTTTCTTTAAACCAAGGATGCGCCATGATTTGCTTCATCGTTAAACGCTTTGAGGGATCGACAACAAGAATGCGACGGATAAGGTCTTGAGCGGACTTTGAGATGTTGTCTGGCATCACATACTTGCCAGTCTTTACTTTTCTTAGTAACTGACGAATGTTTTCATCGTCAAAGGGTAAGTGTCCAGTCAATAGAGCAAACAGGATAACACCACATGACCAAATATCGCAAGATGAACCATGATATGGCATACCCTAGTAAACAACAACAAGTCAAAATAATAAACAAGAGCACATGATTTCTTTTTTTGGCCCTTACAGCAACGATTTCTGGGCTTGCATAATGAGGAGAGCCACAGCTTGTTTCTAATAAAGAACCAAGGGGTTGTAGTGATGCCATACCAAAATCAGCAATCTTGATGTTGTGGTTTGAATCTAATAATAAATTTTCTGGCTTCAAATCACGATGGCTATATATTATAGATAAGGTTATTAAACATAAGGGGGAATATAAAATCCTACACTTACCAGATCAAATGGTGATGACAATAGTCCAAACCGAGGATGATCTGTTGAAAATGATGTCTTGCTTCTGATTCGCTTAATTTGCCTTTGCTAACCAGGTATTCAAATAACTCTCCTCCTTCGACATATTCCAATATAAGATAGCTATGATTTAGGATAGTGTTAGAAAAGGATAGAATAAGGTATCATAATATTTCATAATTTACAGGTCTGAAGAAGCTGGATCATCAATCACATCAATGAGTGACATGACGTTTGGATGATTTATAAGCTTCATGATCGCAATCTCTCGTCTTACGGCCTTTTCGATGGCTGGGTTGCCTGCTAAATGTGTTTTACTGATAATCTTTATGGCCACTTGTTCTCCTGTGTTTTTGTGGACTCCCAGTTTGACTCGACCTTTAAGAAAGTTTATACATGTAAATATATATTAATTTCATCAAGTTACCTGAAGCGCCTTTGCCAAGTGTCTTTCCGACGATATAGTCACCAATGTATCTCTTTGGCTTTTGTGATTGTGAATGAGTAGAGAGTGCTCCAGAGCTACGTCTCCTGTCTCTTATTGATTTGGTGGATCGAGTGGTTGCTGCTGAGCTACGACGGCTGTGTGCATTAGAAGGTGGATAACCATAAGGTTCAGGTACAATGACTTGCATGATTGTTTATTAAAGAAGACTGTTGTATTGATGAAAATAATTTTTATAAAAACGTTATTATTATTATAATTATTGTAAGATTATTAAATAAAAAATAAAATATAAAATAGTAAAAGAAGGAAAGAAAGAAAAAAAGAATTATTGTCTCTTTAGCTGATCTTTCTTTGTTTATAACTAATTAAAAGGAGGTAATAATAACATGCATAAAAAGAGATAAAGAGAGAAAGAGACAGAGTGCATATAAGAGAAGGGGAAAGAAGAACAAGGCAATGTTAGGAGATGAAAAGGGGAATACGTGTTTCTAATTGAAAAAGAAAAAAAGAGAGATGTTAGGAGTGCTAAGGAGAAGGTTAAAAAAAAACTTTTTGACACTATGTTATTCCCATAGCATAAACAAGGCTTCCTTTTTCACTTTATATATGCATATATTAGACACCTAAAAGGGAGAAAATAGGGAGATTATGAAAAGAAGCCTTCACCATAAATGGCCCATTCTAGTGAATTTAAATAATCAATTCTTTGATGTATCAGCTCAATTAACTGTTTTATCTCTTGACCATGATGCCACTTTAACCATTTACTTAGGGTTTCCATTTCCTTTTTTCCTTCTATAGACCACCACTTGAGTTCTACACTATCACCAAATCCAGGCCCAATGATGACGATACCATAAGCCCAATAGGGTTCACTATTACGATACGCTTGATCTAACAAATCGCTGAAAATCCAATATTCATTTCCTAGTCTGTCATGTCCTGCAGACTGCATTCGTCGATTAAGTCTGAGTTGATATCGTATAAACTCGAGCCTTTTGCTATGAAAAGTTGTACATTCGTCCCGAATACATGTTTCTATATCCTCTATTTGACTTCTTATCTTTGTCAGTTCGTTCTCCTTTTGTTTCAAGCATTCGAGTTGATGCATTTTATTCATCAGCGATTTACGTTTAGCTTTATGATTCGATTCACGTATTTGATATTCCTTTGTCTCTTTTTTATGTTCTACTTCCTTTTCTTTAGGCATATTGCTCACTAGGCTTTCATGTGCTCTTTTTTCAAATAGCAGTAGTTCTAAAAGCTTTAGTATCATCCCTAATTCGTTCTCTTGCGTCACACGTTTCACTCCATGTGTAAGCTCTGGTATATTCTCATCGGCTTCTTTAAGTAGAGTCCACATATCTTTCCATCGATCTACTGTCATACCTTCTAGCTGCAAAGCCTCTGCAAGTGCCTGATCTTGTTGCTCTTGTCGATCATACAACTCATGAATATCTTTTTCTTGCATCCATTTGTTAATGATCATCTTGGCTCGTTGAATCACTTGGGTAGAAAGCTCAAAGGAACCTGTCCTCAAAAGAACAAGACATTTCCAGACGATCGTAGCTCCAAAACGTTTCATTCGCCAGTCACCTTGCACATTTTGTAAAGGGCCTAATATACTATGATCAAAGTCATAAAGATGACCAAATCTAAACATGAATTCACGAATCTGAAGGCGTATCCAGATCTCTTGTTGACTGTATATCAACTGAATAGGAGTAAGCTTGGGCGGTGGTCGCACATGTCTATAATAACGTTTAGATTACTGTTGTTACTGTTGTATCGTTTAACCTTTGCCCTTACTCATTTGTTGTAGCTGTTGTTGTTGATGTTTCCTAAAGAACAGTCAGTTATTTTATATACAAAGCACTCTTTGTTCATATTACAACTCTTCTTTTTTTACTTGTGCCTAGTTCTGGAGACTCTGTAGGTTGTCTCTTGGTCAAGAAAAAGTTCAAGCTATATTATGTGAGATCAACTTTTTTCATTTTTCTTTCTTTTTCTTTACGTCGTCTGTTGAAGCTTTGGTTTTCTCTCAGTTACTGTTTCTTCTTTTGCCATTCGTACAAGTAAGAAAAAAGAAAAAAGATCACAAGTCGCGTCTTTATATAAAAAATTTCACTTTCCGCGTACGCGTATGGTGTACTTTTATTGAACATAGTTTGCAGGGAATATACCCACTTTTCCATTCAATGAGCCTTCCCACCATCCAGAATCATCTTTTTTGGTAACAATGATCACATCACCTTCATGAAGTTGAAGTTCTTCTGGGTTGACAGCCTCAAAGTCATAAAGAGCAGTAACTGTTTCAGCCTTATGTAATGGTTCAACGTAACTGGCAGGAATGAGGCCCACTTGATGTCCTCTTTGTGCCTTGATCCAACCAGAACCATCATCCGGTTCGATGGTACTCAACTCATCGCCTTCTTGTATACTTAGTTCATCTTCATTTTGTGCATCATAGCTGTAAATACATCGAATATCTGCAGCTGTTGTCATTGTTGTTGCTGTTGTTGGTATCTGGCTTGGTTCAATATAACTTGACTCAGTATAGCTTGGTTCGTTATGGCTTGGCGGAACCATAGATAATGGTGTGTCAGGATGGTTTGATAGAATGGTCGAATTAGCAGGAGATAAAGAGTTATGGAAGGTAGATTTACTTTGTGATCGACTGACTGAGGCAGGTTGTGGATTCACTTGTCCTTTCACTTTACTGCAGTTAGGTGCCACCTTCATTTCACATTTTGCATGGCAATTAAATCCACAAGCTATATATAGAAAGCGATAAATAATTCTGTGCAAATATTAAGAGTATAGACAAACCTTTGCAGGTAAGACCTTTGTTGGAAAGTCCCCAAATAGTGCTGTTACAGTAATCACAAGTAGTTGGTATAGTAAACGAAGATTGTTTGAAATCATGATTCTTTGCTCTAAGTCCGTCATCTAATTCACTGTTGTTAAGAAAAAAAGAAAAAAAGACGTGTTCAAGTTACCTCCAATGTGTTGTATAATAAGGTCAATTTCACTTTTAACCTTCACCTTGTCTGTTGATAACATTGTTATATCCCTCATCAAATCAAGTAGTTTCTAAATAAAATGATCAATACTCTCCTTTCTATTGAACAACATACCCCTATACCTCATTTGCTTTGTCGTATTCTGCAGTTCCCTTGTTTTGTATGGATGACACCGCTGATTCCAATTGATTTAATTCAGTTGACTTTTTTGATAGTTCTTCTCCAAGTGTATCTAAGTATTTACGATCCTTGATCAACTTGTTATTCAAGAATATGGCAGCAGTGTCATTTGTCACCAAGTGATCATCCTATGGTTTTCGTTTTAGTTAATCTATTTCAGTCTTTTTTTCTTTTTCTTTTTTCTTTACTCTATCAATAATTGTCTCTGCTGCATTAGCTCCACCGTTCCAGGGCATAAAGCTAAATGTCACGTTGGCTGCTCGTTCTGTCGAGTCTGTGTCTAATGCCTTTCGGATGAATATACCGGATTCAATAATAGAGTCTAAATTTTCAATGGAACTCGAGACATCTTCATAGCACTGCTTGATAGTAGATATCGATGATTGTTCAATTTGAATGTATTGGCAGAGTATAGATCGAAGACATCCAACTCGCTCTGCATCCAACATTTCCAATTGCTATTTGCAAAACGTTAGATGATCGTTATTTCCTCTTTTTCGAAACTTGCTTTACATCAGCCAATGCTGGAAGATCTTGTTCGAAGTATTTTGATCGTTCTGCATTTGCAGCAGCAATGGCTAACAAATAAAGATTCTAATAAACGTGACATTATCTTTAATGATCACAGTCTCATATATCCTTTTTTTTTCTTACTTTTTTATTATCGCATTCTAGGTAAGCTGCGTCCAGTTGTCTTTGTATCTTTTCATTATCCCCACTCGACTTGTTTAGCTTTGACTTTAGAGATTCTATTTCTGCACATGCGTCATCATATAGCTGCTTTGCTTTATCCTTCTCAAAGAATGTCTTATCGCGCTCATTTTTCAGCTTTTGATAAAATGAGGCATGCTATATACCTCATTTATTAATTTCATGATATGCCACATCAAACACACACACAATACCTTCTTTCGACACTCTTCTTTTCTTCCAATAACCTCCCTTAGTTCATCCACTACTGACTGATTCAAGTTATCTGCTACAGCTTGACGGTTTTTAGCTATCTGTATTGTTTGTTTGAGAAGTTGTGTCCAAACTGCATTGGTTGTGCTATTGAACGAGAGGTAAGAATGTCTTGGCAACTGAGCTGGCCAAGTTTTTATATATTACCCTCCATTAGCCGTACTCTCGTCATAATTCCACTCATCCTGTTGTTGTTGAGCATTCTTTGGCTTATACTTCTTGGTCAAATTTTCTAGTTTTTGAGCATATTCACGTTCAATATTACTCTTTTCTTTCAAAAAGCTTCGAAATTGTGAAAGTGTTTGAATGCCTTGGCTAACATAGTCCAAGATGGAAGGTACTTGATCCTATTGACAACATGTCAAAGTATGATCTTTTTTCCATAAATAAAGAATGTACCTTCAAGTCTGTCCCAAAAGTCATATTTAAGAAAAAAAGAAAAAGAAAAAAAAAAAGAGAAGGGCAGCATAAACAAGTTCCATAAAAAGCAATTTTAGAACTATTTCATTGTGACGTCCTTGACGCGCGCGGGTTCATTTTGTATTGGATGCACACGAGCACGCGTGTCAACATGTGTGCTGTCCCTCCCCTGAATACGGTCAGTGCCAATATACAGATGCATATGGAATCGTTCAATTAGGTGTTTTTGGGTAATTATCAGATCCTTCAATATCTATACATATCTTTGATGCAAGAACCCATTTGAGCTGTAATTACACTTGTTGTATTGTTTAGTTAGTAGGGGCCAGGAGGGCATAAATAGAGTCTTTCTTTTATTGTCAAAGTGTAATATATGTACATTAAGGACTCCCCCTTTTTTTCTTTTAAAAAGTAATATGTACATTAGATATATAAAAGTTCAATTTAAAAATCATCGTCATCAATTATTATTCCATCTTGTATTTTTGTATAAAGATCCATGAATTGGGCGTGTAAATCAAGTAATAAGTCTGCCTTTACGTTTGACAAATGTTGCTTTAAAAAGTTGCACTCGAGTTGTTCTTCATCATGACTTGGAACAATTTTGCTTGAAAAGAAACTCGTTATCCAATGCTTTATCCATGATGATAATGATGAAGTGCTGTCATAAGCCAAAATATCTTGCTTCACTCGATTCAACAGATCATAGTCATCTATTCTTTCTATTAATTCTTGAGCAATCATCGCGTTCAGTGATGAGAATGTTGTATCTACTGTATTCCAATAGAGTGATACTATGGATTCTACTGATTTATATATTTCGGCATTCATCTCGTGAATACGTTTGCCAATGATCACTGGCATTTTAACAATCTGTGAATCTAATGCAAAATGTTAGACTTGTTCATTATATATTAATGAAGGACAATCTTATTTACGTGTGATGTTATGGATTCCTAGGGCATTTGCTTGAATTTTCAATGCTTGGTGGAGTTTTATTCTTGGTTGATGAGTTAATTCGATCAAAAAGATTTCACTTTCGGATGAAAGCACTGTATCAACCAAGTTCTCATAGTTTTGAACCACTGTCGAATAGCTGTCATATTCTTCGTCTGTAAGCATTGTAGATTGAGCATTATAAAATACGGTTTGTAATGGCACTGCTGCTATCACAGTGGCAAAGTAAAAACAAATCAAAAAAAATAAAGGATTCATTTGGAAGAATTGAAAAAAAAAAAAAAAAACAAAAAAAAAAAACAAAAAGAGGGAGTTCTTTATATAAACAAAAAGAATGGTCCATGCCATCATCAGTCTTGACACACCCCCTTACATAAATAGAAGTCGGCGCAAGTGATGACATGAATTTCGGTTGATACATAAACAAAATATCCTTCTCATGATGAACTCAAATTCATAAAGATCATAAGTTTTATTAAACATAAATAAATACTTCTATTTTGATCAAGTGATCATAGGGGATCAACATAAACAGTATCCTTTGAAAATTGACTACATATAAACAAAAAGCTCAACAGCCGAGGTTGGCCAAAAGGAACGGAAAAACTATTTTTTTTTCTTAAGGGGGTGTCTTATTTCTTGATAGCAAACCTAACAGGGGTGTATACATCAGTTGATATGCATATATCAGTTTCATTTAATTTACCATTTTTCTCTACAGTCTACTGCGTGTTTACGCACAATTCGTTTCTTATCATCCAAAGCGGATGTCAGTTCCTTGACAACCGATGGTCTAAACGGAGATAATATGTCTGACTTGCCTTTTTGAGCTAGACGAAAAAGTATATCCAGTGCCAACAGTCTGACTTGAACATCAGGAAAGCGTGTCAGTCTGAGCAACGCATGAATGAATGAACCGAGATGTTGTACAATGGTTGCTTGAGCGTTTGGTATCATATCTTGTGTTACTTTTAGCGTTAGAACAATAAGGTTTACGTCATGAGATGAAAGTGACAAGATGATCGGCATCATAAGCTATAGTACGTTAGTCTTTTTATTCTTATCATTCATGTTCTTACCTTGGGCAATTCATTAATGATTGCTTGTGATGGTACTTTCTGCAGCATATATAAAAGAGCCAGTAAATAGTTGGTTTGAAATTCTATAGGATGCATGTAAGCTATATGATTGTCACTATTTTTAGTTTCTAACCTGGCCACTGAGGATCAGCAGATTCAGACTTGCGGATAAACGTATTTGAACAATGATTGAATACTCTCTGCTTATATAGTATCTAAAACATATAAGACCTCAGCAACAATTTTGGCTTATATATATACTCACTGATATATTGGCATGTGCCGATTTGCATAATATAAAATCATCATCATGTAACAGTATGGTGAAGCAAGCAGCAGCATCTTTACCCATGTCGATTGAACCGCATTGCTGAATAACAACACTATCCAACAGTTCAAACCCATATGGATGCCCTCGCATCACTAGTGCTTTAATTAACTAATAGATGATTAAATAGGTATACATAAATATGCATCATTATGCTAAACTTACCCAGATGAATATATTGAAGCCTGTCTTCTTTTTATTTAAATCTATTTCATGTAATAAGGGTGAAAGACGTTGTTGAGTCGCTTGATAGATATAGTTTAGCATTTGTTCTAAATGAATAGAATCAGTATCGTTTTGATCATACATTTTGCATTTCCGATTACCATTCATCCATTTGTTTACAATAACCGCTACTGTTTTGGATAGCGTAGTGGACAATGCAAAATCAGAGTCTAGAGCAGCTTCCAAAAGTGTATTTAAAAATTCAGTTATATCGCCTACGGGTAGTTGTACCTATTTTCATAGACAATGTGAGCTAGTCTTCTTATGTTACTATTCTTTTTTTTTTTTTTTACATTTTTATGACAGTTGCCAACAATAGCAGTAAATAGCTGTGCAGCTAGATGACTCGTTTTCTATATATATAATGTGTTAGTTTATGTTGCTTTTTTCTCTTCTTTTTTCTTTTGGCTTTTGACTTGTTACACTTGTTATCTTTATCTGTTCGTATACTTGATTTTCATATTGACCATAAACAAACACCTTCCAAATGTTGTCTATCAGTTCCTTCTGGTCACTAATACACGGTTAACTATGTAAAATGGTCTAACTCAAAGTAGACACTACCTTATTTGTAACAATCGAGTAGTGATTGCCAGCATTATAGCATAGGTTTCAATTAGATGATCATCCAAATACCACTTGGATTGGATCATACTGGATATACAACCATTCAACACAAATGGCAATATCTTCCTATGACCAATATCCACACACTCTTTCTTGGTTGCCTGATAGATGGCTAATATACATGCGGCCAATTCATGGCAGTACACTGAATTGTCTTGGCCTAATTCAACGTTCCTTTAGTCTTTGTTATTGTTTACGGAGTCAAAGGGACAGTATAAACAAACCTATATGACTGCATGCATAATTTAACTTTTCCAATAATGGACATATGATTATTTTGAAAAGCGCCGGATGCACCCCTAGAGTCTGTATAGCCGCTAGAGCACCCTGATAGTTCCCCAGTCCATGCGTTTGATCAGCAAGTTCACACAGGACGGCTGGAACTGTATGCTCAGCAATCGATTCTGGAAGAAGCTTTGAGATAATCCTGAGCGTTGTCATGCAAAGGTTGCGGATATGTCCATCTTCATTGCCAAGCTGGCGGGTTAAATGGCTGACCGTGATGTTCATCTCCTCTTTATTCAAAAACTGTTTCATCAATACCATCTCGTGTATTCCCTTGAGGCTCGCCTGCTGTAGTATTGTATCAGGATCAATCAAGGATAACACAAAGACTTGCAGGATCTGTTGCTTGTACATCAACAGTGGCGTTTGGAAATCTCGATCGTAACCAACGTCTTCTACAGACCCATAAAGCTTCTTACTTGCTATCAGCAGTTCGGTCAAAATATTCAGTACTGCCTTTCGTCGTTGAGGCGGGTCAGTTGGCTTGTACTCTTGGTAAATAATCGGCAGGACGGCGTGAGTGACGGAGGTGCAGGCAGGATCAGAGGCTGAGGCAACTGCTCTCAGAATGAATGCAGATGATCGTGCGTTCTTGAGTTCTGGCTCCTTTAGTCTTTCGATGCACTGAGCGAGTAAAGTGTCAATAGATTTTTCGACTGGATCACGAATGTTGGCAATACTAATGCCTGTTCCCAGGGTCGATACCACGTTATGGATTGTGTCGAGAGCAACATGAACCATGGCTGCATCCGTACCCATATAGACCTATAGAGAGAGGGTCAAGGTTTTTTTTGATGCATTATGCTTTTGCTCACTTACCTCTTTTGTTAAAGCGTCAAATAGATCATGTACGTGTGGTAAGATGGCATGAGCACCATAGGCTGGTGCACATAGACTAATCGTTTCCATCGTATCTCGTTTTGCGCTACCTGTTGTCGACAACAGCTTCTCTATAAGCAGAGGTGTTGCATAGTACGCGAAATAAGGTGTGGCGGATAAACACTGACGAAGGCTCAGTTTTAAATCTTCGGTGGTTATCTCAAGCGTACTGTCATTGGGTGCTGCAAAGTGAATAGGAAAATAACAAAAGACGACATCAAACAGATCCTCGATATGTCGTGATATGTCAAATCTTTCAATGATGGCACGAACAAGTGCAAATGCGACTATTAGGTTTCGTGGGTCTTTTTCACCATCCATACAGTGAATAAAGCCTTCAATGAAATTGATCTTGGATCTTTGTAGTTCTTTATGGAACAGAAATCAGTCGGATATGCGTTTTTTTTTTTTTTTATTGTTTAATAGATTACCTGATGAATATGTATCAATTATTTTTCCTAGTGCAAGTAATATCTTGTATCGAGTTTGCTGGGATAATTTTGTAATAGCGATTTCATTAAATAAACTAACGAGGTTTAATGAATATTTGACTTGGTGCATCTTTTTTAATATTTACACGTTGCATAGTTGTATTACATTGGTAAGATCAATGACTTCTGTATGCACTAAGGTCGACATGATATTTATCCAACACGACATAAGGCCGGGTTCTTTATATTTTTCTCGACAGATGAATTGGGTTATGGCGTTCACTATTAAGGGTGAATGCGTCATTACTTTTTTTTTCTATTGTTTTTGTTTACCTGCAGACGAATTTAACGAGGATTGACTTGGTGTAACTATTGCAGCCAGTAATTCCACACCTGTCAAAAATAAGTGAATTGTTCTCTCCCTTTTCCTTAACAAAAAAAGACGTACATTTCTTTCTACACACGGCGTCTCCTGCCTTCCAATATGATTCTAAATAGTTCGTAATGTCTTGAATGCCAGTCGTATTCTTTGAACAATCTGGTTACAGCAGATTAGTCATTGCAAATGAACAAAAGAGAAAACAGGCTTACAAAGAAGAACGTAAGCCAAAAAAGAAGGCTCTATTTCGGTTTTCTCACTTGAACTAAACCAATCGCCAAGTAATGTTGAAATGTCCATAAAAGAAATTTTTTAAAAAAGAAAAAATCTGATAACTTCTCCGTTTATTATGGGACCTGACCAAAAAATTTTATCAGATTTTTTTAAAAGAACGCCCCGTTTTCACGCGGATGTTAAATTCGATGATGCTATTACAGGTGAAGGGCGAATATTATTGGCTAATGGTTTCTCGATCTTTTTTTTCGAGATTGATGTCTTGATATAGAGTTTGAACCGAAATCAACTGATCTGGAAAGAGTGTTTACACGCTGCTGTGGCTGTTCAAGATATACAGCAAATTAGATGGTGCTCAATTAAAGAGTACTACCGCATAACTGGCTCTTCAAGATATTCTGCATAATGAGAAAAGTTAAAATCCATCCAAGGAATAAAGGGGGACTGAAAGTAGTATAGTTATTTATAAAACAACAAGGACGCTTGTTTATGCTCAATATACTGTATACATGTTTGAAAACTAGGAAAAGCTTTTCAGTTTTTATAGCAAAAACACACGCAAGACATGATTCTTTTTTAGATCAAGGAAGACAGGGAGCCGAAGATCAATTAGTATATATCTTGACAAGTGGTACAAGCAAGGACAACAGGAAGAAAAAGAAGTAAAAAGAATAAAAACGAGCAAGATGATTTGCGGTAAATCGCAGAGGTTCCTATGATACTTGTAAAGACTTTGCATAGGAGGAAGAATAAATGGAAAAAGACAGATTTTGTCAGAACGCGGGTAAAGCTCCTCTGGTAGTCTTTGATGAACTAAGATGCAGCAAAGATAAATGGCCAACACTACATGCACCAAAAGTTAGGCTAATACTATGGGCGCTTCTTCTAGGCACTACATATGACATCATTTTACAACTTCACACTATCAAATTCTCTACTTAATTTAAGGCTGTCCAGCTCACTCTCTCTGATATAAAATGTGAATTCATCATAATTACACGTGAATGATTTTGGTTCTTTGTTGGGCGACATCATAGGTAATGGGTAGAAGCAGTGTTCGTAGTGTTATTCTAACCTCTAGTGCATTCACTGGTGCATGTAGTGCTTCCTATGTTTTATAGACCTTTGAGACGTCGTGAAGCTGCTAGTGACTTGGTAGTAGCCTTTATTGACGAGTATCTGCCATCGTAACTACGTTCAAAATGTACGAAAAGAGGGCTAAAGAAAGTGTCAACCATTCATAGTTACAGTGTGCTCAAATGCAACAGTTGCAGTGCATTATGGCAAAGAGATGTTAATGTAGCAGTCAAGCATATGAATATAGCAACGACTATATGACAAGGTCAAGAACGCTCGATTGTCTTTAAAAAGATCATAAATAATCGCCGTACCAAACACAGTTTGCCCTCACAGGCATTAGATTTTTACAGGATGTCTATAATCATACGTCAATCATCTTATGAATATTTTTATACCGTCTAATGTTTATTTTCAGCTTGTCTCGTTTTAGGTTAAAAACCGGTAATTGTTTCCCAGAATAAAGGTAGTGACCAGATTGTTAGAGCTGCCCTTGTGCCTCATTAGCTTTGATATCGATGTCCGAGCACTATTAAGAATGAAAACTAGTTACTGACTCATGTTTAAGCAAATAATATTACTGTCATCATTCACTAAAGTGTACACTTTCAACGAATAAATCATGCTTAGTCAATCATGAAAGGCGTTCAGCTTTTAAGTATTCCCAAGTTGAACTTTTCTCTCCACAGAAATGATCATATTTCTCATTAGACCTTGTCTCGTCTTCCTCTAATGGTTTAACTGAGACTATACATATATATATATTTATATAAAACTCAATTCATGTATATATATTCAATAAAAATTTATTGCTCTAGTTTTAGATGCCGTTCTCATTAACATTTGGCTTAATAGGCTTTTGTTGATACTCTTGTGGAATGTACTCCAATACCTCAACACGATCACCAACGCGAACCTTTCCTGAGGTAAGTGGGATAACATCACAGCAGAATTGGCCTTGACCTGGTTCATCTGTAAATTGACGATATATTTTTAGATAATCTGTAGGGCCCTTGCCATCCCATTCATCCTTCTTGCCGCTGTCTTGATCAATGCCGGGCACTAGTCACATAAGCATTTAGATAATAGAAACCTTTTGTTTTACTGTTGTTTTACCTGTACAACGTGCAATAGGTTGAACAATATAAAACGTTACTTCTCCGATCCTACACAGTTGGTCAATACACAAGCGGTGTGTGTATGCTATACTTTTTACTTTGCTACAAGCCATTTGTCTTCTTCCCAAGGCACGGTTCCAGATATAGTAAGGTTATTTCTAAACCGAGACATGGGAATTTGATTTCCTTTACTAATGCCTGTCTCCAACAAGCCTCGGTTGACATCTTCCAGACTTGACGTAAAGCCGAATGAGACGGGTGACCAATCTGCAAAGGCGGAGTGAATACCATCCAATTTGGGGTGTGAAGGTCTTGAATAAACCTTGTTTTTAGGATCTTCTAGTGTAACAAGACGAGTCATCCTGACTGGCTCGTCATCTTTCACCGGGTCATCTATACTGTGGTTATTTGCACGATCGTGCTCACGGTGACTAGCCAAGAACTGAGTGACCCACGCTGATGCCTCATCTCCCATGTCATACACAGTCAGCGTATCTTTCCATAAGGTTACCTTGCGTCTGGGCAGTAGAGAAAGGTCCTGTGTCAATGGTAGTCGGAGTGGTTCCTTTCCCTCCGCTGTCAAAGTCAAGGTGTTGTTTTCAACGTCAATGAAGGGCCGCAAGAGACATAAAGATGCGTACTTTCTGCATGTATAAAATGAGAAACTATATTCAATTGTAGATAAAGGACGCACCTCTGGGTAATAAACTTATTAGACTCATCGTCAATGATCATAAACCGTCTGTCATGCTTAATGCCCAAGTTGTCAATTTCACATTCCTGCAATTCAATCGAGTGACATGACTTGATAGGGTAAACGTGAATACGTTCAACAGCTGGTACAGTCGAGGTAGGCATATAGTCGCAAAAATGTGGCTATGTGAAAAGAAGGACAGGAAAAGAGAGGACCATTTTGTATTTATTGGCTTGTAATTCACACTCCGGATCTTCTATTGAATACAGTTTTTTAAGCCCTAAACTGAGATGGTCGGGAATAGTTTTTAGACATTTATATAAAAGAAAATGAATCTAATACAGACATACTAGATCAAATATTATTACAAACAAAAGAAGCACCTGATGCTATACAAAAAATTGGTCAAATTTATCAAAGAGGTTATGTGGACTTGCTACTTGATTCTTTTTTGTGGGTGACTTTAACGGCACTTTTTGTCTTGAAGGGCCCCAAAATGTGTGCCTTCTTATCAGGCATTGATTTATTGTAAAGAGCAATGCTTAATACACTATTAGGCTTATTTTTGAAGATTGGGCTTGTCGTAGAACATTGCCCGCTTATGACTGATATTGAGATGAATGGCTATAATCAGTAAGAGTAGAGTGAAATCATACATTATCAGAATGGACAATAAGATTAGTGTCAGGAGCGAATGAAAAGTTTTCTTTATGAGCCCAGGAACCGTTAGATCGTTAATTTATTTGTACGTTCCTACAGAATAAAGATTAATAATGAGTACTTCTTTTGCATTTTTTTGTATCATAATCGCTGGTATATATACGAATGGCATAAATGTGTATTGTGTCTATTGCAGAAGTACATGATTTATGAACTGTATTTCTGTCTTTTTTTTCAATTATTCATGCTATATAATGGTTTATAAGACACAAGTCAAAGGCAAAGTATTCATTACATTGAAAGCCTAGGCAAGTTGAGCAAAGATCAGCAGTTTCTACAAAGTTTTATCTTTTTTTCTATCAGTGTGCGGATAATTTCCTGAATAAAGTCTACATTTGTTCTACTCTTTCAGCTAGAGCCAATATAATATAGTGTGATAAGGGTGGTAATAAATGGCATATGGCATAAAGTGTTATCGTACAACAAAACTGCAGTGCTACATGGAGTGATACAAGTGACAGAGCATAAATGTTTATATAAATGCATGCTCGTGTGATACGATCACTACAAATGATGCATAAAATTTCCATAAATCAAAGGAATTGAAGTCAATCATCATCTAAAACAGCAGAGTTTCAACTTTGTGCTTGGTAGTATGTCTCTGATTACATTCTACGAGAAATATCGCTGCACATTGCTTTCTCGGGATAAGGTTCCTCAGCTATTTTCTATGAAATGGTAATATGTAGGTATGAATATTACTACTTCAACATACAATTGTAGCAAATCTGAAGCAACTAGAATAAGTTTTTAATGGTTTCGGCTGCAGAATGCTTTTGAGTAGAAATTGCAAAACCGTGTTTGAAATCGATCCACATCTGCTTGCTTGTCATTATACCTATATTCGTTGCTATGGAACCTTGCCTATTAAATCTCTTTAATATTGTTACATCTCTAAATAACCTTTTATAATATATATAAAATAGAATTACTCATAAAGGTCTGGACAAATAGTACTACTATACTCTGTACCTACTGCATTAAGCCCTTGAGATTTAAAAGATTTAGATCTTGATATGATCTGTATGCCTCCAATGTTATTGTAGGCGTCAGTTGGTGTATGCGGTAGCCGGAATAATCATTGTGCCCTTACCGTGACAACGATTGATAATTTAATCATGACTGATAATCATTCTAGTTCTTTCTTTGTACCTTGGAAACCTATCATGAATTAAACTTTATGAAGCATAGGAAGTCCAAGCCTAAAGATGAGTGGTATGATTTAATAGTAGAGTAGCAGCGGACTAACACACAGAAACTCCCGAATAAGTTTGCTGTGCTTAAATTTGAAGAGTACAAGATAATAAAAAGCGCCTTTTTTTCCTTTACTGACTTTTTCTTTCTTTTTTTTATAAACAAAAGGGGGGCATATAAATATGGACACAGTATTATATATTGCAGATCATTATGTGTTTGATACGCTCTATGCCAAAGTCTGGCCTTCCTATACAAAGACAATTGCTGGTCATGTCGTTTCTTCTTGGCCTCGAGACGATTTTTGGAGAGTGAACCTGTCGGTCTATCTGATTACTTTAACCTTTGGTAACATTCTCTATTTCTTGACTGCTACACTTTCCTACTACCTTGTCTTTGATCATGACTATATGAAGCATCCCAAATTTTTGAAGAACCAGATTAAAATGGAAATTGAATGTGCTCTTAGTGCCATGCCTTGGATGACTTGTACAGTTTAATTCTACATCATATTTTTCAAAACTAATTTTCTTTATGTAGTGTTTACTCTCCCTTTTTTCACTGGTGAAATTTATGGTAAATCCTTATTGTACGGTGGCATGCCAAAGACTGCTTATGACTGGCTTTACTTGATCATTTCTATACCTTCTTTTTTATTTTTTACTGATTGTGGTATTTACTGGTTTCATCGCTGGATGCATCACCCAAGAGTATACAAGTATCTTCACAAGGTAAAGATGAACATTTGCTATTGTAATACTGTATATTCATTCTTTTTATATTGGCAGTTACACCATAAATGGGTTATTCCTACCCCTTTTGCTTCACATGCTTTTAACCCCTGTGACGGTTTCCTTCAGTCGCTTCCATATCACTTGTATGCCTACATGATCCCTATTCACAAGTATTTGTATCTCGGTCTGTTTGGATTTGTCAACCTGTGGACGGTCATGATCCATGATGGTAACTTGGCAATACACAAAAAAAAAAAACATTGTACATCAATACTAATAATGATGTAATCTAGGTGAATTCGTCTCTCATTCTGAGATTATTAATACTAGTGCCCATCACTTTGTCCATCATGTTTACTTCAACTACAACTATGGACAATACTTCACCTTTTGGGATCGTCTCGGAGGATCTCACAGACAGCCTACAGAAGAACAGTATGACAAAACTCTCCGTGATGACCATAAAGTGATGGCACGTCAAGCTTTTGATGCTGATGAGATTGAAGGGGAAACATTGGGTGTAAAGCCAAAATACAAATAATTTATATCTTTTGTATATTAGATACATTATCATTTACTAATTACATAATCATTCGACATTTCTTTTTCTTACCCCCACTTTTTTTTACTCATTATATACACTTAATACCTCATTACTTGCAATAATACTCTAATAACAATTGTAGAAAGAAAAAGAGATTTTTTTAAAAAAAATAAAGTACAATATTACTAAATCAGGAAAAAGATGTTCCAATAGCTATGAATTCAATTAATCCTTGTGGATTGCTATACACAGTTTTAATACTTTCCTATAGCAATTTTGGCATAATGAAGTTGTATGCTCTGCGTCATCTTTAAATAAAGGGCATATTCTGAACCTGGTTAGTTTGGAGCGTACTGACCAGATTCAGATATGGTAATGATTTATGCAATAATGGATCCTCATATCAGTCTGTATAGTTGCAAGGGTAATGATTTGATATTCGATGAAACCCTCAACAAAGTGTAGAAAAGTAAAAACCTTACGCATTAACAATTGTATAAAAGTCAATAAACGCTGTTGCGTCTTGATATTTTATCTTTTATAAAAATTACTGGTGACTTTCACTGAGTTTAAATATGTCAAAGAAGAAAATGACAAAGGGTGCATGTTTATAAAAAAAAGTCCTTCTTTACATACATGTCACGATTCATTCTTTCTTCGAGCAGCCGTCTGTTCACAAAAAGAGCTTCTCCAACTATCAAGAAGGCATTGTTTTCTACTACGTTTTCCAAACTAAATCAACAAACTGATAAAAAAATAACCCACTTTGGTTTTCGAGACGTTGCAGAGGAAGAAAAAGAATCTCTCGGTAAGCTAATGAGAAGTGGAAGGATGAAAAACAGTCTAACAAATCAACTTTAGTGCACAATGTCTTTGCCAATGTTGCTAGCAAGTACGATGTTATGAACGATGCCATGAGTTTAGGAATTCACCGTATATGGAAGGACGAATTTATTCGTGCTATGGCACCTGGTCCAGGCACAAAACTCTTGGACGTCGCTGGTGGAACAGGTAGGAAAGAAATGTAGTTTATAGACGTAAAAATAGAAATCAGAAGCACTCACATAGCCTTTTTTATTTCCTTAGGTGATATTGCACTTCGCTTTTTAGATTACTGTAGAAACGTACATAATGACAGCACAGCTACTGTACAATTAGTTGATATCAACCCACACATGCTTGGTGAAGGGGAGAAGCGATTCCAAAAAACACCTTATGCCAACAGTAAGGTCTCATTTGACAGGAGTTTATGTGAAACTAAGATTTGTTATTAGCTAATCAAGCGAGCTTTTTGGTTCAGAATGCAGAAAATCTGGTGGATATTCCAGATGAAAGTGTTGATGTATATACCATTGCCTTTGGTATCCGTAACTGTACTCATGTTGATCGAGTGGTCAAGGAAGCTTACAGAGTGTTGAAGAAAGGTGGTCGCTTTATGTGCTTAGAATTTAGTAAAGTAGATAATCCATTGATTGGAAAGTAAGTTGTTGGCCCTATTATCATATGCTTTTATTGACTCAATATAGGATCTATGATATCTACTCATTTGATGTTATTCCTGCATTAGGTCAGGTCATTGCTGGTGATCGTGATTCATACCAATATCTTGTAGAAAGTATCCGTAAATTCCCTCCTCAAGACGAGTTTGCTCAAATCATTCGTGATGCTGGATTCAAAACAATTGGCAGTGGCTATGAGGATCTTACATTTGGCGTGGCTGCTATCCATAGTGGCTTTAAAATTTAAGCATTTATTGTAATTAATGTAATAGTACTCTGACAACTGTAATATCTTCATTCCAAATATACTTTTTAGTTTTGGTGATTAGTTCATTATTAACATAGATATTAGGAATTTCACTAGAATCGAGTCTAATATACAGTTTTCTTTTCTTGTTTTTCATAAAAGGTTCTCGTAATGTCACACGTATACCATCTTGAGAGACAATCGAATCAATTTCTGCTCCAGGTACAATATTTCCAGTCGAACCCATAAAGAAATCTCTACTACTATTCACCTTCATAAACATCCTCGTCTCATGGGGCTTCAAAAAGACAGGCGACTGTGACTTGAGCCAGTCGACCTTATCTTGCACCAAAACGTTGCTGTGTTCAAAGTAATAGATGTGTTTACCGTTGTGATCTAGGGGTAGTTGGCCCGTGAACGGTAAAGGTGATAGATTTGTTAAGAATATATATTCACGTTGATTACAGGCATATGTTGCCTGATATATATCCACACCCACATTAGTCAAATCAATCACGCTTGCCTCAGGTTTTGGAAACGTCGATGCGTAGAGGTCGTGTTCTTTTTGGCTGTAGAGGTTCACGTTATCAGACATGAGGGTCAACTGACCAAAGACAAGGTTGATCAGCAACAGCGTATACTTTTCATCCACGGTAAGCTTATTCTTATCTGATCGTATAAAAAACACATCTGGATCGCTACCAAATACCCTTGAGCCCATAGGCCAGCGGTTTAAAGAGGAAGTGACCGCATTCAAAGTCGAGACACGCTCACGGACATGGGCCAGTCTGAGGACCGTGTGGTCCCACCAGGGAGATGCATCGCTGCTCACGCGATTATACTCGAATTTCCCCCAGGTAGAAGCTAAGGGTACACCGGAGCCAAGGATGAGAGCACGCTTGTGAGTCAGTTCAACGATCAGATCCGTAGCGTCCCACATGATCTCACCTCGGGATTTGCCTAACCGAGGCACCATGGCAGCAGCAAACAGGAAATCAAGTTTAAGCAGTCTATAGCCCCAAACATCCAGAATGTGATCAAAAACAGTTTGGAGATAGGCTTTGACCTCCGGATGATAAATATCAAGTGCATAAAATCCACCCCAGTTGGGGCCGGCGACAAGCGGCTGAGTGCTGTTGGGATACTTTAGAAGCCAGTCAGGGTGTTGCTTGACAATCTTGCTTTTGAAGCCGACGGCATAGGGTGCTATCCAAAGACCAGGCATCATCTTATGCTCCTTGATATCATCTGCAAGTGCCTTCATGCCTCTTGGGAACTTATTTGTGTCGACGTCTAGCCAGTCTCCAATTTGCTGTTGATATCCATCATCGATCTGAAAGACATCAATCGGATATTCGTGTTCCTTGAACGCATTTAAACTCGCAAGCACATCAGCTTCAGTGACCCTTTCATAAAAATTATACCAGGAAGACCAGCCGGTCAGGTGACGAGGACTTTGGAATGCACGCGCCGGGTCATAGTATTCGGCATACTTGGACCATACGGTACTAAGATCAGCTGTTTTATCGATTTGATGGATAAGAAGCTTGATACTCAAGACATCGCCTTTGTTGAGTAGTTTGCCGTCAATATCCTTGTAGAGACTAAATCGATTTCCATTTAGATCTGTTTTATAGTATGTGTAGCCTGAGTGCTCGGATACTGATCCAATAAATACAATCTTATCTGATGATGTGTGTCGTAAATATGTATAAGCAGTTGCATGAAGTTTTCCATACTGTCCGGAATACTCAAAGAAATCGTAATCTCTAATAAGGATCAGAAGAAGAGCCTCACTTTTTTTATGTTTTTACCCTTGAAGGTTAAACTTGGTTATCCATGAAACTGCGCGTGGGATGGGCAGCAGTCGATTGAGATGTCCCATTTCCTTAACTGTACTCCAACATTGGAAACCTTCGGCCAACATGACATGTCCTTTGAGATTCATGTCTGATTCAAACTCAAGTGTTCTAAGTATGACCCTTTCCTTGGCCATCACTACATATTCCAGTTCGAAACGATCTTTATCTAAAATGTGTGTTCTCTTTTCCAAGTCAAGGCTGTCTGTTGAGATATCGTTTACAATAGGTATTGCAACAGCGATATTTTGGTTGTTAAGTGTATATTTGATATTTGCCACAGCAGATGATGTGAGAAGAGACTCATAAGGGGTAATTGAGGATACCATGCTTGAATAAGAAGCTATTAAGATAAATAGCCAAACTAGCATAGTAAAAGAGAGAGAAAAAGAGCTATTTATGTGATCTGAGCTTTAATTGACATGAATTTGCTGATCATTATGCATGGTGATGCGACTTTTACAGACATACTGATGCTCATCGTTCTTTATCACGAAAACAAAGGGATGACTTTTGAAAAGAGGGAGATATGTTAACATGATGATGTGTGTAACTAAAATAAGTGTGCTTTCATTGAAAAAAGGATGTTATATGAAGTTTGAAATCACCAAGTTTAATATCAGACCAAGGAAACACAGTGCACTGGTCTAACCTTTAAGAATTCTTTGCAAAAGATGAGGGAAGAATAACTGTTTTTTCGTCAAAAGATGAATGGCATTAGTACTTATAAATACTTTCAGCCCAAATATAACATGTCCCTTGCACATGTGTCATGAGCTAGGCACATACTGTTGTGGTCATTGAGCTGGACTATACATGGGTGCTGCTTCATTTACTTGCATATATTCTATAAGAATATTTAAGTGATCAAGCTACTTTTCGGGTATTTGTGCAATAGCCACAAGGATTCATATTCACTAAGAATAAATAAAATAGTCTCACATTACTCATGAGTGTATTATCAACATAAAATACACTATTGATAGATAAAAGGGACAAACAATTTCATATCTTGCTATTTCTTCTGCTGCCGTTGCCCTCTCTTCAATCGAAGATAAATTACATTCATATATCTATACATGCATTTCAGAAGGAAAAAACACGGGTTCGATTTGCAAGCACAAATTCATAAAGTACCAGTATGCAAGGGAATTACCCTAGTGAGAAAGGCCAACAGTGCAAGAAACTTATTGAACATGTTAATGTAGATTCCCTCCTGAGCAATATTAGACGAGATGCTCTGAAGAGAGAAATCAAAATTGATGTCAAGATATACTTAAAGTTGGCCGCACTACTTTGTGACCTGAATGAGACCACTGACAGAAAAACAATCAAGACTCAATTATATCAGTTGTATGCAGAAGATAGGGAAGAGGATGGTACTATTATCGAGGTATTTTCCAATTTAACCCAGAAGCTGTCCAAACAAAAACGTCTCTCTCCTGTTGAAGAAATGGAGTTCATCGTGAATTTCCTTAATCCCATTCTCTCTCCCATCTGTCATTGTCCTGATAAGAACAAGCTTCTCGTATGACTCAATCGACAAATTGAAAATACCACAGTATCCAAATCAGATACGATAATGATGGCAATACCACAGAAAACATCCGGCCAATACTATATGCACCAGAAAGTAGGCTAAACAATGTTGATATGAAGCTATCATAATTGGTCTTTTTTGATCAATTGATAACATAAAATTAAACTAAACCTTTTTTATCATTTTCTCTTGAAAAGGAAAACAAACCAAGATGGCGACTTTATAAAGTCATGTCTAGCTTGACGCTGCAAATATAAAAACTTTGCTGGACAGCATCATAAATAGCGGTTAGAGGCAACGTACGTAGGATTAATCTAACTTCTAGTGCATGTAGTATTCACCAGAACATCCGATGTAACATTGGGATACGTCGAAGTCAAGTCCGATGATTCCATATCGAATCCTGAGTTGGCTTTTGTGGATTTGGTTCGTTTGGGCATCTTTGGTCGTACTTTTATGCTCAGAAAATCCAATATAAAAGTAATCGTCATCCAGTATATTGGATACACTATAACTTTTTACTTGGTGTCAGAACAAAATGAAATCCAGTGATGGCAGACAAAGATTGGTGGTCTTTTACAGAAAGTTGTTGATTTAAAAAGATTGGTGTCATTGTATGTGTGTCAAATAGAATCTCATTACGAAAATGCAAGGCCATTGGAAGATGAGCCAAGTTCAATTATGGAGAATGTCAAGAATGCTTCGGATTATGATGAGGCCATTCAAATATGTCCTGAACTGACATCTTTATTCAATGCAATAGTCTATTGAAAATGGCAAGTTCTTTTTTTTGTCAAGACCGAATCAGAAATAGGCGCGTATATTCGCAAATATAATGTAGTTTCTCGGCGAGATATCACCGAATAGCTCAAGAAGCATGATGAGATGAGTAGTTTTGGCGCACTTTTTCATCCAAAATTAAATCTGAGATCAATCTATTCCGATCGTGTGGTCCGTCCGCAGGGGTGGGAGAAGGGAGAAAAACGGTTCCTACACCAAAGGTTTTCACCTTGTATCGCTCTTTCATTGGATTAGAAAAAGGGGAGAAAAAGAGAGTTTATAAACACTCCCTCTTCTATGTTTTGATCTATTAGATCCATTTCTTATTGAGTCCTTTTAGCTTTGTCATGCTGAGGTCAATATATCGGCAATTCTTACGGTCTACTAAGAGAGTGGGATAATGGCTGATTCATCATTCTTAATCGATTGGTCTCTTTTTTTTTTTTTTTCTGCTTTAATCAAAGCGCTTATTGACAGTTTATCATCTTGAAAGCGGACTAAACTCCCTTTAGTTTAGTTGACATGGATCTGCTTCAGGAAATTGGAAAATGGTTTCAACAAATCGATTTTCTCGATTTAGGTCGCATTCTATCAAGGACAACGAAATATAGAGTATAATGTCATGTGATATGCACGGCTGAACAGATGTGGGTCATTTTTAAAAGGTAACTTGCTTGTTCTACAAGAACGTGCACGGTTCTATTTGTAGAGAAGATGGAGTTCAAGATCTAATCTGATTGGTTTAACTTTATAATCTCCTATAGTTCATAGAGGATTTAAGGTAGGAGGAATAAGACAGCAGAAAGAAGGAAGAAAGAAAAGATGTGAATAATAATAAAAGCCCACTCTTTCTTCTGCCCCCTCCTTTTTTCATCTTTTTCTTCTTCTTTATTCACCCACTTCAAATGGATCTCTCTTGGTGTATCATGTGTGATCAACACTGTATAGAAGATAATGTAAGTAAAAACTACAACAAGTTCATGTTAGATCTAAATAAAAAAAAAAAGCTATACTGTTCAGAATCCTGCCGCCAAAAAGATGAGAGTTCAAAAATAGAATCAAAAAATCGCCTTTGCTCTCCACCTGCATCACCTCTACTAGAACCCTTTTTATCCTCTTTTAATCATGAAAGACGTACATCAAGTAAATCAATCATAAGCATTTCCAATATACCCAAATATTCTTTATCACCACCATAGAACATTTTAAGCATATACCCCTTTTATATTGTCTGGTCATATAAGAAGTAAAGAAAGAGCCATTCTTTTTTATTTTTGTGTGAAAAAGCCATACAATAAAATAATAAAAATCTATAATTTTTTAAGCTTGTTTTGGAAAGCCTTTTTGTTTACATATTTCTAAATGCCAATCATATCTTGATTCGGATGAGAAGCCAACGTGGCAATGTTGACAGTAATGCCAGATATCATTTGTAGTTGTTGATATACTTTCTTCATAAAATGATTGACTTCTTTTATGCTTGATTGAGTTGAACATTTGAAGAGTAGAGTGAAGCATATGAGGGAATGGAATGGGTTCAGAATGGGCTTAGATGAGTAAAGAAAGGAAAAAAAAGAAGATAAAGGTTGTATATATGCCTATTTGGCTATAATGAAAATCAAGGAGATGAAGTTCTTTATTATGATTTGTTTCTCTTTTGCGTCGTCATTGTCACTTTATTTTTTTTTATTATGCCACTTTTTTATTCGACAATAAAATATCCTTTATCATCTTGTTGTATAAATGACGACCTTGATAATTTTGTTGTGCCATTCCATTTAATTCAATCTACTTGCTTTTATCAATTCCTGTTTGGATCATCCCTCCCCTCACAATGACTATTAAGACTCATTATTGAGAATCAGCTCATCCCAAAGGTTATTTCAGGTAACCTGATTGGACATGTATACAAATGATTCGGAATGCAGTATCTTGATTCCTATTCGTCAGCCCTTTTTTGAAATGAATCCCTTTTCGTATAAGAACTTCGCACCCCTTCCTTGCTTTTTATATATATTTTATAAATCATGAATCTTACAGCGCGTTCTACTCGATTCCTTAGTCGTTTCCCTCTTAGGTCTTATTCGATTGCTTCTTCCCTCAGACAGGACACAACCGAGTCCATCATTGCACCAGATCATGTCTTTTCTGGTTATTATAATACTGGTATATCACATAAAACAATGGCTATATGTTTAATTAAAACTCTGTTTTTTTTTTTCTCAGGCACATCTTTACCTCTGAATGTTCGTCAGAGATTATCCATACGAGGCCAATCTCCTGCTGTCGTCGAAACTACCGAGCAGCAGGCTGAACGAGCTCTTCGAGCCATCAGGAGCAAGCCAACACGTTTGGATAAGTACATGTTTATGGCTCAACTTCGTCAAAATCACACGAGATTATTCTATAAACTCGTCACAGATCATATCGAGGTATGCTTATTTCCCACACGCGGATCAATTTCCTTTTTTTGACATTCTGTTGCAGGAATTTGCTCCCATCATTTATACCCCAACCGTAGGTGAAGCATGTCAGAGGTTTTCCGATCTTTACCCTTTTATTCACACGCCAGGTAAGAAACACATATTTGATACAAGATCCATGCTTATTTGTTTGAATGGGTTAGGTACACCTGATGGATTGTACATCACCCTTGATGATCTTTCTCATTTGGAAGAGATTATGGCCGATTACAAGAAAAGATCAGGCGAGGCACCGGATATCTCCGTGATCACCGATGGTTCCCGTATTTTAGGCTTGGGAGATCTTGGCGTGAACGGGATGCCTATCAGTCTGGGCAAGCTTCAGCTCTACGTGGCGGGTGCAGGTATCGATCCACGCAAGACGCTGCCGATAGTGCTTGACTTTGGTACAAACAACACATCGCTTCTGAATGATCCTTTATATCTTGGCAAGCGTACACAGAGGCCTGATGATGCTACATTCTACGCTGCTGTCGAACAAGTTCTTGATGCTCTTTGTCGTACATTCCCTGAGATCTTGGTTCAATTTGAAGATTTTTCAAGCGATCATGCATTTGGACTTCTCGAACGTCATCGACAACGTAGGCTCTGTTTCAATGATGACATTCAAGGAACCGGCGCTGTCATTCTCTCTGGTCTTATCAATGCTTTCCGTCAGACGACGACTCGGGATCATCGTATCCTATTTTATGGCGCTGGATCAGCCGCAATTGGTGTCGCACGACAGATCCAGGACTACTTCCAGACAGTACACGGCATGACGGAAGAAGAAGCTAAAAAAATCTTTTACGTTTGCGATTCAAAGGGACTCGTCACAGCTGACCGGTCTAATCTGGCTCCACACAAGGTCTACTATGCCCGACAAGACTATCGCTCGATTCGCTCGATAGACGAAATCATCGACACAATACGACCCACAGCACTCATTGGTCTCTCTTCTTCCCCGGGCGCCTTCACTCCTCAAGTCCTCTTACGCATGGGTCAAATAAACGATAAGCCCATCATATTTCCTTTATCCAACCCAGCTACCAAAGCAGAGTGTACCTTTGAAGATGCCATGAAAGCCACAGACAAAGTCCTCTTTGCGTCAGGTACAGCGTTTCCACCCTATGGAGGACGTGTGCCAGGTCAAGGTAACAACATGTACATCTTTCCTGGTCTTGGTTTAGGCGCTATCCTTTCTCGCCCGACCTATATCACCGATCGCATCATGCTTCGTGCCTCTGTGGCTCTAGCTGATTCACTCACAGAAAAAGAACGTAGCCAAGGACATCTCTATCCTGACTTGCGCCGGATCAGAGAAGTGTCGGCTACTGTTGCCGCGGCTGTCTGTGACCAGGCTGTGAAAGATAACGTGGCAACTCACCCTCGGTTGAAATCAATCAAGGATTACTTAGGCTATACCAAGGCCAACATGTGGCACTATTAATTCAATGAATCCCTCCCACTTTCGTTATAACAAAGCCAAGATCAATTCATTCTATCTTATGTTCATGTTTATTTATTATTATTACTACTACTACTTTGCCAATGAATGTATTGAACTATATAAATATGTAAAGTTGTTTGAAAAAAAAAAAAAAAAAAGGAGATAAATAAGTTATAATCGATGTGAAGGAATAAAGACAAAGATAAGTGTATTCAGTATTGACAGCAGAATGATAAAGGCTAACCAGAGCCATCCTCGCTTACGATGTATCTTTTTGACGATGACATCCTGGATGTCCGAATACACCATGAACTGGACCTCGCTACAAGTTATTATTAGTAAGGAGGAGACAAAGATCATCACATTTAAGGAGATGCTTACCTAACGCTACTAATACCAAACCACCAAGCAAATTCAGTAATACTTGTTAATAACGCTGACCATCCAAAAAAGAAGGGTATAAGAGCAAGCCATCGTGAAGTAGAGGAAGCTAAAAAGATAAGGGAGAGTTCAATCGAAAAGGCAAGAGTGAGCAAAAGTGTGCCTAAACCAAGACACAATCTAGACATGCCTATGGAGATGTTTTTGTGCAGGACGTAATCAACAAAGAGGGGATAATAAAATACATTAAGGATCTCAAACACGTGCGATCTAGCTGATTCAAAGACGACAGGTTCAGGTCGTTCGCTGTGTACAACCAGTTCTTCCAATGCTCTTCTATAATCCTCAGGCAAATGTACTCGTTGTGCTGTAGGTGAGCAGTAGGTGTTGTAGATACGAGTTGCGTTATCAATGAGGTCTTGACGAGACAATGATTTGTCGCTGGCTGCTGTACGAGATGCATAATGATTTCCTTGTGGTGGTAGGGGTAGTGGTGAAAGCAAGTCTTCTGTATCGGGTGTCTCAACATAGAGTATCTGATGTAAATCGACCATCGTGTTATCCTTTGTTCCTTCTTTTTCTGCAGCTGATTCTAAAAAGCGAGAGAGCCGTTGTCGATTCTGTCGATCAACACTCTGAAGATACGCTCGCCAGAGTTTATCATGTGTTTCAAGTTCCATCAAGAAGCTAAGGTTCTGTTGGGCCTTTCGACGTCTTAGAAATGTCGAAAAGTGCGACTGAGTTAATGGACTGTATGTGTTCAAGCGCATCATTTGTTCTAGCGTAGGCAATCCGTTCACTCTCAGGTTGTAGTCTTTAATTTCTTGCCATGCCTCCATGGGTGCAACCGCAAATGGGTCCTTGAACCCATATGTTTTTGTCTTTAGGCTGCGAACTGTACCCTTTGAAGGTTTTTGTATCATGGGCATGCTGGTAAGATATGGGTTTGTGGAATTAAGGTCGTTTAATGGAATGGCAATGCCTGTGGTTAGTTTTTCATCATGTTGAATTTTTCGACTCAAATCTTCTTCAAGTGCTGTCTGTATTCCAAGAGCGTGAAGTCGGCTATTTGCTTGTCTTATACTCCAACGATTGGCAAATGTAGTGTTGTCCTGAAACATTTTGTACAAGAAAGAAAGAGTAGGTTGTTACACCCTCCATTGGATAATTTTTTGAAAAAAGCTTCGGACTTTAGATATAGTTGTATTGCTTTTTCGAGATGAGTTTACTCCAAAAAAGGGAATTTGATTTGGTCACTTCATTACAAAAGCTGCAGTACAGCATATATAAGAAAGCTATACTAATGAGTGAGGGAGAGAATAGACCATCCAATTGATAATGGTTACGATATGGCATTGGTGGGGTCGATAATGTGGTTACAAAAAACGTTACCCAAGAAAAAATGACATGAAAAACTATATAAATTGAACAGCATAGTTGACCACTGCTTGTTTTTCAAAGCCAAGGCCTTGTGTAGTTGTTGTACATCAGTTACTAATTTTCGTGCTAAAACTGAGACTCTGATGGAGCTATTATATCTCGGAGCTTTAAGAATTTGAGTATAATTTCGTAAGAATACATCGTCCCATTTGTATATAACCATCTCTTTAATCAACCGAATTTTATAATGTCATTGCTGGCGCTAAATAAGGGTTTTATTATTTACGCAGCACATATGCATAGCATCTGCTCAATATGTGATGTAAGTAATTCAATATGCACAGCAAGTGGCATTAGACACGCCACATCTACACAACAATAGAAATTATAAGAGAAGTATACGTTAATGACGTTTTTATTATGTATTAAGACAAGAGAGAAAGATCATTATTACAAACAAACATCATTTTACATGAAAACGGGAGCTTTACATGGATTAATCATGTTCAATTAGAATTGAGCATGATGTGTTGCTAAAGTATAATACATTGTATGATTAGTCTTTTTGTAATGTTCTTTCTAATAAGATGAGGTGCTTATAGGGTAAATATGGCAGGTGTAATGTGTGAAAGGCTGTACATAATTTTGCGTAGATGTGGCGTGCCTAATGCCACTTTCTGTGCGTATTGAATTGCTTACATCACATACTGAGCAGATGCTATGCATATGTGCTGTGTAAATAACAAAAAAGAAGGATAAAGTACTAATTAAGAAAGGTGTTCGTATCACCAAGACTAGTGGAATTAATGAAAATCTATAACTGTATTAACACGTGTAAATAAGCCTTGCCTGAAACACATGTCTTATGACAGGAACAACGCCTATGCGCAACATTTGGATCCAAGTACGTCAGATTAGCTTTGATTTATTTGCAAGTGTGCGAAGCCGAGAGAGCAAAAAAAAATCCCCTCACATGGTCAAAACCCTGAGGGGGGCTATTCAAACATATTATATGGGTAAAAATAAACTACTTTCTAATATAGATGAGCTAAAGTAATTAATCTACGATCCGGTTACACATCTGCTGTAGTAGCAGTTCCTGAATGTGCTAGGTATGATTCATTTAAGAGCTTACAGTTACTTGCTGCTATAGTAACAAAAAGACTTTTAAAGAAGTCATATAGGGTAAACTGACCAAGGCATTACTTATCGACAACATTACTCCAGTGTTTGATATTATAAAGGAAGCTTTTATTTTGCATGAATTATTAAAAGGCTATGCCATGTGTATATCAATAAATAAAAGCATAATGAATCCGTTATACGTTTTTACAGCAACGAACAGGGTTTACTTCAAAAGTATCAGATGGACAGTGACTAAAATAGAATTTAAATCTGCATTCTTGCTCTATAGCGCCGGTAACAAGGAACATACTAGCAATGGAGAGAAAGAGGAAAAATGCCTTCATTTGTCTGTGGTTTGTTAGAATGGGATTATCGGATAGGAGTATTTATAATTGGGTTTTATAAGGTAAAATAATAAAAAAAAAGGGGGAGGGAGAGTGCAGGAGAAAAAAGTCTTGATTTCATTATTCACTTTTCAAACAATGAAATGTCCTGCAGCAAATCCTTTTTTTACTGTTTCACCATGTAAGCTATTTGGTGAATATCATCATAATTAATTCAGCTTTGGAATTAAGGAATTGTACGCATACTGATCAATATGCTTCTTATCGTTAATTACAGCCTTGAATATATTATGTTCAATAATGAATACCTATTTTCAAATATACCCATGTCTCATTGCAAACTAAAATGGTAATCTGGGTGCTTTTGATTCAAGAGGGTAGTCTATGAAAGTAACTCTTTCTGGCTCACTTTATAATACACTGTGAGTAATATTTCACTGATTTAAGCTTGTACAGTGTTTCAAAGCAAATAGGTGCGTTTCTATAACCCCATTCCATTTTATTTCTTTACAAGTGTTCTTTCAAATACACTAAAGGTAGACTAGTCTTAAGTCTCTATCAGCTAACCAAGGCCTTTTATTGAAAATCGCACGTGCATAAACAAAGACGGACTATTGAAGAATATTAGCCAATAAAATGTCATCATTTGAATAATCGACTGTCAACGCTTTGAAGTATTTCTGACCTACCTTTTTTTTTCCTTTTTCTTTTTCTTTTCTTTACAGATACTCCTTGCTTTTTTTCTCCCTGTGAAGATGCTTTGTGTTTTGGCTTTGTTCCATCCTTTAGAGGACTGGACACGCTCTCTGTTCACGCTGTAACCCTAGTACGGTCATGTTGGTGATTCAAGTGACTTGCAGATTCGGGGCTGGCTACATCGGTTGGGACCAGGCCCTGTTATGTGATTAACCGCTTTGCCCTTTATCTGTGAACAGAGAAATGCTCTCTAAGTGTGGCTACTCAAATAAATGCTTATGCTGTTACTAGGCGGTATCAAACCAAAAGCTACTTTGGGTAGTTTGCTGAGTCAAAACCTTCTTCTGAGCTTGTGAGACGACTGGTAGACGAGGTTGGGCATATCGATAGCTACTTGTTGGCAGTCTGCCAACCCGGCTGATAAGGACAGTGATCCTCTTACCTGGGGCAGAGGCTCTCCTAAATCTATTGGTTTGGGGTTGTTCATCTTGTACTTTCTAAGTTTTTCAGATGTATAAGTTCAGTCTTGATATATCACTCCTTTTATAAGGTGTATACACCATTGACATTCAGTGTATACCTTTATTTTTTTGGGATCATATGTACTCTTACCTTCCCGTGGTTGATCCTGTTAACCAAGACTGTTGTTGTCTTGAGAACTGAAAGGAGTACACTTTTATTATAAATGTAAATGAAAAAATGAAAAAATAAACTTAATATCTATTTAAAACGCGTGAAATGATTTGAGAGACTTAGCTATCTCTAGGAAAAGTGTATGACTAGCTGTATCTTTTAGTTGAAACATTTTGAACAGAATTTCTTCTACTATTCCACTTTTGGCATCTTTTTCATTTAAAACTTCTTTCAATAATACCCGCCTACTTTTAAGCGCACAGTAGCTTGATCATCATCATGTGTACTTTCTCTTAGGGTAATTCTTTTAAGTGTACCAACAGAAACAAGGGATTATTGTCTTCCTATGATGTCATATGAACACCAAGGATTTGCACATGATTTATTTAAAAATAAAACGTATAAACATGATCCAGCTCACGATAACTAGGACAATGTAAAGACCGGCATAAAAGTAATTAGACTTGAGTCGTTCAGTCAGCTGTTCTTGCTTCGTCTCGGCTGAGGATGCGGCATCCAGGAGATTATCATACATGATGCGATTTAGTATCAGCAAAGTGATGCCTGATAATATGGACAAGGTCACGATAATAATGAAAAAGTCAATGACTGACTCGTATCCCTTGTGGGCATCGTGATCCTGTAAGAGACCAGTCAAGATATCAAATATAGAGGCGCCAACATTGGTGCCTGACTTGATAAGGCCCATGCCGGTGCCAACAAGAGAAAGGGGCAGAATGAGAGGTACGGATGAAACAAGAGCGACCGGACCCAATGCCAAACTTACACTAAAACTGATCATACCAACGATAGGGTGAATGGGCGTGTATTCTAACAGAAGAAGGGCTAGTAAAAAGGATGCACCGCTTCCGATCACTATTTGGTGGCGTTAATCTCTGTCGCCATATGATACATCCAATTAATGCACTTACTCATCCAGGTACGTTTGCCATATCTGTCTGCAAAGATGCCTAACATAGGCATTAAAAAGATAGGCAGCACCTGTGCAACACTTGCAACGCCTGCAGCTGTTCGATCATTAAACCCAAAACGGAACTTGACATATTCGCTATTGATATGTAAAAAGCATCCCCATCCACCACCAAGCAAAAATTCCATGGAGGCAATGAGCCAAAATGAATGCGGCAAATACATGAGTTTAGACCAGCTAAATGATTTTCGCCTGTGAACTGACTGCTGTACTTGACAGCCTTGTTGGTTGGATAATACGCGTTTAAGAAGAACAATGTAAATCAAGTTGATTAGAAATGAAAAGATGCAAAGAAAGGCCGAAAACTATACATAGCGTGGTGAGTAACCTAAAATGTCTTGTCTGCTACAGAATATCGTATTTTATTACTTACCCAGAAACCGTAACCGTACCAACCTAGCCAGCTAGCGATAGGGACAACAGTTGCTTGAGCCAAAAAGGAAGACTATACGTCAGGCGATGTATATTATCATCTGTTTTAACATTTATACATATAATTTACTTACAAGTCGGCTGATCGTCATCATCAGTGCAATGACGGCAGCAAGGCTCCGACCTTTAAACCACTGACTAAGTATCGTTTCTTGTACAATGACGACTGTTCCACTTCCAATGCCATAAAGAACGCGGCCAAAGATCATGGTTGATAGACTAGTTGTTGAGGTAGATGCTGCTACCAAGATATTACCCATAGCAATCAATACTGTGGTTACAATCGACCCTGGGATGGTACCGAAAGCGTCAACAAAGATACCGCCGATAAGTGGCAAAACTGTATTGACTATAGATACGCTGGACTGAATGGTTCCATACTGAGAATTGGATATATTGAATTCCTAAATGCAAACAACAAAAAAGGGTGAATGATCAAAATACCAAACATGTCCCTTGTTCTTTACCTTTTTGATAATGGATTTCATTGCACCGAGAGTATGTGCAGCGAAATGGCTGCCCACTTTTAATAAAAAGCTTAATCATTTATTATAAATGAAGGGTAATCATTATACCTGCTAAAAACATGGCACATAGTAAAGCAACTATCTTGTATTTCCATGGTTGATCTGATAGTTGGTTCGTTGGCTCTACATACTCGTGTTGTTGAACATCAACCTTTGTATTCATGCTACTGCTGCTAATATCATCACTATTGATATCTCTGTAACCAAAGTCTTGCTTAGGTAGTAGAGGTGTTTTTTCTCCAGACATATTAAATAAATAATAGTAATAAAAAGAAAAAAAGAAAATGGAAATGGAGGACTTCCTTTATTTATATAATACGGACAAAAAAATAGGGCACAAGATGCCTCCGTCATCTTTTGGATCTGATAAATAATACGAATAAAGAATCAGATAACTTGATTTCACGTGGACATACGAACGATGACCGCCCCCAATTCTGAGTTTAAAATAAACTCCATATGTTGGGTCAAGTTTTTTTTTTTGGTTCTTTTGTTCAACATGTCCAAAGGTAAGAAAGAATGATTCTATAACGCGATGAAGCAATGACATGAGAATAGGCTCAACCTCATCCCAACCAAACGAACGTCCTCCTGCTCCACCAGGGCCTAAAAATTTTGTTGAATGGTATCTTCTTTCATACAACCAAGTCTCTTTTCTCGGCTGGTTTTGGATCTTGTACTTGACCGTCTCTGAACTATACCAGAAACAAGGTGATTACCAAGGCGTGTTTGACCTCGTCTGGCCTTCGCTTAGCTATGTTCAAACAGCTGCTTTATTCGAGGTAAGCAACACTGTTGGTTGGAGTAATACTCATAACAAGATAGGTTCTCCATAGTGTCTTGGGCTTTGTAAGAGCACCCATTATGACTACCTTGATGCAAGTTGCTTCTCGTTTATTCCTCGTCTGGGGAGTCAACTACTTTGTTCCCGAAATTCATACACACTGGTCCTTCTCAACCATGGTCATCGCTTGGTCCATTGCTGAATGTACGCGATACGCATTCTATATCTTCCACCTCTCAGGCGGAGGTGTACCCGGTTTGATCTCTTGGGCGCGATACAACTTCTTCCTTGTCCTCTATCCCCTTGGCGTATTTTCTGAAATGATGATGGTTTATCAAGCCTTACCTTATGCCAAGGCAATTCACCCAGCTTATTACTTTGGTCTCATTGCTGTTGCTCTTATTTATATTCCAGGTACATAAAAAAGATAATTTATGCAATGATAAGGGGCGTTTATTAAATATATGCTAGGTTTCCCTGTCTTGTTTTCGCACATGCTAGCTCAGCGTAGAAAATATGCAAGAGGTGATTTAAAAAAGAAGCAATAAATAAATAAAAAAAAAGATGGAAAGAAGGAGATTAAAGAGAGGTATCAACAATACCACCACTATTGATCGCATACGTCGCTTCACTTTCGGGCATGTCAGGTGAATCAAATAACTTTGCAACCCTTTCTTCTCCTCGTCCCTTTCGTAAGTAAATGCGTGTAGATGATCTAAAAAGATATGAGATAAAGGAATACATGATCAATATATACTTACGCATGAGCCTATGCATCAAAAGTCAGTATGTTTAACAGCATGAAAACAAAATAGCTTACCAAGACATGCCCTCCTACGGGCTTCTTTGGATCAGCAACAAAGGTCATACCGCCTGTATCAAAAAGAATCAAACCTCTATACTGCATGATAACTTTGACTACCTCCTGGATCGGATGAGACCTGATTTGTCATGAATACTGCAATATTATACTCTTCTGAGATCTTTTGTAGTCGATTAAGCATTTGATTAAGCTTTTGCTGTCTATCGGCCAATTCTCCACGACCAGAGTAATCACAGCGAAATAGCGAAATAATCGAATCAATAACCAACAGACGATAGGCACCCCTTTGTTCGGCAAAGTGAGCTGCGAGTTCTGAAATGAGTTCCATTTGTTGATCGCTGTTCCATACACGGGCAACAACAATGTTGTCTAGAACGACATCAGGATCTACTCCATATCGATCAGCAATGGCTGAAATACGGTCAGGACGGAAAGTGCCTTCGGTATCAATATAGGCTTTATAAAACAAAAACAAAAAAGTCGGCCACAAGGACAATAAGTGTATGATGAAGAGATTTACCTGCTTTGCTATTGGCGCCGCCTTCTTCAGACGATAGCTGTACTTGCACACAGAGTGTATGTGCCAACTGGGTTTTGCCTGTTCTGTACTCACCAAACGCTTCAGTGAGCGACATGGTCTGAATTCCACCTATTGACACATCAAATGAACAACATGTATAGCTTTGCTTTTCACTTACCTCCCAAAAGAGAATCGAGTTGTTTACTTCCCGTTGATATTCTGACCACTTTTTCTCTTTGAACTGCTACTTGCCTGGCTGTAACAAATCCAGGTCCCTATTGAAAAAAGGTTTAGGCATGACAAACATATATGTGTGTGTAACTTGTATTTGCCTCTATTTTTAATGCAGCATCTTTGATCTTGTCTACTTTTGCTTCTGAAAGCCCTTTGATCTTGAGTAGAGCTCTTTTGGTGGTCATTTGAACTCCCTTGAAGAAAGACATTAGATCATGGTAACATACGATATCTACTTACTCTGACTGTGCATAAGCCTGCAGTCTTTAACTTTATTATATCCGCGATACCTATGCCATGTGCCTGCAGATCGTCAATTTCTGTATAAAAAAGCTACAAGCTCATTAAAATCACTATTCCTGTTAGGTGAGCATCTTTACTTGTTCTTGAGATGATTGAATCGTCTCATTCTCTTGCTGTGCAGCTACTGCATCATCATCGTCATGTTTAGAAGGCATAAAGAAAGAAGACGAAGCTGTGGTTAATCGTTTACCCTTAATAAGCAAATACGGATGACCACAATCTGACCAATAAGAATTGCTTACAAAAAGTGAGGTGACTCATCTTCAACTGTTTAAACCATTATAAATATGACCCCACACTTTAACGCTTTTTCTTTAATTTTACTATGCTATCAAGATTATTAAACTCAGTACGATCCTCAATTACCAACAAAACTCACAACTCGATTATTGAAGATAAAGAAATTATAGTCCGAGCAAGACAACATATGATACCAAGGAGAAGTCTTCATGGTCTGTCAAAGAATGAAGCAGACGATTTTATCCAAAGAGACTTGGTCTCCAGTTCATTGTATTAAATAGTAGCATCCTTTTCTCTCTTTTTTCCTTCCTGTTTATAAATATGAATAAATAGTGTATATATACCCATCTTGTAATTAATACGACAGCTTTTTTTTTCTTGTTACCACAGAAGGACTTGTTAACCACCTGGCGTAGCAAGTAGACTACAAAAGAGGAAAATCAGAGCGTGCCTTTGCATTTCACATTGAATGTGTGAATACACTGAAGACTAAATATGGAATTTAACCCACTTACGACGTAATAAATCACATTGAATTTGTCGTAGTAGACCAGCAAATAAATACCATATTTGTGTCATGGCAACAAAAGTAATAATAGTCGTACATCACCTTTTCATGTATACACACACACACAGCCATAGCACGTAACTTTCTCCTATATAAAGTGGTGAAAATAAGTTTATGACAACGGCAAGACCACTTGCTGTGTATTGGCCAGAAGACAGTAATAAGCAACAAAATGGCGGTAGTCACAAGTAACGCCACCCTTGTTCAATTCATGATTCCATCCTCTTTTATCTCGTGTAACATTCATAATTAGAAAAAAAATAAAACTTCTTTTCTTTTCTTTTCCTTGTCCTTCTTTTCCTTTCCTTTCATCAAATAAATGTCACCTGTCACTGTCTCGACCTCGGGCATTGGTATTGCTCATTTGCCTAACCAACGACACAAGATTGTCACCAATAAAGGAACCAACTTCACTATCATGGTCTGTGGTGAATCTGGACTGGGAAAGACGACCTTTATCAATACACTCTTTACAACCATTATTAAAGAGCCCAAAGATCAAAGCAAACGATGGTCCAAACAATTAGATAGAACGGTTGATATCGAAATCACAAAGACAGGTAAAAATAGATTGCTTTTTTTATATATTTCATAATTCAACCTTCTTTTCAGAAATTGAAGAGAAAAAGTTCAAGGTCAAGTTGAGCATTATAGATACACCTGGGTTTGGTGATTATGTGAACAGTCATAACAGTTGGGTGCCCATTACAGAATTTATTGATGATCAACACGAGAGTTATATGCGACAAGAGCAACAACCTGATCGAAATAATCGATTTGACATGCGAGTACATGCCTGTCTATATTTTATTCGACCCACTGGTCATAGGTAAAACATCACAAAAGAGTAAATAAGTCACTCTATTAATAAATATTAGATTAAAGCCACTCGATATTGAAATCATGAAGCGTCTGGGTTCTCGTGTCAACCTGATTCCTGTTGTTGCCAAGGCAGATACGCTTACACCTAAGGATCTTGCTGCTTTCAAGGAAAGAATTCGCCAAGATATTGAAGCAAACCATATCAAAGTATACCAGTGCCCGATTGAAAGTGAGGACGAAGAAGTGACCAAACTGAACAAGGATATCATGGCTGCCATGCCCTTCTCCATCATTGGCTCTACCCAAGAGGTGCAGACCCCAGATGGTCGTACAGTCAAAGGCCGTGCGTACTTTTGGGGCGTGGCTGAAGTCGAAAACGAAGATCACTGTGATTTTAAAAAGCTTCGACACCTCTTGATTCGTTCCCATATGTCTGATCTCATTGAAACAACAGAAACGGAGCATTATGAAAATTATCGCCTGCACGAAATGGCTTCCCGTAAATTCGGTGAACCCAAGTAAGTCCATCAAGGGATAAGAAGATCATTTTTATTGATTCTTTATTAGGGTTGTCAAGGTAGAAAATCCAAAACACAGGGAAAAAGAAGAAGCACTTCGAAAGGAATTTACAGAACAAGTCAAGAAAGAGGAAAACAGATTCCGTCAGTGGGAAGCACAGTTAGTGGCTGAACGTGATAGATTAAATAAGGACCTCGAAACAAGACATGCACAGATCAAGGCACTTGAAGCAGAATTGGAAACTTTATACCATCAGCGAAATAGTGGTTCTGTTCGAAGATAAGTTCCTTTCTGGTTTCTTTTTTGCTAATTTTTTTGTAGTGAGTTTTTATTAAATAATGTTTAATTTAAAAAAAGGGGAATATATGTCTTGCAAAAAGGAGGAAGAGGAGGGGGGTATCAATGTCTATTTATAATATTTACAAGAAATCGTTTTATACATCAATCTCTAATGGTTGATTTCTTTTGTTGGCTTGACTAAACAAAGCGTATTGACAAAAGATGGTTGCATCAAACATGAGAGTACCAGCACTTCCGATAATATATGGTACAGCTTCTAACATGGTTGCACGAGTTTTATGTGGGTTCGTAAAGATACTGAGAACATAAGTTAAATTTCCCATGGCAGCAAAAAAGAAGAGAGCCATGGATAATCCTTCAACAGATCGACGACGAAAATTTTGATAAATTTGTGGTATCCTTGATGATAAATAGAGAAAGGTACATAGCCAAGCAAAGAATCTACCAATCCAGATAGTATTGTCCTGAGTGAAAATAAACGAGTCTTCATTCTGAGTGACAAAGCTGCTCTTGTTGTTATCGTTTAAGGTATAGTAAAATCCAGCCAGAACCATCATGGTGACATAATTCTTTTGCTTGGATGTGGATGACAACAGAGAACTGGTTTCATTCAAATTTTCTTTTCTGGCAATGCCTTGGCTAAAAGTTGGATATATATTCAGCTTGGGTTCATCTGTTTGATCAAACCAGCGTCTAAGACGATTGTCGGTATATTTAACATAGTATAACCACTGGCCGCAGAGGATAGTATCAATGATGGTATAGTAAATGGATAAGTAGAGCTGAAATGGCAATTGACCTGTGATAACGCATCCAATAAAATTGGCAACATCTCCAATAAGCCAAACAGTGAGGAAGCTAAAGCTAAGTCCCTCAGCATCACGCAGCTTATAGTTTTTTATCACTTGACTAAGGAGAGGAAAAAAGTCTTAATATCTTGTACTAATAATAGAGTCAATGGGACACTTACGGCATTTGTGCATTGAGCCAACAAAAAATGGATAGGTATCCCAATAGGACACTAATGGATTCTTGCCATCCATAAACACACTGTCCAAATATGTTCTATTTGTTTATTTATATGAGTATGTGGTTGTCATGGTAACTCTATTTTGTTTTCTACTCACATAGATCCATTCTATATTCTGTGTTCCATCATTTAAAATAGGGCAAACTGAATTCATTCTTTATAAATAATAATATAATAAAAAAAGGAGAAAAATAGAATAAATGCATTATTCATTATCATTTTTATAAAGCATAAAATGATTGTCGGTTATTCAAATAGATAAATGTGCCATCTGATCTCTTTATCCAAATAAGGAAGCTATGATTTGATGACCATCTTTCGTAGCCTGATGCCATACCCTTACAGCTCAAGTGACAAAACTATAAAAGGGATGGGGTCAAAAGGAGAAATGACCCTTATTTCTTTATTTTCTTCTTTTATACAAGATCACATGTAAAACTTATTAGAAGAGGGGGGTCTTTATTAAAACAAGTTTAGAAGCTGAATAACGACAAGTCGCTTATAAGGAACATTTTGCCATGCTTCAGTATTGCTAAATGTATCTTGCACAGATCTAGTGAACAATCGTCCATAATACGATACCATAGATACATACATGAATTAAGCACACTTGATTAAAGTAAATAGCATGTTTTTATATAAAAACCATTCACAATGTCAAGTATTTATTTACTACAATTATTTGAAGACAACACAGACGATGAAAGACATGATTCAGAAAGTGCAAGACATATATAATTATGTTATATGCTGCAACAATAACGTATTATTCGATTTATACTTACCCGAGGCCTCATGGGATGCACTACCGTTACGGACAGCGCTGTTGTATTTGACCACGTCTAATACTAATCTTTAGGTGTGAGATTACATTTGACTTAATTACATGTACCTTAATTAGCACTCCGAACTCTTTTAAAACAACTAACTTCTTTTTGCTCTGAGCTCTTTCTCTCATTTTTAGTAAAAGGATGAAACAGAGACTCATCACTTCTTTGCTTTTATTCTATACATTACACGAGTACTAACAATAGCCACAACTGCAACCAATACTTCAAGCACATTAAATCCAGGAGTACCATTAGCCTTTTGCGGGTCTTTTGAAGGGGGGAAGGCTTTCATTGTCATGCTTTGATTTATAAACAAAAATGTGGTATATATTTAATGCACTGTTCACATTGCGGTCCCACACTCTACCACAAGATTTACACTTGAGGACAGAGTGTACTCTTCGCTTTGATCCATCAATAGAAACTTGTTAAATACTCGTCAACATAAACAAACTCGGACCCCTTCCATTAAACCGGTTTGATATTTAAGGCCAATTGTACTTGATTTGCCATATTTTTTGTTGTTGACAATTTCTTGAATTCCTTTTTGCTTGTTGATATACGCCTTGAATTGAGCTTTTGAAACCCATTGCATACAAAACTCTGTTAAAATACGCACCATGCAGGATAGCGACATACCAATTGTCTTGACAGTAGCGTCTTTACAGATGTGTAGAGGCAGCTAGTAAGAATGAGGTCAAGTTTGCAGTTTTTAAAGTAGGTAATTCACTAACATACTTAAATTCGTCTAAATGATACTCTTGGTGTTCTTTTCGTCTTCTTGTAGCAAGACTGTAACTACACAAATGATAGTACTCTTCCAAGATTATTGTTCGAATACGTCCATGCTCCGTAGAGTCTATTGCAGTAAGGATAGTTGATATACCAAGATAAACAGCCTAAATATCTGCATCGTCAACTATATCAGCAAAACTCTTTGGTATATTTGGTTCTCTTATAGATTCTGACGTGTTTGGTATAAATCATTATAATACTCTAACAATAATAAAAATCACATTAACCACATTAAATCATGCTAACAGCATTCAATCTCCCCTATAAAGCTTTCAAGTGTCTTATTTTAATAATATTCAATTCTTCTTTTGTAAAGAATCTAATTCGCATGTCGACTTAATTGCTTTTTTTTCAATAATGGAACTGAAAACAAATGGTCTTCTGTCAAAGTGCGATCCTGCTCCGTCCCTCTGACCTGGGAGAGGAGAAGAGAGGTGATAAAGATGTATGAAATGTTTGCATACATTTATGTAAATAAAAAAAAGTATCTTGATACATCAAAACTCGATTATCTAATAAATATGCTTAATGATGAAATGCGTGGGTTGATTTCTGTTGAAGAAGAAAGCACGCTTTGTAATAGCATTATTATGAACAATTAAAAAAAATCCATTAATTTATGTTAAAGGAGGGCATACAGACTATTAAATAAAAACTATATTTTAATTATATAAATTTCAGATACCTAGCATTTTATTACAAAGATCGTAAAGTATTCCTCGCCTTTGCTGTTGAAGTACATAAGGCTGAACGTTGAATGTGCTTTTCGCTTTGTTTATTTTGAAAAGTGCAGCATTAGAAACAGTGTTTGCTTTTTATTACTGACCTGATAATGGAAATTCTCAAACAAACATAAAAGAAAACATGAGCAGTTTTTTTAAAATCATTTCACCTATTTTTACCTTTACTTTACGTGCTACATCGTCACATAGTATTGGTAAGGATGATATGCATTGATAAAGGAGCACTTATTAAGTAATAAAAGGTAAATAAAACCAAGTGTTACGCAAGTCTTATTCTGCGGCTACTTTCCCCGAAAATAAAGTCTCAGGACGCCATTTAACCGATAAAAAAAAAAGGTGTGTGCTTGTATCTTCAACCAACTATTTGCTCATAATGCATATTTACATGTGGCTTTTATACTGATGCATCAAGAATATAAATGTGTAAAACTAAGAAATTCATGCTAAACGGCCAACTTCTTTCTCCGACATATAGTGTATATGTAGGCGCACTATTTCTTTAGTCTTGCACAAATAATAGTAAAGTTTGTCTTTTTCGAAACCTGGATTACCTTTTCAGCATTATCAGCGCACACATAAAACACCGATATTATTAAATTTATTAGCATCTGACCAATTGCACGCGTGTCTAGTAAAAACAGCTCCCGAACATTTAGCTTCGTTATTATATACAACGTTATTGTAATGCACATCTATTACTCTAAGTAACTATGATATACTTTACACACTAAATTTAGAGAATAATATCGCGTTTCTGACAACTACATAATGTATTTACGAGACTAGACGGATAAGCGGTATAAATAGATGGGTAAACGTCCGTTACTATGATTGGCCGGCTAAATAAGCTTCTTACCTTTTTAGTGCAGTACGCCGGTTTTTTTTTTCCTGTGTGGCGTTGAAATAAACAAATGATTTTAAACTAAAAAAGGAAATTAACTTACCAAATTTATCAGGAAAAAGATAGACTTAAAATTCCGACAGGCACTCTTCAAGTCTCAAAGTGCAGATATGCCAAGCACACTAATTGAATTAAGCTTTCTTTAATTTTAAGCCAGCAAAGAGGTTCGTGAAACATGGATGAAACTATAAAAAGCATGACTTATGTACGCGTTTATTTTGTTTTCTTTCTATATTCAATTTAAAAAGAAAGAATAGTAAAAATGTAAGTAATAGTGAACAGAAGAAGACACAAGATTGTGATGCTTATCGATGTGCATCTTAGGGGTCTCTTCTCTAGATTTAGCGAACAACACGAACAAGTTCAAAACACTCCTCATGAACACAAGGGCCATCTTAGCCACGAAGTCATCGCTGGTGCTGCTTCTTACGAAGCTGTCAAGGCCTACAACGAACATTGTGAAAGAAACGGTAAGCCCGTTGACCATGCTACTGCCAAGGCCCTCCTTGCTGGCTTTGCTGGTGCCGCTTTGGACAAGTTGTAAGTAGAGAACAGTGTGAAGATATCAGTCAATATTCACATTATGTATAGGATCGAAACTAAGGGTCTTGACTTCATTGACAAGCAAAAGGCCAAGCACGAAGCTGAATCCCAAGCCAAGGAATACTATGAAGTCGAACACTCCTAAATCGTGTGTATACCACTGTATCATAAATAAAAAAGTCATACTTCTTCAAAGAAGAATGTTTGTATCAAACTGTTTATTTGTTTATATTTTTATAATGTTTGAAAGTCAATCATGGTCAATTTCTCATCATCAAGTCTTTTCCACGTTGTTATGACTTGACCATGTTCACTCAGTTTAATTATCCTTGAACGTCTTGGCCAGCCCATATGTGCAGCGCCATAACCTCCGACACCTGCTCCTCCCGCATAACATAATTGGATGCCTTCTTTTTCCAGGCAAAAATCATTAACATGATCGCGACCACTAAAAAATATGTTATACACAGGAAAATAATTCATAAACATGTGAACATACCAGCTTGCTATCTTAATGCTCTTGGCTATACAAAAAATAAAGAGTTAACAAGGATACAAACAGTGAAGGAGCAAAGTACCTTGTTTGAAGTAGTCTAGCGTAGATAGTTCGTTCTTTGGTGTTGACACAGATTCACGTGCATCACCTAATCTTGGGTATTCATGATGATACTCCCTTTTGAATTGAATAAGATAAGTTACATTATAGTCATTTTCTTACCAGACGGGAGCATAAAAGAAAATAGCTGCATTTGGATTAGAATTCTGCTTTTGAAACTCTAAATCGGATTGTGCAACCCATTCTAGCTGTTCCTTTTGAATCGCGTTCACCTGTACGTCACCCATAGTTTGCAAAGGAGAATCCAAGAAATAAAGTGTAAAATCATGGGTACTAAAGTACTTGGTTATTGCTTTTATAAAGAAAGCCTTTCAACTTACGCTGCTCTTGTTCCATTGGTATAAATCTTTTGGATATAGTTCCCGACGCCTGGTAGTTCAGCAGGTCCTTGTTCGATCAAAGAGTAAGGAATTCGTCTCATCACTTCTACAAGCTCTTCTCGGCTCAGCTCATTTTTATCATCATGTTCTCCAAACACAGCAGCCTTTTTGAGTGTTAATAATTAATATGTCAAATGTGGTGTACACATACCCAAGGAATTTTCCTTTGAGCCACGAGACTTGTAAACTTGAACACAACAGCTCTCGCGTCACTAACGCCTATATGGGTCTGTTAGTATACAGTATTTGTGTGAGTCTATTGTTATTTTTGTCTTTACCTGCCGCATTAATATTGTCACCAGAAAATACCACTAAATTAGGAAGTTCTCTATCCAACAGTTTGCTTATGTATTCAATCGTCGAGTCATCTCCTTTACAATCAAACTACGTATATGCTCATCCAGTGAATATAGAAAAGATTTCAACACATTGTAAATATTACCTCAGATGGCACGTCTCGACAGACACCCTTTTCATTGGTAAAATGTAAATCTGCCAACTGCAATATCTTAAACTCTCCTTCTTGATCAAACTCTAGTCTGCGCACCGTTGGGGGTTCTTAAAAAACAAATACTGTTAGCATGGTCTCTTTTGTATTATATACATACCCTGATATCCCTTTTTTATATACAGGTAGGTTGGTTCACCAAACCCATCCTTTCCGTTATTGGCACTATTTAAGTTCACAGGGATCTGCTCCCATCCAAACGGAGTTACCGGACGCGGTCCAAACTGTATAGCAAGATCTTGTATCGCGTTTTTGATATCACTGGAAGTTTTGTACCATAGATAAATGTCGTCTCCTCGTAAAGTTATTGAATTAAGGTTGGCGTCTACCTTAGTATAGCCCTCTGGTGTTGATTGATCGTTCAGTAAAACGACAATACTGTGTAGATGCAACTTAATACAACTGGGTCTTGAATACTCACTTACTTACTCTGTTACAGGTTCCTTTGCTTTTTCTCTCTTGTAAAATAGATATACGCTCATACCTACAACAACACCCTTATTCAGGTCCTTCTCAACTCTTTCCCAGCCCTAAAGATGGTGTTACTACTATTCTTTTTTGTTGTTGCTGTGCCTTGACATATATCCTAGAAGGATTACCTACATCCATATAACAATTTGATGTAAAACACTGTTTTGCAGTGATAGCAGTAATGGGGTCTAGTAGATGTCAAAGTCTTCAACTCTCTTCTTTTTTCATGTCTTTTACCTTTGGGACCATCCTGACTATAATACATGAATAAATGATACCCATCTACGCCGTCATTTAAATCAACAGGTATTCTTGTATACTCTGGAGCCACACTAGGCCCACTTCCTTCCTTTACAATGATTGAGCTGATAGGGTTTTTGGATATTCTTGTGTCTTTTGTATAATAAAGCCAAAGCGGAGATCGTCCTTGCTCCTGATCTTCCATCTCATTCAAATCAACGTCTAATCTTGTCCATCTGGTAGTATCTGAAATGACTGTTGTGTTTGTGTTTCGAACAATCTGTATATCAGTGATGGGATCTTCTCTGGGATCTTGTTTGAGATGCATAAATATGGACTTTGCTCCTTTGACGCCTAAATTCAAATCTGTCGAGATCTTTTTGTATCCAGCATAGTTGGGACATGCGTGGTTTGAGTCACAAGACACAAGCTTGATGTCTGTAATATACGCGTGAACTATTGAAATGCAAAGCAAAACAAGCAGAATGGTCACCATAAGTTTGAATATTACAAGACAGAAAAAAAATGCTGCAAGTATGTGTGCATTGCCTGTTTCTGTATTTGAAATCTGATTTGTTATCCTATCCCCCTTTCTACGAGGTACATTCTCAAGTGGAAATGGAGATTCGATTGGTTAAGGGCTTATTGTAGTAACCATGGTAACATGCTAACTCCGTCTTGTTCCTTTCATGGGCTAGATTGTCACAGCGTGAGAAAGAAAGGTATCTCGGATCAAAAAGATGTTGGACATGCTTGTGTCTGGCTCTAATGAAGTTGATAGTTGATATGGCAATGAATCATTCATATTGCAATTAATATTCAGTCGGCCTTACCATTATGTATCCGAGCAGAATGTAGCTTACTGTAAAGACATCCTTCGTCTACAAGAGGGGCCAGTTTCTGGCGGCAAAGAAGCTTCATAGCCACTTAGTTCTTTAGACCCTTAGCCATCGCTCAGATAATAATATAATGAGTATCTATGGCCGCTTGCCATATAAAAAGGAGACATAGACAATTATAAACGAAATAATGAATGATTCTGTGTCAAAAGAAGTGTCGTCATTCGCCGTAAAGGATAGGAAAAGGGAAGGTTAGGTTAAAAGTTTATCACCAGCACCACTTTTTTTTCAAATGTGAATCTCAGCCATGATTTTAATGGCCGAAGACCCTTATTCCCTTAATCCCTAAGCTCAGAGAAAGGGAGAAAGGGAGGAAGAGAAAGAGAGAAGACAAAGAATTAACCACCCTTATCAAAATAAAATTATTTTAAAGATAAGATAATTATCTATTTAAGGTAGTTATTCCCTTGACTCATCTTAAATATATAAATGGCTACCTTTTTTTTTCATCCTTTTCCCCGGATTTTATAAGTGTTCTCCAGCCCTGTGAACCAAAGATAGTTGATCAATTTGAATTGATTTGTTTCTTTTTTCTTGTTTAACATTGATCGATAAACATTCTCGGTAGATATCCAAACACCTTAAGTCTTAATACTAGGACAATTTTGCTCTAGAACTTACGGTAATAAGCCTCTTTGAATAGAAAAAAATTACAATAAGTGTAACCTCCGCATTTTTTTGTTGCGGGGATGGAGAAAGACGGAGCAACTGGGCATTGATTTGTATATTCTGCTACTCAATCATGTGATGACCCGTAAGAGACAAAGAAAAAGACATACTAGGACACAAGAGGTGCACAGTTTAAAATTAAAACAGTGACAGCATCCTGCATATCATGTTTCATTCATAAAACCTACAGCATGGCTTTTGATACATATATTCTATATCCCTCTCTCTCTTTCTCTGCTTCTTTCAATCAAAGAAGAAAGAGGGAATGCAGTACCCGTCATTTAAAGATACTCAGTATGTTTATATAATACATCGTATATAAACTGATTTGAAGTTCGGGCCTTGATGTGAAAAATAATAAAAAACCATTGTTAAAATTCTTTTTTTTTTCTTTCTCTTTTTCTTTTATCCCTCCTTCCCCTTCTCTCTCTTTCTCTTTCCCTTTCCCTTTCTCTTTCTCTTTATTTTCTCATAATAGATTATTGATAATAATAAATTATGAGAAATAACCTTTCCTTCTCATTTGATGAATATACCAACAATGACAGTGATTCTAATAAAATGCAAAGAAATACAGGTTATAATTACAGTCCATTTATTATCTCTATTTATTTATTTTCCTTTTTTCTTGCCTTGTAGATTTAATACCTTCAACAGCAAGTAACAATGAATCATTCGTCAACAATACCAATCGGCAAGGAACAACAATGCAAACCACAGAGTCTGATCAAAGCAATAGAATAGAGCAAACAAGTACATTACCAGATCATTCACCAGAAACAGTATCATGGAACCTGTCTAAAATAGTTCAACAATATGGCTCACAGCCTGAAATACTAGAGCTTATTCTTTTAAGCAAAATAGAGGAAGACCGTCGAAGAGCAGAGGAAGCAAAACTTAAGCAAAAAGAATTGGACTATCTGATATCTAACGGAAGCATATGTTCTTCTAGCAGTAATATTGGTGAAGACACTGCATGTACAAGTAAATTAACCAAAAAAAAAAGCGTACATTGCTTATAAAACTCATATTGTTCTCACTAGACAATAATAGTCGCTCAAGGCTAAGTGATCCAACAGATGCCCTTGCATTTTACCATGCACGTTTTAACGATGGGATGCGAAGACAATCCAGTGATACTGCCCTTCATACTAAAAAGGATTATTTTTCATTATCTCAGACACGCCAGCTTCATTTTCCTGATTCGGTCAAGAAAAAGCATAAAAATGACATTTACCCTCAGACCAGTCCTTATGCTTCCGTCAATAATAATCTTCAATTACAGCCGCTAGAGCAGCTAAACATCGCACGTAGATACTCACAAGGTGGTTCTTCTGGCCCATACCGGAGACCACTCTCATTTTCAGAGCAAGGTTCTTCCCAGACTAAGATCCATACGAGAAGCAGTAGAAGTAGTAGCAACAGCAGTAGTAGCAGTAGCAGTAATGCCTTGAATGTCAGCTCCAATCTTTTTAACCCCACTTATACCCAAGCTTTTCCTTCTGATTTTCGTCAAGAGAAGACATTGGCAACCACTGAATCGATTAAGGCTATGGATAAAATGCCTGATAATACCAATCAAGAACTAGCAATAATAAATCCAAAGTAAGCTCAATCTCCTGCAAACACGTATCTCATACACTTATCTAATATATCCAATTACATAGTATGCTACCCATCGATCTCAAGGGCAAACAAGTGGAAGGTCACCGTCGAGAACAGAGCAGCCATAGTCAGTTATCAGAAACACAACATGCAGTAAACAGCCTAAGTATCGCTGAACAACCATTTGTCGAAAAAAGCGAGGCTCATTCGGAAGGTGTAACTGCCTCTCATGAACTGCTCCATGGAAGTACATCCCTAGCGACAAACAACACGATAGACCTTCACAGAAACTTAAAACTACCATTACCGCCTCACCCACAGGCAAATCAGACTACAATTGACCTGCTCAGTCGAACAAGGCGAAAGAAACGAGAGATGCAACCAATCACAATGATTATCGAAACACGAGAGTTCCCCTACAAGGACCAGTATGAATGGAAAAATAATGGAAATACAGTGAATAAGAACTCGGGTCGAAGAAGTATTTACTATAAATGTTCAAATAGCAAACTGGTAATAGACATAAAATGCATATAGAATATTAAATAACTTAAACCTTTACTTAGGGATGCTCGGTGAATAAAACGGTGACGTTCAAGGAGAATGGAGAGTATCTAATAAAATACCGGGGAAACCATATTGACGCATGCAAAAAGGCAAACTCGTAGGCGCGTCTCCTTTTTTGTTTTTGTTTGTCATCGTTTCTATGGCTCTCTCTCAATCTCTTTTTATTGTGTTGTAAATATGAAAATGTAATTTAGTACTCTATAAATAAAACTATGGACACAATCCTTTGTATAGATAATATTAAAAGGATGACAGGCTTGGCTAAACGGGAATATACGTAATACAGATGAGTAGTCTTGTAAATATAAATGTAGCTTATCTGAATAGGATTAGATCCAAAGGCAAAATTCGAGCTTTAACTCAAAGACAAGCACCTTTAAAATAAGCAGCTTAATTTCGGATTGCTTTATAAATGTCATACTGAATGATAAAGTTATTCTCTAAAAGTAAATCCTCCAAAAAGTATCAAACAAAAAGAAAATAGTAATTGTTTTGATGAAAGAGTAAAGGCCTTTGACGTAATCTACTTTGCAAAATGTTACAACTGGAATTGGGGGTTTGAGTGTAACAGACGTAGTCATTTTCACGAGTGTTAGTGTGCTTAACCGAATTATAATCCAGAACACCCATGGGCTGCAAAACACTTGATTTGGAAGACAGGAGTTAAGAACGTAGTGTATATTCAAACTCATTTGAATGGTGCCAGAGCCTATCATTCCTATTTCTTACTCTTGTCTGTGTTATTACAGCCGTGTGTTTAAGCAGATTCAAACTCTATTTGGAAATATAAATAATAATTTCCAAATGGAAGCATGGTGCCTCAAACGGTCCGCTCCTGTCCAATTCATGTCAATGAAGAGCGTAGCGGAAGGCTAAAAATATTTCGAGATCAACAGTAGAAAAAAGAAGCAAGAAAAGGAAAAAAAAAAGTATATACTATTCTAGTCAAATCTATAAAGTAGGTGTTTCAATGCTTTTATCCAAGTCGTAGTGATGGTAATAGTAAGCCATAAGAAGAGGATGAGTATACCTGATTGTGCTGTATGATATATGGCCGGCCAACGGAAGTACCATGACGTGTATTAGAAGAAGCAAGGTTCCGCAAGAAGTCGGCGTAGGAAATCGATGTATTGCTTCAGGCCAAGTTTGGAATAAATTTCCGATGTTGCCATAAGAATAGACAAATACCCCGTCTCGGTATCTTTTTTATCGCGAAGGTCTCGCTGTTTATCAATATCGAACACTGATAAGTCATGATCTATCTTAATTTTTTCTTGTTCTTGTCTAGTCCGAAACTATAAGCCAATGGGGTGACTGTACATTAAATTTTCCTTTAGAGTAGCTATCAGCTTTATCAATGCATGAATCTATAGTATTACCATTCAGTTTGTGGATCGATTGTCATTAAAGTTCCACAGGCGGAGCCATCCTTGAGATATCTCAAGTGTTGTTAGTATTCTAGACTGACCCCTCGCTCGAAGTAGCCCTTAAGAGCGCTAGCTTTGTCGACAAAAATGCCAGGTTTAAATATACTTGCTGTTGAGTACTTCACTGGCGTTATCTTTAAGTGCTCCATTCTATATTATGAATCTCAGATATGCTTTAAAGCAAACTGTCTCTTTTTTACGTGCTCCTCTCCTCCATCGATCGATTGCCAATCGTTGTCTCAAGCGCTTGAAGTCACCGCTGATGAATGTTTTTATGCTTCCAAGTTCACAACGCTAGAATATTACCGGCCAACTCCCTTGATATCAACTCGATTCAGAGCTTTTGTTCGCAAATTAAAGACCGTGTATATCAGAAGAAGTCATGCGCTACATGTATCCAAGATGCTTGAGTAATCATTAAAGCTGAAAGCATAAATAATAAAGGATTAAAACTATTCTACCTATTATTAAATAACGCCGCTCCATAATTTTAACTTAAAGAGTTGACAAGTTATGAATTATTGATTGGCTACTACTTCGAGGCAGACTGGCAAGAAAAGATCCAAAATAACCAAGTTGCTTGATGTTCTATACTTGATATATCTTTGTATTTCATCCTTATACTTCTGTAAACAAAGAACTACAATCTTTTGAGCTCAGCACTGATGTGGAGAAATAACATCCATGTCTATTCAGATATGTCGCAAACTAGGCAGATTACTTTGAAAGACTATGGCGTTTTCTTAAGTTTAAATCCAGCAGTCTCCTGATAATTCCCATACAGTGAAGATATGCTTTCTCGCTGATTCTGTTTTATATCTCATTGGTAAATTCATGTCGTTCTTATTATTGACGGATAATCTTTTTTGAAATACAACCTTTTATGTATTTATCATGTAAACTGAGCATTTCAAATGGCGCTTTTCTTAAAGAGGTATTCACAAGACATTTCCACTGAGAATTCGCTTTTAAAAGGATGAGATAGTCATATTTATCATCAATCCACATACACGACATCTTCATGTTATCAATTGATGCCATTGAGTTGACATAAGTCTTCCTTTTTTTAAGCTGGCATAAGAAATACAACTACCAATAAGATGTTGTCTTTTTATTTAAAAGAGCGCAAATCAAAAAAACGTATCTAAGCTTTATTTGGACAGATTACTCTTTGGCTTGTGAATTATGGAAACTGTCCAAACAGATGGCAACAACGACAACAACGACAACCAAGTGATGAAACTCAGAATGGGCAGTTCATTTGGCGAGTTCACACGACGCAAAAACTGGTCACAGAGCATACTAGACGCCATTCGAGATGTTGTTCACGTACTATCTTCTGATCTTCGCATCCTTTACTGTTCTGATGCCTCGAGTGAAATTTTAGGATACAAGCCTGGCGAGATAGTTGGTCACCTTTTCACTGAATTTATTCATGTGGACGATGTTGATAATTTTGTTCGTAATTTCCGATTGACACATGAAAAGATGAAAATATTCAGAATATGTTATAGATTTCTTCGCAAGGATGGCAAATATGCTACTCTAGAAACTCGAGGCCAGTTCTATAAGACGTCATTTTTCGGAAATGCGCGACGTATACCAACTGAGGCTTCACAGTCGATTGATAGTATCCTTGACTTAAAAATGGAGAATGAAATGCTAAAAAGAAAGCTGGCAGTCCTTAAAAGGCAACGGCAATGGAAGAAATCCTCTAGTGAAGAAAAAGATTTGTCTAATGCACAATCATTGGCAGATGATAAAAGTGGTGAAGACTATTCGAATGATGAGATAGATATGCCTGCTCAATCATCACTTGTCTATGCTCAAGGTGTTAGCCCTTATCATAATATCTCAGATAGCTTGTCTTTGTTTACTGGATTACGATATGACCTGGGTGAGCGATCGATGGGCATTTCGATGGGACTGTGTAGCGGTGATCTAACAAACGTTAACGAGTCACCAACAAGTATTCCATTTGTTGAGAATGCAGAAATGCAAGAAGAGAATGATGAGTCCAGATTAAAAAAGGTTAGTTAAGCCAAAAAGGTAATATTGAGTTTCTTATTCTTTTCCTTGTAGCAAAAACGAATGTGTAATCGATCAGAAGGAATAAGGGCATGCACCGATTGTGGCACGACTGAATCGCCCGAATGGAGAAAAGGTCCACTAGGACCAAAGACGTAAGCAATGTTTAAGTTATTAATTCTTATGACTAATGAAACATCAGTCTATGTAATGCCTGTGGCTTAAGATGGTCCAAGAGAAAGAAACAAGAGCATCAGGAATAAAATTTTATTTATTAACTATTTAGAATTCTTTTTTTTGCATAAAAAATAAGCCAAGCATGTTTTTCGGCAATGGCATCAGAATATACCATCTGTTTTTGATATCCCTTTTTAACCCTAATTTCCTTTTCTGCATGAATCAAAATAAAAATTTGTTGTACAAAGTCAGCAGTAAGCATAGAGCTGTCTGTGTGTCTCGATGGCAACTGATTACCAAAAATAACAGTTATCCGGAACGGAACATCGGAATGCTGTAGTCAATGCAGAAACCAAAAACTTGGTACTTGTCAATGGACTTTAAAGATTTTTCTATTGTGTTTCTCCCGTTCCTTTGGTAAAAAGCGCATGATAGGCTAGACCCTTCCCTCGTACGATTTCTGCAAAAAATAAACTAAATTAAATTCAGACATGTCTCAGCTTATGTGAGCTAATCAAATTACAGAAAACAATGCAGAACATCTTCCCTGAAAAAAAAAAAAATTGGGTTACAGCGTCTTCGCTGATTCAATAAGCAAATGTTTTCTTTTTATTGGTTCTGTAACGCGCGAAGGTTGCCGAGACATTAGTATAAATAAAAGGATAATTTATTTTGAAAGAGGGGATCGTTATTTTACTATATCTTATTTATCCAATATGCCATGTAGAGCAATGAGCTACAATAATGTTACCGCAGCCTCTTTTTCTATACCAGCTGCATACAAGACTTTCCCTCCAGATCCAGTGAAGAGCCCAAGTCAGATCATCAGAGATGGTGCCATTGCAACCGCTAATATTATCATGAACACAACAGACAGTACATCTGCATCACTTTGGAAAACAGCCAAGATAACACCTCAAATCACTTCGCCCAGATCAAGCATGGGGCCAATTGATGACGATGTGAGCAGCAATTACTACTCCTTTTGTCCTGATTGTGGCGTTGATATTCTTGTGTTCTCTCATGAAAGCTATTGTCCCATGTCAGATTGTTGACTACTTATTTATCTCCCCGCATTGTATACTATCCTGTGCATATATATATATATATAGATTTACATATTCATTTCCTACATCTGTATAATCTCTTGTGCATACTATATAGATGTATATATTACTCATTGCATTGTTAATAAATTATATATATATGTATAAAATAAATGGCATATTTTATTATTAATTAGATTGTTGTTTCTTGATCAACTCAGAAGTTACTTTAATAATGGTATCTACTGTATCGCTTGGTACTTGATAATGCAACACAAGTCTTGTTTGATACCCTGAACTCTTTGGTATCAGTACATTCTGTTTAAAGAGCTCATCTGCTAACAGATCAATCTTAATTCCAACAGTTGATGTATCGATAAACACCATATTTGTCTCACAGGGGACAGTGATCTGAATGCCCATGGCTTCAAAGGAAGACGCCAGTCGACGCGCTAACTTGTGCGTCTCAGGCATGGTAGGTACTACGTTTTGAATACAATAATGGGCAGCAGCTGCTAGAAACCCTGCTTGTCTCCATCCGCCTCCCATCAACTTTCGTAAATGTCGGGCGCGCGCCATGGTGCTACTCGATCCTACCAGGACAGAGCCGATGGGTGCACCCACGCCTTTTGATAAGCAGACAGAGACAGTGTCAAAATACTGACCGTATGTCTTGAGTGGAATTCCCGTAGCTTGACTTGCATTCCATAACCGAGCACCATCCAGATGCATCTTGAGGTCATGCGATTGACAAAATTGATGGATACGCTCAATCTCATCCAATGGCATGATAGTCCCATTCAACGTGTTCTCGAGCGACACGACTCTTGTTGTCGGCGAGTGAAGGGGGTCGGTCATTAAATTATTCTCCATGTCTTCAACTGTCAGATGGTGACCATTTCTCGGCAATATCGGTGACGGGCTTGCCTGGGAATGATAAGACATACCTCCGCACTCATAATTATAAATGTGGGATCGAGCGTCACATATGACTGAATGCGGAGGCTGAGTTAAAAGCAGACGAAGACCAAGCTGGTTTGACATACTTCCACTCACACAAAACACTGCTTCTTCATGTCCAAGTAAATCAGCGACGTATCGTTCAAGGTCATGAATGCTTTTGTCTTCCTATATTTATCTTAGTCAAGCACTGTATATATTAATTAACTTACAGCAAAGACGTCATCTGCTCGACTTGCAGTCTTCATGATATCAAACAAAGCATCTGTAGGTTGTGTTGTCGTGTCGCTTCGTAAGTCGATTGCTTGATGTTTTGTAAACTTTAACCGTAAATTTCCATAACAACGATGAGAAATAGGTATGAAAGATCCTTTGGATATAAGCCGAGTAGCTATTGTCAACATTAGTGAAAGATTTGAAAGAAAAAAAAAAGAGGGGGTCGTACAATAAAAGTTTGCTGATAGTCTGGGGAAACAAAAAAGAGCTAATGTGACCAATCAGAGAGTTAGTTTCTAGAGCTTATAAAGGGTGTGCATGTGGGCCATTTTCATCTGTTTAAATGTTAATGTGTAGATAAACCCTTTTTTGGGTTGAAAGGTAAAAAAAAAGTAAAGCAAAATCATCAAGGAAGGCTAAGGAAATTAAATAGAACTATGTCTGAAGCTTCTAAACATTGTGGATACCTATTAAAAGGTCAACTTCCAGTTTGGATTTGCATGACAATTGAATGTTGATTCTATTATTGAACTCTGTTGTCAAATTATCTATAAATTTGGATTTAGAAATCTACAGATCGAGAATCAGCAAGAGCTCTGATGCATGAGATTGATATGACTGCAGCAATAAGCATGTCATGTAAAATACTTTAACTTTTATGCAAGGGATCAGAGGATAATTTTTCTTAAAAAGGGAACATAAAGGAGTGTTACAGTCAACCTCGTGTCTTTGTAACTTTAGTTTATCAACATGATTATGAGCACTACAGATTTAAATATGAAATGCTCATATGCATTATTGATAATAAATCACCAGTCATTTACTTGTACTCATAACCTCCTTTCCCCCTTTTTTGATCGGCAATAAAGCCTTCGAAAGTCACATTTTACTACGTCATTTGTTCTATACAGCTTTTTTTCTCCTTTTCTCTTTTAACCAAATATAAATGTCTACACTTGCCTTCCAACGTGAACTCGAACCTTGTTTAGCAAGGTTAGGCACAACACCAGAAGGTAATAAAAAGACGCTTTATAATACAACAAACCGAGATATATACTCATCTTTAAAGATCCCACTATACACCAGATAAACCTTCTTTTGTTAAAGAAGTGTATGCCATCGATGATATTGAAACACTTCGTCAACTGATTATAAAAAAGGAAAGAGAACGACAGGCTATTGCTAATGACTTGGAAGTCGCTGCTCGTATCGGTTTGGTTATTTCAGAAACAAATGAAGCCATTCAGCTAAAAGTAAAGCCAAGAAAGAGAGAAGGAGAGAAAATAGAAGAAATCACTAAGAAACTCTTTAAAGTTAGAACATCTCGAAAGGGAAAATAAGATGTTTCAGGAGGAATTACATCTAAGGCCAACTCTAAAAAAGGATGAAGGGCTAAGTGATGAAGAAGAGCGACTCTTTTTACAACAAGAGCTTGACCAAGCAAGAAGAGAACTGACAAAGTTTAGAAAAGAAATGGACGGCCTGTCTGCTCAGTTAAATGATATGGCGTCAGAAATGGTATATATAAAAAGAGTAACGCTTGGTGCAGGTTTATTTATTATTTTGGTAGGTCGACTCACGTTCGAAAGTCAGCGTTTATGCAAAACGATTGGGTAATAAAGATATCAAATGTTGATCAACATTATCTAAATAGATCTTATATAGCCGAGGTGGAGCAAAAATTAGCTGCAACCAGAGATGTGAATGCCAACCTACAGTCATTACTAGATAAAGCATTAACCTCACAAAAACAATCCAGTTCGAATACATCACATCTTGTCAAGAATATCCAAATAGACTTGGCAAGAGTAAGGTTTTTTTTTTGTTTCTTTGTATTGCCCCCAATGTCAGGTCTATTTAATCTTCCAAGATAGGTTATCCATGAAAATGAGCAATTAAGAGTTCGTATAGCAGAACTAGAGCAGCAGCAAGTGGAAAATGAAGAAAAGATCGCTGCCATGGTGATTCAGGCACAAGAGTATGCAACAAGATTGGAACAGGCACAGAATACGATCCACAGTCTGAGTGAGCCGAAGTTATTAGAGGACGATGAACTCTTGAGTTTTCATAGTGGTTTTCATCCACTTTCTGTTTCTTCACACGAAGGAACCACTAAAGAGACCGAGATAACAAAGGTACTTTTTAAAGGAGGCAAAAACTGTGTACGAAAGTTAATTGTTTTAGGGACCTGTGTTTTCAGCAGAATTTAGACAAGAAATGCAAAAGGAAATCGAACGAAATCTGAACCTAAGAAATGAGATACGACACCGAATCATCACTGCTGATAATGCATACACAGATAAAAAGAAATCTGGAGAAGGATTAAAATACTTGGTGTCAGAAAGAGAAAGTATAAGTGCAGCCAGTTTGTCAACAAGCACGAGTTCATCTACAAGTTCATCTATATTAAATGTCATGAAAAAAGATATATTGAATACCCACCATGAAGAAGATCATCATCAACAACAACAACAAGCAATGCCTAAAGCACCTGTTCTAAGGCCAGCTAGCTTCCTTACTGGATTTAGTGGATTTGGCTCAGAAGGACTGGGTATGGGAGGTAACTTTATTACAAGAGGCATGCCGCCCCGTACCTTTACCAGCTCAGGCAGTAGAAATAACGAACCAAGCATATCCACACGATTCTTCCAACGACTTACTTCACGTCTGGAAGACTATGAAAAGAAGACAAACAACAATCATTAAATAAAGAAAAAAAAAAAAAATTACCTACTCTTGTTGTCGGCCTTGTTAATTTAGTGGCATTATTTTTGAGACCTTTTCTTTGTTTCTTTATTCCTTTTTTTTTTAATTCGCATAAACATGATGACGCCTCTCAGTGGAGAGGTTGATTCTGACTCCTCAACTTCTTCAAGCGAGGAAGAATGGGTCATAACTTCTGTAGATAAAAAGCAAGTCAATAAGAAGGGATCACCAAGATTAGTCTTGAATACTAGCCCAAAAATACATTCTTCAACATCATCCCTTTCCAACCTACAAAAGTCTTCTTCAAGCTCGGCCTGTTCAAGCAAAAATGATTCACCTATTATACATTCTGTACCTTTACAATACATTTCTGACAGCGAGATAAAGAATATATGCGTTCAAAGTGATGCCAAAGCGCTTATTAGTCAACTTGTTCGTGTGTACAAGAGTGCAGATATCTTTTTGAAGATCAGAGACATAGAAACACAATCCTCAATGACGTTTGAAATGAGACTTAAAGAACACATGGCACATTGTGAAGATCCATGTGATTTTATTATTGTAAGTTGTTTTTTGTTTTTTTGTTTATATAAGCGAGAAATAACCCTCCTTTTCTTATTCAAGAACTGTTTAGAAGAACTCTCGGTCTATTTTTCAGAAAATGCAAAGATAAGAGAACTTACACCCAAATTTCGACGGTTGCTGACCGAGGTACTGTGTAAAGGTCTGTATTATTTCTTGGAAACACCTATGCATGAACGACAAACCAGCATCGAGAATGAACCTGATCTGATCTCATTTGATGATGATGAAGTGGTTGTGCCTACCCAGACAACGCAAGGAGAGATGGATCTGATCTCTTTTGATGAACCTGAAATGCTTGTACCAGTAGATCATGCAAATTTTGAGGGTGATGATGACTATGACAGTTCAGATGACGAAGAGATTCCCGTCATCAACCTGTCCTCTCCTATCGATAAATATGTCATCTTACCCAAACACCAAAACAAACTAGTTGACAAAATTGACACGATCCCTTCGCCTGTCATCATTTACTATGCAATAGATACTTTTAAGCTGCAAGATGTTATCGCTTGCGGCTGTCTACGCGAAGAGGATGGCGTCAGATTGGTCCGCAAATTAATAAAATATGGGTATTTTAATGAAGCCATTACGGCCATCAAGAAATTAGACCTCTTTCCTCGTTTTGACATCCCAGCTATAGCCACCGACCTGTTTACGTCAGGACAAGGCATGCTCCTTCCGACGCTTGTCAGCCAACGGCCGATCTTGCAACGAGAATTACTTGACTTTATTGACAAGCAGCTGAGGTTCAGTTTCGCGGGATCACTAGGAATTGTGGCACCCGAACGACTGAGCAATGTTGACGAGGTACAACAGTTATCAAGATTGAAAGAACGCAAGTTTCAAAAGGACCTTGTGACATGTGGAACAAAAGTGGCTCAGGAACTCAAGATTAGCATTGAAGAGTACTACTTCGTTCACTTGTCGCAGCGATACGCGTGTCTTCGATGGATCCTTGCTCAACGCGCTATTCAGCAAATGGAAGATCAAGACTTGTCAATCGAAAAGAGCAGCAACTACAATGGACTGATTGACTATGTGTGCGAAAATGATAAGGCATTGGCTAAGTTGACAATCAAGGAACTGACAGATATGGGTGATACCAAATCAGCTGCCTATTTTGCTACCTGTTATAAAGAGGAAGCATTTTACTGCAAGTACAATGCATTACCTCTGAATGAACGGTCAGTGGGTATTGTCAAGGGTGAACAATTGTCTCGTCATTGGACTTCTCTTCCGCCGAAAAAGCCAAGTAATCCAAGTAAATTACCTTATTACGAGCTTCCTCCACATGCGGTCACCGTGATGGTCGATTCAGAAAAGACATTGATGTTTATGAAGGATATCTTGTCTCAATCGCACAGATGCGGTATTGATACGGAATGGGTACCTGCATTTGCTAAACAAGGATCACCTGGAAAGACAGCCTTGATGCAGATTGCTTCTGACATTAAAGGCTATATATTCTTAGTTGACCTCAAGACAATCTTTGCTTCTGACAATAAACTGCTCTATCGATGGATTGAGAAAATCTTACAATTCTTGTTTGAGGACGAAGAAATTTTGAAGATAGGTAAAGAAAAGATAATTTAAAAAAAAATCACTCTATTTATATTAGTATAGCCTTTGACTTCTCTGGCGATTTTGATCTATTAAAACAGGCTATACCTTCTTCACGCTGTTGGGACGTGGCCAGATTATTTGACCTCAAGTCACTTCCTCCGCCTAATTCAGATAAACCCATTACAGGTGGTCTAGCAGGTGTCGTTGCCACCTATTTGGGATACACACTCAACAAGCGGCAACAGATCAGCAATTGGGAAAAGCGACCATTGACAGAAGCACAAGTAACTTATGCAGGTATTGTGATATATTTATAATTTATATCCCCTCACTCATCTTTTTCCTATAGCTTGCGATGCTTACTGTTTGTTACATATATACGAAACTCTGTGTAAATTGAATCACTCTTTTGTTAGGAAATCGTCTTCTTTGGCAAGATAGGATATAAAATATGATACCAACTACAACAACAATAACAATGATATAATTTAACCTATATCCTCTCTTTATCATTACTCCCCCCCCCTTTTTTTTTCATTCTTTTTTCTATTGTGAAAGTAATAAACTGACCCGACTTCCTGTGTCACAAATGGTTAATTTACATGATGTCTCTTTTCTTTCCTCTCCTATTTTCTTATTTTCTTTCTTTCTTTCTTTCTTTCTTTTTTTCTTTCCCTTGAGCACATATTAAAAAGGGGGTCATGGTTACTATTCAAAAGATTGTAAGCTATATTCAATAAATATACAAGTAAAAACGACCATTGATATGACTATTTAGCGAGATCGAATCAACCAATCAAAGTGGACACAAATGTATGTCAGGTTCGCTTGTTTACAAGGAATCGTCATCATCGTCCTTCAAGCAGTGATAGCTTATTATAACACAAAGCAACTCAATAAAGGATTAGAACCTAATGCGATAGAAATATACAATTTGGATAGTGATGAAACAATAGATATCAATCGAGCCATTGATCGGCTTAAGCGTATAAAATGGGAAAATATTGCCTTTATTGGCTTTCAATGCTGGTTTGTAGCAATGTCATTTGATGCAGTAAGTTGATTATTCAAGTATATAAGAAGCTGATGGATATTAGACAGTATATCAAAATGCAGCAGAGGTGTTGGCCTTGGCCGTCATGAATTTTGCATGTGCCATATTTGCTGCATTGGAGGTGGTTGATGGAAAGAGATGGTTGACTATTTTGACAAACGTCAAAGTGAAGCATAATGTGCTCCTCGACATCACAGCAATTCAAACAGCTTATAAAGTCGAGATTGGATTATCTGCCTGTGTCGCACTCTTTGCTATTGTATTTGCATACATGTCATATGCAGTGACTAAAGAATTTGGATGGAAGATATATAAGAAGATTGGTGCTGATATATCAATACAACGTAAATATTTACTTTTACTATACATACAAAGACTAAATCCCTCTTTATCACCTTTAGGCATGTATCGAACAGTTCAATTTTTTGTATTGGCACTAAAGATTGATATATTTATCGAGTTCTTGGTTTCTGTCTTTTATCTCATTCAATTTGCTCTCAAGCAAGGATTTCATACATGGCATCTATTTTTGTTTATTGTCATCACTGCACTGATGTTACCTATGCTGTATTTTGGAAGATATGCTGTAAGTTGTTATATTGATGATGTCTCTTCTTAATGATTCAATTCATCTTTATATAGGTTGCTAGTGAGAACCCATATCAGATGATAATCTTTGTGTTTTTTCAGGTCTGTATCGTTATACAGTTAGTACTGATCGGTATAGAAGCAATGCAACCAGGAGATTATTGGTATATCTGGATATGCTTTGGTAAGCTATAATCTGTCTATCGTCCAGTCATTTCTAATATCTTTATAGTTATTCTCGGTGGAATATTAGCCATTGTAAGTTTATCATGTATTGTATAACCAACGCATACACACACACTCTCTTTCTCTTTCTAGGTCTCTGCTGTACTTGGGCTTGTATGTATGACACATTTTGGAAAAGGATTGAAGCCATATATTCAAAGAGGAGAAAATAAGGAAAAGGTTGCTGATAATGCCCAAAAGAATGACCAATCATGGACAATTGACGAAGAATGATCTTTAATGTAAAACAATACCACTTATAATAATAAACTAATATCTTGGGCTTCTTCTCCTTCTTGATTCACGATGACGGTGTCTATCATCATGTCTGCTATGGTAGCTATCTCTTTCATGGCGACGATGATGCCTTCTTGGAGAACGAGAACGGGATCGAGATGGACTATGACTCTTTCTTCTTCGCTCTCTACTTCTACTACGGTGATCCTAGAAAACAAAAAGATGAATGGATTGACATGACAACAGACAGCCCAACTTACAAAGCGCGACTTTCTCTCTTCTTTGAGATCGTCCATTTCTTCATTTCTACGTCTTTTGATCGTTTCCATCACTGAATCACGCTCGGCTCGTTTTGCTTCTTCTCTTTCTCTCTTTTTACGTAATTCCTCCTTCTTTTGTTCTATAAATATTGCAGGGATACCGCCTACAGAATTTTGAGCACTTAATAATAAGTTCCAAAGTTCTTTAACGAATACTTTTGCGTTGTTCTCCAAGAAGCCAGTCAAGTTGATTTGCATCATTTTTGGATCGATATTCTGAATATATAAAGGGCATTAGTGTATGCCTACATACATTATTATCTTACCTCTTCTTCCAACAAACTGGCCGCATAATCAGCAACAACTTCATCTTCAAATCCAAGTAATTCAGTGACTTTGTTTGCAATCCATGGTCTAATAACGTCAAGATTGACCTTTTTCATGTCCACCTAATCTTTGGAGTCAATAAATTGTTGTTCTTTATAATGCTTATATATTTACTTTCTTATCAAATTCAGGTGGAAAAGACATGGTCTTCAAGAGCTTCTTTTCTTTATTACTAAATCGACTATCTTGGTCTGCACTTGTACCCTATTTATATCATTAATCTCTTGCTTTTCTTTCTGTCTGTTCTCTCTTTTACTTTAAAAAATCCAGCATCACCCATTTTTATTTATTAGGAAAAAAAAGATTTTTTTATTGATTCTCCAAGACTTGCATTAAATCCATAACTTGACGAGTTAATTTTTCAATCATTTTTTCCTTTTCTTCAACCTGTTTCTTTAAAAGAGCATTATTCTTGGTCAAAGATTTGGTTACCTAGCCATTTATTTATTAGATGACATAAAATTTATTAATATAAACCTACCGCTTTTTCTTCATTCAAATTGTTTTGGACCTTGTTATATCTTTCCTTGACCTGAGCAACCTTTTTATCCATTCGATCTTTTTCTTTCTTGTTTTCTATTAAAGTATGTTCGAGATTAGTGTCTGTCTCTTTTAGGTGTTCTTGTGCCTGTTGGACGCTATTCAGATAATCTGTCATTCTTTGTATTTCACTTTCTATATTTGATGCTTGTTTGGTTAGGGTATCTAATTGATCTTCATAATACATTCTTTGTGAGTCCATTTGTGACATGAGCATAAAGGTATATTCGGTTGATATATTCTCAAGTTTATTCATCACACCATCTGTCGGTCGAATAATAGATGGATTCTTGGTGGAGCTATCTCCTAACTTGGGTTCATCCTCATCGTGGCTATGGCCTAAATTACTCTTACTGCTATTGGCTTCATTAGGCGGTAGTTCCACAATGGCTCCATCCACCATATTCTGTAGCAATCGATGAACGTATCCATCACCTAGATAGTCCCATATTCTCTGTGTCTCAATCTCTAGAGCGTATAAATGATTTGTAGCCATATAATGATCATAGGCATGTGCTTCTTGATATCTACCACAGCCTATGTGTCCACAAATCATACATATCCAAAGACTATCTGTTGATTGACATTCAAAGCACTCACCACATAGCTGTTGTTGCATTTGAGGTCGCCGTCTTGGATCGGTTAGCACTGGTCTTTGCGAGTGCCTACAGACCGAACATTTTCCATGTCCCCACTTGTCAATACAATAACACTGCACCGTATGTCGACACTGAATGCTGAGTAATCCAGTAATACTCTCATCCATACGCTCTAGACACACAGGACATGTGGGTAATTCTAAATCAGTTACTTTTCTCACAAGATCTTGACTTAGTGTATCCTTCATATAAGGGAACTGCTTTTTATCTGAAATAAAGTATGTTTCGAGCTTATTGGATGCCAAATAGACTGCATGACTAATCTCTGGTTCACTCATACTAAATCGTCTACCATTGTATTTCCGATAACACATGAATGCAGAACGTCTATCTCTAAACTTGAGCAAGACTGTATATTTGTTGGGCGAAAAGTCTCGAATGAACCGATACTGGACAATATCGTCTTGGGTTGCACCAAGAAACTGCATGAAATCCTCGTTTGACATATAGGAAGGAACGGCCAAGATACAGATGACGCGGTCTGTATCGTCTTGTTGATCCTGTTCCTTATTGAGTGATTCGTCTTGAGCAATTCTAGTATCTGGTAAGTCTGTGTGATGCCAATCTCTATAGAGATGCAATACACCATAGCCAAGTTGAACATCAACTGTAGATTGATTGTCGACTGCATGTAATTCGATTTGACCTAGACGAAAGTCAATTTTTTCACCTAGAGACTGATTCGATTGTTGTAACTTGGGCATCTCAATAGGTGTAGGCGGACTATTTTCATGAACACTGATGGATGGTTTTCGTATTGCTGTCGTCTTTTGCTCTATTGGCTGATGTGGATAAGAATCAAAGTGATCTGAACAATTCTTGACAGCAGAAAAATCACTAAATAAGTCTGCTGGTAGATCTAAAGTAGGATCTGAAGTGTACAAGATGCATTTCAAACGATAGTAATACATGAAGAGAAGAGGTACAGTACAGTCACACCGAATTGGTATTCGTACTGTGCAAAAATTTAAGCTTTTTTTTTTTTGGACCAAGTTATCAGGCATATCTAATGTGATCTACCTTCCTACAACCCAACATTGCGGATATCTACCGCCTATTTTTGTTATGGTGCAAAGTATAGTTGATAGCGCATTTATGGAGAAATTAATTAAATATAGCTTATCTTTATATGAAGAATATCAAACTTTACCAAGTATACTCGTTATTTCGGTTGAAAAATATTCGAATGAGGCGATTAAGTCAAAATTCAAGCCGAACAAAGGCGCGTCTTTATGGAAACAAATTGTCAATATTCCATCATAATGGAGATATTCTCTCAAGATGTTACTGAGAGACTTTAGATTGCTAACAACATCGGCTTGTTATATTGAACTATAAGAAATGGTAATAACATAATAATAAAAGGAGTAAATATGATGTTCAGTGACATCGGCTGCTTTTCTTTTGCAAACCCTTTAATAGAAAATATCAGCATAATTGATTGTGCTCCATACTCTTCTTTCAAAGAGATGCAATATTTAGTTGCTAGCCCAATAGTATATCACCATTTCTGTAATGAACACCCAGTTGTTCTGTTGCGAGATCGCCGCTGAGTGGATCAACGATTGTAGCAATTTCTTAATGATATCCCCAATTGTATTGCTATTGGCTCTTTCTTGTATATCCAAAGGGTTCCAGTCCAGTATCATTTTATGGAAAATGACTTCCGGCAAGAAGACTTCAGATGAAGTTGCTGCATATTTTATCCTGCTTCTGAACAGAAGGAGCTCCTCTAGCTTTTCTGCATATACTCTTTGTACAGGCGAAGGGGTTCTCAGTCTTTTGGAAGAGGACCCTGCTAATACTCGTGAGGTCTATCTTCTTTTGCTGTTGCTCTTCAAAATACTGTGATGTGTAGAAGGATTTCGTGTTGGGATAAAATATTTATGCTTATATTGTTTCGATTTATATGAATGGCTTACGTTTCTACACTGGTAGGTCCACTCTCAATATTTAAGGCAAGCTTAAACATTTCTTTGATCTCTTCGTTATCCACATAAATGCTGCTTACACTCTTTGAAGTATGATAAACAAAGGATTTAACGAAACTAAAGTTTCGAAAACTCATGCCTGAGACATCTATCGTACTTAAGCATTTGAACTTCATAGCCGGTATCCACCAAAGGATAGCTATTGAATGTATCATAGAGCATTTTGTTGGTTAGAGCCGAAGCAAATTTGTCTGCTGTATTCAGCCTTTTATTTAAAAAAAGGCTATTAAATCGACAACTTGCAAATTACTTTCTTTTAAGAATAGCTGGATGTTGTTAAATAAGACGTATATGCGTTTTATAAGAAAGGGAGTCTATGATTACTATTTATGTTAATGTGATCAGTGTCGTATTTACCCTATAAATAGAGTGGCACCTTTGGGAAGGGTCAGGCATAAGTAAAAGTTGCCAGAACCAGACGATAAGAAACTTATGGATTTCGATAACTACCAAAGCTATCGCCAACTTATGTCTAAGAACAATGAAATATTAGAAGTAGGCCGCAGTATAAAGGAAAAGGATGTTTGAAACCGCCATTCATTAAAAAGCCTGCAAAAAAACTCGAGGCTCCTACAGATCTCATATACCAGAGCAGATACAAGAGTTTCTTGGCCTTGTCATTGAAAGGGGTCTCATCAAGAAAATCTGGAATAACGGTTGGTATTGCGAGAATAGCTCAGCATTACGTGAAGCTCTATGGATACGACGAAGAGAAGTGTTTGGTTGGTACAAGGAAGTTTCGAAATAAAAAACCAATAGATGAATTATTCTTTTTGGAGATACAATTTATTCTAACAATAACAAAAGGGAAATATTTACATTCAAGTAGACATCTATTCATCATCTTCTTCTTCATTGTCATCATCTACTTCTGGTTTTTCTTCTTCTTCATCGTCGCTGTCATCATCTACTTCTTCTTTATTATCTTTCATTTCTTCATCTTCATCTTCACCTTCATCCACTTCAGGCATTTCTTCATCACTATCAGAATCTTCAGCTGTCTGTCCTTCTTGCTTAGACTCATCCTTTCTTTCGATCACACTCTTCTTTAGTGAAGCCTCTAAACGTTCTTGTTCACGATCGATGTGAATGATCTTTAGCTGCACACAGTCCCCAATCTTGTACAAGCTCTTCCAGTTTTCCACAAACTCGTCTGATAAATTACCAATCTTCACACGGGCTGAAATAGTCTTGCTGAGCTTCAAGAAGACACCAGCATCAGTGATATTGGTAATATAACCTTGATAGCACACTCCACGGCGAACATCTGAAAACTTTTTGAGGCCATTCTTTTTAGCGACCGTTCTGAGATGATTATCCTTTTTAACTGCCTTCTTCACTGGTTTCTTTTCGCTCTTTTCTGTCTTTTCCTTTTTATCCTTCTTTTCCTTCTTTGTCACTTGCTTCTCCTTCTTTTTCTTATGAGCAATACATGACACAATGAGCTTGTTTGCTGAAGGATCCACTCTCAGGACAGTCGTCTTGACAGTCTGACCCACATTGTACACCGTGCTCAAATCAGCTACATGAGCTTCAGTCATCTCGCTTCCAGGCACAAATGCGCTGATGTTATTGTAATAAGCAACCACGCAGCCATTTCTCTTGATGGCCATGATCACACCATGGCTGATATCACCTTCATGAATATCAGCCAAGTTTTGGAAGATGGGATATTCACTATTGATCAATGATTTCTTCAGTGTCAGGATGACTCGTTGTCGTTCAGGATCAATCTTGAGTACACGGCATTCGACCTTTTTGCCTGATTTGAACTTGTATTCGGGATGGCTTAACTTGACATCAGCCATATGCACAGCAGGCACAAGCGCGTTGATCGATTTGGATATCTTGACAATGACACCAGCAGGAACGAGCTTTTCAACGACACCCTCGACCATGGATCCAATCTCAATATCGGTCACACGCAAGTATTTTTCAGCCAGGACACTAGGTTGTAAGGTGAGTACGAGGATGGCATCGACAGGATTATAAGACAGAACACGAGCACGGTGTGTGGATCCAATCTTGTAGTCACCAGCTGTTGCAGAAAGATTGGGCACACGTTCATCTGCAAGACGCGAGATATGAACAAAACCGGTGATGCCGTCCAGACTGTCAAGGGTGACCCAGATACCACCGTTGCTCACACGATATACCTTGGTATTATCCAAGAAAGAGCCGGCAGGGAACACATCACCGACAAACTTGTCAGATTTAGTACCATTTGCCAATGTAGGTACGTCTAATTCCAGCACGTGTGGCAGAATAGATCCACCGATCGCCTTTTCTTCAGTATTTAAAATGGTAAAGAGTGTACGGAAAACGAGCTTTTGTCCCAATTTGAAGCTGGTTTCAATGTCCATATTAGCAGGAATGTGTGTTGCATCAATCGTAACTTTGTAAAGGCCCATCATCTTGAGGACCAGACCGTTGTTTTGAACTGTTTCAATCATGCCTGATACTCGCTGGCCAGGAAGAACAGAAGTAATGCGCGAGAAAGGATTTTCAATGGCGCTGTTGGCAATCTTGCTTCGGTCGATGGTCACATTGGCTATACGTTTGTTCGTCTTTTCGACAAGACATTCAACGTATTGTCCTACTGAAAGCTCTTCGTTTCGGTTGTATTTTTCAATATATGTTTTGGCTTCTTTCGTAGGTAAGAATCCAGTCAAATCCTTAACTCCCAAATCCAACACATAACCGTGGTCTTCAACACTCTTAACAGTGGCTCCCAATGTCTATTACAGAAAAAAAGTCAATCTTTGATCGCCTCATAAAGTATATAATCTTACCACTCCAGGAGTCGTATCCACTTTTAGTAAATCCTCATTGACGACCTGTGGTTTCAAGCTCAATTCAATCGGTCTCTTTGCCTTTTCTTCCAGTGCTGGGAGATTGGTGATCTTACAACGAAGCCATTGACCAACGTAAAACATATTATTTAAGCTAGGCATCTTATTTTCTTCTTCATCCATATCCTCATCTTCATCGTTGGCAATTTTTTGAATAGTTTCGGTAAGTGCATCAGAGATTTCTGTGATAGGTATAACACCGACAAGTTGATGAGGTAAGGAAACAAACAATTCAAGTTCGTTGATACGGGAAACACAACCTAAGAGGCATGTACCGACAGTAAGTTTCTACATATTCATGGTTAATAATAATACAAGCATAAACAATTCAAATTACCTTGAACGTCAGTTGTTCAATGTATGCCTTATCCGATTTAGGCTTCTCAGCTGGTTTGGCTGTAGCTTTTGTCTTCTTGTTGGGTTTTCTCTTCTTTTTGGCAGGTTCTGAATCAGTAAAGGCGGAATCGGCATTCTTTGTTGTCTGTCAAAGCGCTCATGTGTTAGGTGAATCATTTACTTGTTAAACAAAAATACTTACAGATTCAAACAGATCTTTGGCTGCTTGATTAGCGATCTCTCTGTGTTCGAGAGGGGTCAAGGCACTTGCTCCGCCACGAGGAAAGCTTTCTTCAGCATTAGATGATATAGTAACAGCTGTAGCATCGACAGCCGTCTTTGTTGGTGTTGCTTCAGCAGAAGTGCTATTCTTTCTTTTGGCCATATTATGTGTTCCTTGAAGAGGAATAATGATATAAACGAAAAATCCGAAAATATATCAGTTCAACCGCAAGTCACAGTGGCTTATTCAACCACAGCTTCTTTCCCTTTTAATAGTGCATAATCCCTCTCACCACAACTCAACTTTGACTACAGCAATTTTACTGATATAGACTAGAGCATACTTTATGTGTAATAATATTAATATAAACCAAACTCGTTTTGTCAATGATTTAGTAAAAAGAAAAAAGAATAAAAGGAGAAGAAGGAGAGAATAAACGATGCTTCCCTTAAGCTTACAAAAGTTGATAAACACACACATACATACATACATACACACACATATATATATATATACTCATATACATACATTAAATTCTATAGTCAATATCTTTCTTTTGCCTTTTATTATCATTTCAATACTATGCATATCTTATATGTAGGGCTACATGCAAAGTAGAATTGATTGGTTGAATTAAATTGAAACTCATACGCAATCGCTTTTTTCCAATCTGTTGTTGCCGCCTTCTTGTTTTCTTTTTCTTTCTATTAAAAAATAGTATAGATTGCGCTTCTAAATTAAATAACAATGGCACCAACAAAGAGTAGTAATACATCAAAGAATACAAAAGAGGAGAAAGAAGTAGAAGAAAAGAAAGAAAAGGAACAAACAAGTGATCATGACGAATCAGACCAAGAAACCAAGCAAGAAAGCCAAGACGCTTCTACTGATGACTATGATGATAATAAAAGAGAACAACAACAACAGGATCCTAGCGTGTGGACTCCTGTTTGGGATGATAACGCAAAAGCATATTACTGGTGGAATACATCAACTAACGAAACTACCTGGGTTAACCCTAATGTAACCGCAGAGAATCAAGAATATCAAAATGCTGATAATTCAAATTTTCTATTAGACCCAGAGGCCAGAAAAAAGCTGGAGGCCGGTGAGGAGTTAACTGAAGAGGAAAAGTTGCAAAGTTATATGCAAGCAAACCAAGCTTACACAGGACAATATTATCCATCACAGGATTACTCCATGTATACATCACAAGCCTTTTTTAATGCTAGAACTGGAAGATTCACTACATCTGAAGATGCTAATCGCTTAAATCCTGAAAACCTTTCAATTGAAAATAGAGCAACAAGACAAATGCAGTTTTATTTTGATGTCGATGCTTATACGGAACAACGTAATAGACAAAGAATGATGGAAAAGGGAACAAAACGGAAATTAACTCGAAAAGAAATTGAATACTTTAAAAAGATGAAGCAAGAAAAGAAAAACAAGAGAGCCAGAGAATGGCTTTTACAATAATAAAAACGTATGTTCTACATTTATTCAAAGGCGCACGTTTTTCATCTGGAGAAGAGTGAAGCGCGTAGTGACTGTTTCATGATATGAAGAATTTAATCATGTAGAGAAAAACTTTGCTTTTTTCTTTGTGTTTATTTTTTAAAAAAAGAGCAATGAGGTAAACGAAGAACGCTTCAAAGCGTGTTTTATGAGTGTTGCTTATAATGAATCACATTTAATATTTAAACCTTTATAATTAGTAAACGAAACCAAAGGTCAAAGAATAAACCTGACAGTAGTAGTAACATCAACTTTGTATTCAACCCAGATCAACCCCTCAGTCGTAGTCTTAGCTTCACTGGAAGCGCGCCTACCAGTCCAGCTGCTTCTACGACAGGATTCAATATCGCAGGTACCGCTAGTTCTTCTTCTTCGGGCTTTGGTTCAGGAAACAAACAGCCATTTGTGTTTGGAAATGCCTCTAGTACTCAACCCAGCAATGCCTTCAACTTTTCTACACCAGCCTCACAGACATTTCCTTCTCCTTTGAAAAGAGGTGTTTCTGAGCTGCCTACTTCGGGGCAATCAGATCGCAATAATGCTCTTAGACGTTCTACATCAGAATTTTCCTTTAGTACTACTTCCAATCCATCCACTCCCAATCCATTTGGCACTTCCTTAGGAGCCGCTCCCATCTCCTTTGGCGCGCCCGCTGCTTCAAATACGCCTGGTGCCACCGCCACTAGTACTTCTGGTTTTGCGCCTGCAGCCAACACAACAGGTAATGCGCCTGCATTTAGCTTTGCTCCTGTAACAGGTTCGACAAATACCACACAAGCCGGAACCTCTACACCTGCTCCTGCTTTCACATTTGGCGCTACTAGTGCTACTGCACCTTCCGCTTCATCTGGTGCCTTTAACAATACCACTTCTACAGCTGCACCCACATCAACCTCGACAACCCAAACGACGGGTGCTTTTTCGTTTGGATCGTCCACAGTTAAACCATCGACAACAGCAACAACAACATCCGGATTTACGTTTGGAAAGGTGTCAGAACCTGCTTCCAGTACAGCTGCGCCTGCTTTTGCCTTTAACAAGCCAGCTGAAGCTCCTCCTGCAGCGTCTACATCTGCATTCTCCTTTGGAAAGTCGGTGGAGGCACCCAAGACGAATCCAGCTCCTTCCTTTAGCTTTGTAAAACCTGCAGAGACAACTCAGGCTTCACAGGCAGCATCTACCGCTGGAACAGCATCCACAACAGTAACAGCTCCCGCAACAACTACCAGCAGTAGCCCTTTTACATTTGGGGGTCTCGGCTCTACTTCAAAACCTAGTACCACACCTGCAACAACTGGTTTTACGTTCGGTACTTCTACGTCCACTACAAGTGCAGCTACTACGGCTACTACCACCACTGCTGCCACCACTGCTGCTACTACAGCAACATCATCTGCTACGCCCGTCTTCAGCTTTGGAGCAGCCGCGAGTACCAGTAAACCTGCTCCAACTCTTACATTTGGTACTCCAACGTCAACTACTTCTACCACCACTTCAAGTACTCCTACTACTACTACCACTACAGCAGCAATAACAAGTAGCTCTGCTCCAACCTTTTCATTTGGTGTATCCACCACAACAACAGAGAAAAAAGATGATAAAGGGTCTACACCTATTGTTACGAGTAACCCATTTACGTTTGGTACGACTGCACCCACTTCAACAAGTAGCTCATCAACAACTTCTGGTATCACCACCAGTGCTCCAACTACTACTACACCCATTAGTCAACCTGTAGTTGCAAAGCCAAATCCATTCTCTTTCACAAAAGTACTGGATGACCTGTCAAAGATATCAACTCAGCCTCCTGGTCAGATATATGCTTCTTTAGTCACTCCATCTTTAGCCAGTTTATAGTAAGTAGAATAACCAAGGAAAGCAATTCAAAAGCCTCTTACTCTTCATTGAATAGTCAAACTCAGGTTGTTCACCATACAAATTTCAGAATTGACAATATCACGTCCACCACTCGATTTACCGAACTTCCTGAACAAGCACAGAAAGAACTAGATGAGGTAGAGAAATACATACGTTTGGAAAGCCAACGAAGCGAGTATATCAGAAACCACAAGATGCCCCAGCAAACACAGTTGATAAACAAATGCAAAGAAGACATAGAAGCCTTGTCACAGGTAAAGAGAAAGAGATATGAAAAAAGATAAACATTAACATCTGTATAGAAAATGGATGCTCTCTCTAGTATGCTCAAGATGCGCTTAGAATCCACAGAGTCCTTGTATGATGACGTGAAGGAACAACTGAGACATGCAAATGATGGGTGTGCAGTTATTGAAGCATGTAGGCATCCTGGCACAGCGCCTCGCTGGCTCTTTGGTCGTTCAGATGAAGACGAGTAAGTATTGTATGATCTTTCTATATAACTTTATTAACCACGTCATTAGTTACTTTTCATTACTGGCAAAGCAATTAACAAATAGATTGGAAGAATATAAAAAGTGCATTTGGGAAATTGAACGAACGGCAGAATCATGGAGCAAGAATAGAGCTCAATCACCTCAAGGTAAATAATGCTGGTACTAGGAGAATGATATATTCTTATATACAATTATAGATATTGCACGCATTATGCATGCTCAAAATCAGACCTTCCTTGCTTTAGCTAACAAGGTTGCTTCCTTACATGAAGCAGTCGAACGAGAAAAAGAGTATTATAAACAGTACTTTAAAGTACACGCTTAAAAATATCCCACCTACACACTTTTCCCTTCCCCCTTTTTTTTTTTATAGTGATTCTTTTTTACCCTTCAATAAAGAAAAGAAAACTTTCCTCACAAGCGGGAGGCTGTTTAATCATGATAGCTGCAAAGTGTGTCTGTGTTCGTGTGTGTATACATATTTATATCCAAAATGTCTCTTTTAATAATGTTTTTTGTGTTCAAAATAATGCATCTAGTGGCGAGGAGTAACCTTGATGTTGTCAAAGGCTTCACGTTCAGCACGTTCAGCAGCAACTTGGTTGATATAAGGTTGAAGATATCTCTTGTCCTATTTTCAAATATCTTTGTGAGTTTTGAATTTTTGTATTTAAAGTGTATATTACCTCTTCTGGCTTGACCCATTGTTCCTTGGGCAAGAGTGTGTGAGTCAAAGAACATTGTTGAGCAACACGAATACGGTAAGCACGATCGTAAGCAGCACGAGGTTCGGCAATTTCAAAACGACGGAGAGCTTCTTGAACTAATTCACTTTCCTCTGAAACCAAGTCATCGTACTTGAGACCTATATACATGTATACATTCAGCATTGGTGATTCTAATTGGACTCTTTTGTTTTGTAAAAGTTACCGATTTGTCTGTAACCGGCAGTGTTGGCATAAGCAGAAGCAAGAGGCTTGACCAAACCAGAAAGGAGCTTAGAATTTTGAACAAAGGACTTGAGTGACAAGGACATTATAGTAAATAAAGCTCAAGAGTGGGGAGAGGAGGGAGTAAAAAGCAACAAATTTTCCAAGCTGACTTTTTTTTGTCCAAGGATTCAGCTCACATCCCCCGGCGGCTTTTTTAGGCACTCACTTAAATCATCCCAGGATTTTGTGATTGGACAAGATAATGATGACGTTAGTTGAGGTTTTGCATCGATTTACTTGTACCCTCGCTACTTAAGGGAACTTTAAAATATAAGTTAAAGGAAAATAAGTCGTCTTTGGGTTGAAAAATTTTGGTTTGTTGTATTGTTTCTTCTAGTATTATTTTCGTCAATTGCAGATAGTATCATCTCTGCTCTCAATCTTATATTTGCTATTTGCTCATCTGTTAATCGGTGTGGATTTTTTACAAGAGCGATAAGCAGCAAGAAGATTAGCCATCTCAGCTGTTAGATTATCTTGAGATGTAGAAGAATTTTCTGTAACAACAACTCTGTTTTCAGCAGCATTGTTAATAGCATTAACTTGAACAACCGAGTCTACTTGCTTAAATGATACGATATTCTCTTATAAATGAAAGTAGGTTTTTGTACAAGTTATCTACAAATACGTACACCTTGCAATTTATCTTTAAAAGGAGTTATTCCAGCATGTAAACGATTGAGCAGATACATATGCTTACAAGTAATGCTATTGTACCTAAAATCATTACAGGTACAACTCTTCATTTCTTTTCCCATTACAGTGATTTCGTGCTGAAGTTCTATATTGCTGAACGACTGGACTAGGTAAACTCCAGATGTGCCATTTTCTGTAATCATATCAGGAATACACTCCAGGCTGGTTTGATCGGCTTTTATCTGCCTTGCCCTTCTTCTTTCTTCAGGGCCCATTCTACTGACGTTTAGCATCAGCCTTTACATATTTTGGAGATAATCCTCTTCAACATCATTCGCTAGTATGAATATCAGTTTGTCTACTCTTCGGTTCTGCTTTCTTTTTAAGTACGCCGTTTTCAGCTGATTGCGCCAGCTTTCAATATAATTGTTGGTCTCCATATTGGTATAGATAGCAGCTGATATGCTCTTGCCCAACGCTTGAAATTGTCATTGTTGAAATATGACGTGCAAAAATAAGAGATCAACTGCGTATACGACCCAAAGTCAAGAAGAAACGATTGCAGTTTTCTATTAAACTCTGATGCATTTCTTTCCCATATTAGCGACTTCAAACTTGTTATGGCTTTTTTGCGTTCAGTTGAATCTTGATGGATATCGCCTGTCTTGATATACTCCTTTATTTTTGCCATCCAGACACGAGCGATGTGAAAGAGATACCATTGTATTCGAGATTCCGGGTACACGGTTTAAATAGCATTTAGCTCAACGCTAGAGACATCAATTGTTATTTTTTAGACTTTCACATGACCTTGGCTTTTTACAAAAGATAGAAATTCAATAATGGGTCTTACAGAATGGTCTGCTGTAAAACAAAAAGCAACCGGACAACATGTGCCTATAAATGAATGTCTAACAACAATAGTATATAAAAGGCAGCGGTCAATATTGGTAGTCTTATGGGTTGCATCTAAGCAGAAGTAAGGCGACTTTAGGAGAAGACTCTTCTGCTATGGGGAAATAAATTCAAAGGTGTAGCTGTTGTTGAAGCTATCACTAATGTAGGTACTGTAACCCTTGGATTTAAGCTCGTCGATCCAAATTTCGATAGACTCATGTTGGTCATTATGACGCTTATATGCGTTCTCTTGTATACGCTTGTGCTGGTTGTAAACTAGTTCAGGATCCATCAGTTGATCACAGTGAATAATCTCACACGTTAATGAAGCGTTCGATTGATGGTCGACAATGATAAGGAAATGGTCATGAGCATATTTCATTAATTCACGCTGAACAGACAAGCGCACGTCTCGACACATAAATCCTTCTTGAAGTTTCTGAAAGATGTATCTTTTTGTTCCCTATGAAACAGGCAAGTATAGAAAGTCTTCCTTGCTGCCAATAGGACCATAGCTGTAATCATTGATAAATGTAAAAATTACTTCTTCCGATTTAGACTTATAGCAAGTAACTTTCATAGTGACAGGACAGTCTATCTTTTTGGATATCTTCTGCACTTCTCTTATTTGACCTGACTTTCCTCCTAGATCATGCTTGGGTTTTTATTTCTTACCAGACCTATGACAGTAATATGCCTTGTACCAGGGATGATGAACATATCTTTTTCTTTTCTTGATTGGGTTGATGCTGGCATCCAAGCCAGTTGTTTCCTGATCTTCGCCTTGGTTCTTAGGCTTATAAAGCCTTCCAACGTTCCACTTCACTGCATATGTCTCTGGAAAGGTATCAGCAACCTCTTGCATTTGCAAAATAGGTACCTCAATGCTTTGAGGGATAGCCTTATAAGGGCTGATACGTAATGCAAAAGACATGTTTATTGCGTTATTAAATGAATACAGTAAAAAAAAGTACTTATCATCATTGTGAATCAACTTTCAGGTACAGCTTTTGATGGCTTAAATTACTGGCCCATATATAGAAACTACAATTAAAGTCCCCTTAAGTAGCGAGGGTACAAGAGGACGCCAATTTGTCTAGTTGATAGTCTGTTAATTGCAACACTTGCGAAAACAACAAATAGGCAATACTATACCTGTAGAAGTCTGCAGCAAATGGAAGGAACGCTGTATTATTCGACAAGGTCGGCTTCCTATTCAACTCTGAATTGGTAGCATTGTGTGCTATAGTATTCGCAATACTGATAATGTATTATCTAGTGTACTTGAAGTAGCATTATGCGTTTACCCATATTTTTAATGTTAAGGCTTGGTAGATATCTTGATTGATAAGTAATAAAAAAACCCTTTGAAAACGGCGTATATATTTCGTTTTACATTTCTAGTTAGATGTAGTCCAACGTCTTTGCATAAAAAATCAAGGAGTTAAAGGGTCGTTTTGCATATACACATTTAATATGCTTATTATCAAAATTTATTTACTGGTAATAAATCTGTTGTAAATGCGGTAGCAAGGCATCCATGAATTCTATCAAGTTCGGGAATGTTATACAAATATTCACCTTTTGATAAATCTTATGTTAATCATATGTGCAATAGATCCTCCCATAACAATCATTACCATTTCCTGGATTTCTTCTTGTCATGTCAAATTAGGCAATATTGGTGGCTGACACAGTCGTTGAAGTCCTATTCAAACGGAATTTAGATGGGTATCCATATAAAAAGGGATATAGGTGGTATTACAGTTCGAGATACATGTCCTTCACCTAATGCCACAGTTCGGTAGCAGTGAGACCAAAAAGTCGGCTCCATAACGCTTGAGTACGATTCATTTTCTCTATAACCACCCTCAGTCCAAAAGCAGACAGAATATAGTGCAAGATTGAGGGCATCATGCCGAAGGATGGAGTATTCCTCAGTAATTGTTCTTATCACTTGCTACATTTGAAATGCTTAATATGCAAATATCATTTTATATTTATATTGAATCCCAACTTACCTGATATTGCTTAAACGGTGAATGGAGAAGCAAGCTTAGTTTGCATTTTCTGGTGATTTGCCACACATCACCAGGCATTTTTATTATATGAGTTAACAACTACTATTGAATTACTTATTGAGTAAAATTTTAAGCTTAAAAAAAGTAATAAAAGGGAAAGAAAACAAGTAGTTCATTTCGTGTAGACATTGACTTCTATATATTCTTTGTCTTTTAGGTTCTCATTATTGTATTCTTTGTTCTTTTTTAAGGAACTTACTATACTTTATAGTGACACAGTAAAATGTTGTACTACTGACAATCTCTTTGTTCAAAAGAAAAGGGCTAATCAAACGCAGTAGAGCTTATTCTGCAAGCAGTTTGTATATAAAAAGAGAACGTAAAGCAAGTACAGTAGCAATTTCATATAAAACGTTTCTAAAAACATATACTCAAGAGTAAATATTCTTAAGCTTATTATATTCGCTTGATTCAAGGGAGTGCACACCATGATATCAACGACTTCATCCAATCCATGGCGATATAGTTGTCTCTTGGAACAACACAGGCGACACTCAAACGAAAATTGAACAGAATCCCTTCTCCAGTTAAGCAAAGTCAAGCATAGGAAACGTATCAAATATATTTTCAGAAAAATACTACGTTTGTAATACAGCAGAAAAACGGTGACAAAAAGAAGGCCGGAGAAAAACCTAATTTAGAAATAGAAGAGATCTTCAGAAAAAAAAAAAGTAAACAAATACAACACTATTTCTATTGCCACAACATTTTTAAAGGGAGTCAAACTTTCCGTGCTGAGGAGAATGGTCATGAAAGCGTGAGTGGAGACGTTAAGCAATGGTTTTAAATCTATTTTTTTTTTTTTCAAAGCTGTAAGCGACTGCTATGAAAAACAACTAGTTTAAATCTTGTGAGA